ACCTCTACTCTCATCACCCTCCGAGACTTAGGATTGATTCCTATAGTCTATCCACATCTGCCTGTCTACAACAGCCACTACTGCTAGTTTCTAGTCTGGACTCATCCATATTAGCCCTATGATACTTATCCCGCATCCGGAAGTCATCCAGATCTGCTACACTACCCGTCTGACCCTCCAGACATGTTAGTCTTGCCTTCCTGAAATAAGGGGCAATACTCAGGTAAGGGGCACAGTGCACAAGCTGAGGCCAAAGCCCTTCGGATCCAGTTAGCCCTTGAGTACAACCTTAACAGAATAAATGAGGATGTCATCCAGATACACAACAATGCATATATCCAGCATATCTGCAAAAACGCTATTGACAAAGCACTGGAAAGCTGCTGGGGCATTGGTAAGACCTTCCAGCATAACCAACCATTCATAGGAGCCATAGTGCATCCAGAAAGCAGTTTTCCACTTGTCCCCTTCTGCTATCCAGACAAGATGATAGGTGGACCAGAGGTCAATTTTGGTGTAAACTTTAGCATGGCTCAGAGAGTCTAAGAGGTTGGAAATGAGAGGCAAGGGGTAATGGTCTTTCTTGGTGATCTGGTTGAGACCTCAGAAATCCACACAAAGTCGCAGGGAGCCATCCTTCTTCTTTACAAACAGGACAGGGGCTCCATGGGGAGAGGAGGAGGATCGGAGGAGTCCAGTTGCAATGTTCTCATCAAGGAACTTGCAGAGGGCTTCAAGCTCAACCAAAGAAAGGGAATAGATAGTTCTGATGGGCGGATTAGCTCCTTCTTCCAAATCTATCTTCAGATCATATGGATGATGAGAAGGAAGTTGACTAGCTTTGCCCTTATTGAAGACATCCGCAAACTCCTGATATTCTGGAGGTACTCTGGAAAGGTTAGGGGCTTCGGATGAGAGTGAGGTGGACCAGAGATCCAGTCCAGAAGGACAGAGATAGATGCTGAACTGCTTGGATCCTTCCATCTTGCAGGCCCAGCAAAAGGCAACTGTATTAATGAGGGAAATATTTGGACCAGATTTATCAGCAGAGGGTCCTGGTGTAGTCGGAGGAGGGATTTCCACTGGAGGAAGGGGCTCTGGAGGCAGAAGTGATGTCGGAGGGGTTGATGGCATTCCATGAGGAGTTGTCCAGAATTCAATGCTGCTCAAAGCCCAGTCAATCAATGGATTGTGTTGGGTGAGCCAGCTATATCCAAGAATGATAAAACAAGATGAATCCAAAGGGGTAACATAAAATGTATCAGAGGTAACTACACCAGACAAGAATCAGACAGGGAGGTCTATGGCTTCAGAAACATTGTTATTACAAGTACCATCAAACAAATGAAGAGGAAATGAAGGGATTCTATATGTAGGGATTTTATTTTTTCAGACAAATTTGTATCTATGAAGCAGCGAGAAGAACCACAATCTACAAGAGATGGAAATTCAGAAATACTGGGATACATTGGAGTCATGATATATGGACAGAGTGAAGTTGGATCAGAAACAGAGACAGCATTAAGACATAACTCCTTTGTATGGGTTGAGATAATGCAACCCCCATCCCATATGGAGTCAGGAGGTTCACAGACTATTTTTTCACCTTGGATGAGGCTTCCGGTTTGGCTTCTGGAGTGACTGTAGCAGTGTGGCCTTTGGCAGCATGCAATATCAATTTGTTGCAGTCCCAAGCAGTGTGTCTGGGTCTGCCACAGAATAAGCAGAGCTTCTTATCCAAACACCTCTGGCGCTCCTTGGAAGTTAGTTTTCTGTCCTTACCCAACTTGGAGGTAAGGTCCAGGGCATTTGGAGCAGACAAGGTGGAGGATGTAGAGGACTTTCTGGGTTTATGTCCAGAATTCTGATTTCCAGATTTGTTACTTCTGGATCCAGATGAGTGGGAGCTGGTCCAGTCAGAGGCTGACTGCTTAGGAGGATTGGATGAGGAGGGCTTGGTTTCATGGGAGATCTCTCCCTTGCATTCCCAATAGCAGGCATCAATGGTTTGTGCGAGGGACTTATATTCTGGGAGCATAGCAGGCTTTCCCATGCAGCTGATTTCATCTTTGATATGAGCTGGAAGTCTGTTATAGAATTGTCAGCATAGGGCTCCATCACTCCATCCACAGACTTGTAAGGCAAGCCGCTGGAATTCCACTATGTACTTATTAATATGCTGTCTGTCATGCATATTGAGTTGCTCAAGCTGCATTTCTGTATCTCCAGAGGGGTCATGGGGTCCGAAATTGGTCTGGAGCTCAAGCATGAACTCAGAATAATCATCCATCCAGTCTGGACGATCAGTATTTTTGTCAGAAAGGAGGTCTGTTTCAAACCATTCAAGGGTCATCCCTTTGAGATAGGATTGGGCAAAGTTGACCTTAGACCTTCCAGTACAGAAAGCATTGGGTTTGCTCTGGAAGTTGAGCTCACACTGGACAAAGAATGCTTGGAGTTTCTGGGGCTCAGTGCCATCAAAGACATCCAGCTCATGGACTTTGACCTTCAGGTCTTCAGAAATGGTGGTATGACAATTGTTTCGGGTGAGGTTGTTGATAGCTCTGGATAGGAGTACCATAACACGGTCCTGCGGATTCAGGCCATTGTTTTCATCATCATCATCATCATCATCATCATCATCATCATCATCATCATCATCATCATCATCATCATCATCATCATCATCATCCGGATCATTGTCCAGATTTCCACCAGGGGTATCATCATCATTATCATCATTGTCATTGTTGTCCAGATCTGGTTTGCCCATAGGGGCTAAGGCTGGAGTCTGTGTAGGGGTTTCCGGATGTTGACAACTCAGGAGTTCTGAGATGCTTCCAGCAGTAGCATGCTGGCTAACACAATGCTGAGAGAAGCTATTGAAGGTTTCAATGATAGGAGTAGAATCCCAGCAGGCAAAAACTAGTCTGGCTGCTCAGAGAGGGTTTGTTGTCTTGGTAGGAGCCATGATAGATGTAAGTATACTCAGAAAGGTGTGAGTTCGAATATACTGTTAAGGTTGCATGCTCAAGGGGGTTGGATTACAAGGGCTTGGCCTCAGCTCATATGCTGTGCCCCTTTCCCAAGTATGTGCCCTTAATTTCCAGGGGCTAGAACAGTTGTCTGGAGTTTCTGGGATTTGACTAGGGTGGACAACAGATGTCCGGATCTGAAATGTGAGATAAACCTGGTGGGCATCCAGATGTTACTTGGACAAGTGGATAAGACTAATCCAGACTAGAAACTAACAGGGGATAGACTACCCTAAGGTAGAGTTGGAGATGTAGTCTAGGATGCAATCCTAAGACTCGGAATATGACAAGAGACTTGGCTCAAGTCCAGAGGACACAGGAATGAGCAGGAACTAAGATGATATTTGAACTGAAGTATTTCTGAGAGTTACAGGGGGTTTATATACTGTAGGTATCATATAGGAATCAGTCAGCAAACACAAAGGCTATGTACAAAGCATATGCAAAGTCTATTAGTAAGTAGGATGGATCACCAATAATGCATATCAGAAATGAAATGTATGTAACAGATCAATAATCAGAAGGGAAACATAGTTAACCGGAGTCCAGAGACAGGGGAAGTCTAAATGGGGTTGGGCGCTGATATAAGGTTTGGATTCTGGAAGGAAGATAAAGATAGATCAGATCATTGGAGATCCGGATATCTGGAGAAGTGGATTTACAGTTGAGAGTCTGGAATGGCATCTGACAACAGTGCTCATCTCATGTTTCAAATGGGTCACAGTTTGAAGGAGATTTCTCTTGCAAATTTCAAACTTAGCTGAAACTCCACAGATAAGGTTTAGAAAGAAATCTAAGACTTCAAATCCTGTGGAAAGTCAACCATTGTTCTGGTATATCTATATGACAAATATATTTTATATGTGCACAGTAATAGCCCACCCACCATCCTGGAGGGCTGGGTCTGTAGGAAAACCTTTCTCAGGGGGTAAACCACCAGGATGTAAATATATACAACCCTGCTGATCCTATTGACCTATGCTCCTTATATATTGTGTATATTAGTGAAGAGATGTTATTAATCATATTTTTAAGCCTATATACTTAAACCCTAAAAATGCGAAACACTTCTTTCATAGTGTGTCCTTGAGGAAGACAAGGTTACAGCACTTCAAGGAATAGTCTTTGTGTCCTGAGCTTCTAGCATGTGGTATATACATACAACGTTATTGTAGGGAGCATATCTGCTAGACCATGTGTCAAATACTTGAAAAATGCGAACTGGTTTATGTATTTTGAGAGGTATGTATGAATTTAACATATCTGCTGATGTAGGACACTTCAGAAGCTCAAAAAAGCGATGTAATATATTCATTGACACTCTAATATATGATATATACGGTCAAAATAGCTCCTCTAATCAAGCAGCAAAAAAGCGAATCTGTTTTAGTCCTGGGATACACATATTGTAGTCAGCACTGCAGACTACTGTACAAGCTCTTATACAATTAAAAAAAGCGGTCCATTGCGTCATGTTATGTACATACATGCTAAGCTACTACTTATATACAAGTGTGAGTAAGGGGAAAGGCTGTGGGGAAGCAAGTGGAGCCAGGGAGGTATATGGGAATAGCGAGAATATTGGAATATCCAAATTTGGTGATATTTCAGGTGGTAGTGCTGCTTTAGGCAGATCCCGATCTTTGGAACCATTGGGGCATCGTGCCTGGTACAATTTGGGTGACATGCGAGAAGCGCTGTCGACCTAGGACGTTAAGCGTCAACAGCTCCGAAACAAACTTACAAAACACATCGTGTCTTATTGGGCATAGTTAAGCATCATTCTGCCATGAACAGGTGGCTTATAGTGCTAGACAGCAGCGACAGCGACGGCGACGACAACAACAGTGCGGCAGTGCCGTCGGAGTTTCATTTTTTTGCAAGTGCAATGTGTTTACCCATGTGCGCCCAAGTTCAGCAACATCGAAACCCACTAATGTGCGATCCTTCCTATCTCTGCCTCCCATGGCAGCTTCTTCCAAACCGACAGACGAAAGTTTTCATCCATATGACGCACTTCCGAATCACCAGGACTTTGACCGGATGATATCTAATGCTGTTGATACTAGAACCGATTTCTACGACCCCGGTCTGACGAGTCGTAGATATGCCCTTGTCGGAGTGGCATGCTCAACTATCTTCAGCTGCTCATGCATCGTTGCAGGCATCATCACGTTAGCTGATTACGGAGTCTTAGGAGTTACTAACGTGTTCGTGACCAGCACGACGGATTATGTTGCATATCCGATTCAGATGCCCCTACAGGGGGAGCTATTGGTCCTGGTACTCAATTTAATCATCACGTTATGCACTGAGTCCCTAGGCTCCATACACGGCATCTCATTGCGCTCTGCGCTAGCCTCCGAGTCTCGGCTTCGTTTCAACACCAATCTGCGCCTTCTGACCGCAACTCGTGGATGGTATAAACCTAATGGCACCCTGCTTAATGGTATATGGGCTGTCCTCCTCATAATATGCTATAGCTCGACCTCATTCATCGCATGTCCCTCCTTTCAAACGACGCTACAAACAGTCGATAAGGGTGTTGCCTTCGCCGGGTTACCTGTCCTCGTTTTGGGTGTCGCACTCCTTCTCCAGGTGATGATCGCATTGTTGGGGATGCGGTGTGTCAAAATACTGACGTGGAGCTCCTCACCTTTCGACTTGACCGCCGCACTACTTCATCACACGCAATTGACCCCTACCACTTTACGATGCATGCGTTCTGTGTCCAACCCAGACAAGTACGGAGGTCCAGCGAAGCCATCAAAGATACAGTCCTCTGCGTGGCATGCTCACCCTAGCGTCCAGAAAGTTGTCGTTTTTCTTTGGGTGATCGTTGCAGCATGCGCTGGATGGGCTGCACTTGTCATGTATATCTGGGACAAGTTGCAGCACTCCGACACGCAAATAATGAACGCTTTCGGCAGTGCTCTTACCCTACAAACGTGGTCGTTCTTCCCAAACGAACAATCCAGTTACATTCGCTACATGTCGTCGGGTATTTTTCTGTTCTCATGGGTCAACATGGCAATTATCCAAGCGCCACTGACACTTGGGCTGCATTGCTCGGAGCTCATCGCAAATGTCATTCGAGATGAAAGACAGTGGAGATTCGCTACTGGAAGGAAAGGACTCCAGACGGTGACGAACCCGATGAAGGCCATTTTCACTCATCCGATTTGTCTCATACTTTTCGTCGCGAAGCCTTTCCTGCGTGAGTCACTCACGCCTCATTTTCTTTATCAGTGTTACTGAACACCAACATCGACGATTACAGACTGGATTTTTGGGCTTGCGTTCAACTTAAGCGCCACCGCCGTTGATGGACGGCTGATGATATTTATGGCGTCCATGTACACTGGCCAGGTTTGCACTTACTGCCTATGTAAAACTGCTACAATGTCCTCACATCCTTGTGCAGATCTGGAACTTATGCATAGCGCTGTTCATATTTTCCTGTTTCTTCACTTTCGTCGCACTGCGCCGACCGCGCGGTCCCCAGCCGGCTGCATATGGTCACCTCCAGACGCTCGCCAACCTCGTGGACGAGTGGTCACCTGTGATGTGGTGGGGACACAAGGAGGACGGGATTCCGTACTGTCATGCTGGTGGGTCAATTATATGCTGATGATGATGATATGTTGACATTTTACAAAGGGACGAGCGATCACCCGCTATCGGATGTGAAGATGGACTGCGTTTATGCTGGTTGTGGTGCTGGGTCTCTGGTACCCCTCTCGTGAGAGGTACTTGCTTTGCTTTTCAAAGGGCATTTTTTGATTTCTCTTTTTATTCAGAAGAGCTGTCCACGTTAGGCTGGCAATGTATTCGCTGGTGCACACAACCAGCCATGCCATTGAACGATATATGTACGATTTTTATGGTGTCTGCTGCGTAGCAAGTAGTTTGTCTTGTTCTTATACCATTCATATCTTGGGCAACTTTTAGCAGACACGCTGAATTGTTGTGATTTTTTTTTACGAGTTCATGTCTATTCATAATGAGACTATGTAGGACAGTACTGTCTAGTAATGTTGCTGTCGAAGCGAGGTGACTTCGAGGTAAGTTCGCTTCGGTTCGTTGCACCTCGTTCAGGAAAATCAACGAGGTGGCAACGAGGTACTTTATCTACACCGGATTTGTCAGTGATGGCTTAGATATGACGTGACAGTGTGATACCTCACAGTAGTACTTGCGTGCGCTCAAATGTATGAAGCTGCAAATGTGTTCAGAAGTCTTCAAGTTGTCACAATCCTGTGGTACTGCATGTTTTCGCTAACGGAACTCAGCTTCATGTTGCGCTGGTGGGCTGCGCCTCCAATGCTGTCTGATTTGATTCCTTGCACCTTTCATCCAGCATACCCCTGAACTCGATATCACCAACTCTTCTAATACGTTTGCAGGTTACGCCTATTTCTACGATGGACTTTTGTTTTCCACGAGGGTGCTCGTTTAAATCAAACAGCTGACAGGATGTACCATGAGTATCACCATGGTCCACCATCCTCCCTTCTCGGATGCACCTCCCCATCAGACATCTACATCCTTGGATTTCGTATCCTGCATGACTTCACATACGCATCGAATCTGTATCGTTAATTTATACCACGCTCTCCCTAAATGGACGTTATTGATGAACTAGTAGTAACGGGTGACATTTGCAAATAGATGACAATACACAACTTACAGGAACTCAATGTGAAGATGAGACAGTTGTTCATGTATCGTATTTCCATTCCAAAGTGTCGAGGAAGGACATCAGGTGAGAATTATGAAAATCATCGGCCGCACGATATGGCGAACCAAAGCGGAGATGCAATCGAGATGGTAACGACGTAGTGTGGAAAATCAGGACATGCGATGTTGCAGCGAAGAACACCATTCTGTCAAAGCATGAGCGGCCAATCTATGACATGTGACCTAAAATGTACGCCTAAACCAGAAGTGTGAACGGCGAACTCAGTGCGAGTGTGAGGTTCTCGAGGCCGAGCATAGAACACGACACCCTTAGCATGAAAGAGGCCTGTGACACAGAGAATACAGATCATAAAATATATATAAAAACTCACCACACCTGAGTTGGTGTAGCCTTGTCGAATGTCGTTGACTTGTCCAGTCAATTAATGTTAGTGAGACCACTAATGAGCCCATGACACACATGGTAGATGGGATTCCTAGTTATGCATGCTGGAACAATTTGTTTCAGAAACAAAACGGCCAGTCACAGCGCGGCCAGCGGATCAAGACGTTTTGGTTGTACACCACACAGAGGTCGCATGGTCACACTCTGGAAGATACATCATGTTAATGCCTGTGTATGCGGGGAAAGTTGAAAAGTGGAAAATCGCCGCATCAGCATAGCGTGTTGAAACTAGCCGGGCAGCATGCTTGGCTTGCAGAAAACGCGGTTGGGGTGCGTATATACAGCCGTGCGATCGACCGAGTCCAAGGCGGGATGCACATACATGTCATCAGGTACCCGAGGAATAGATGTAGACAGGAAGAGTGGTGCACGAGATGTGCAGCACTAGGATTTGCGACCAGGACATGTTTCTAATGACCGCTTGAAATAAAAATTGAGGCTTCGCGTTATAGCGTTAAAGCTAACCCGTGGCCCGAGATCAAAGAAATTGGGGAAATAAAATCAAATGCATAGACACGGGCGTGAACGAGATAACAAAAATTACAAAAGAACTAGATGCAAAGATGAGATGACTGTCCATATACTGCAGTGTGAATTCCCATCTGCATGTCGAGGGGATGCACGACAGAATAAGAGAACGAAATGAGTCCGCAATAAAAGCGGTCGTGGCTGCACGCTTGCTGCACCTGACGCAGTAGAACAAGTATCGAGAGCAGGAAGTGTCGTGGATGTCGAGAGGGCAGCAGGCAGAGTCTGCGACGATAATGACTGGGCCTGGACTTGGCCTTGCGGTTGGCCTTGTTGTTAGTGTGTTGATTGTGCATTGGCATCGGCGTGTTGAGGAGATGCGCAGCAGAGAAAAAGCACGAGATGAGCCAACAAACGGACGGGAAGTGAATACACATGTCTTGCACGTGGTGTGATGGGATTAGAACTGGAGCAGGCGATATCGTAGACGAACTCTGGGCGTGTGATTGGGTTTGCTGCTGTGTTTTTTGTGGCGGCGGCGGAGCAGTAAATATAACCTCGACAGAAATCATTAAACCACAGCGATGGGAAATTCACGCAAAGAAATGCATACCTCTCTGTCCTTTACTAGAGGAACTTCAACGATACGAGGTCCACGAGAAAAGATGGACCACTTTGGGCGTTGCTGAAGTTCGGTTGCATCATAGGTATTTTGCTGAGAGTGATGGAAGAGTGATGAAAAGCGTTCAAGAAAGGGTGCTTGAGTGTTGCGTGCTGCGGATGACTGAGAGTACATACATCAGAACAAGAGTTGGTCAAACAAGCAAACGACTGACCTGTGCGTCATTTTGCATGCCATCGAAAAAGGCTGGCGGTATTCGACGGGCCTGGATAAGTGGACGTCGCGCAGCGTTGCTCTAGAGTGATGATGTTGAAAAGGTTGAAAAGACGAAGGAACACGTCACGTACGTTCATCAACGGCTTCTGCGCTGGGACCTGCGAGTAGGAGAATCTTAGCGTAGTTTCTACCTAAGAACCATGTAATTTACGTTAGATAAAGGTTGGAGGAGGTCTTCAAAGCCTGCTTCTTTGAGGATGGCGTGAATGTCCCATGTGTACACTTTTTCGTTTTCGCAACCAGTGACTAGCACCTTTCCATCAGGGGAAAGGGCTGTGCAGTTCACAACACTTTCGTGCTGGAGAGGTGGTCCAATTGGGAGGTTGGTGTCGAGGTTCCATAGACGTGCCGTTCTGTCCCACGATGCACTCGCAAGGAGGCATTCATTCTGAGACAAGGAGATGGCGTGGACAAGGGATTCGTGACCCTTAAGGATGGCGATCTCCTCCCAAGTGGTTGTGTTGAATATCCTAAACAGGTATGCACCGGAGATAAGTTTCTTTCCGTCCGACGTCCAGGCCAAGCCATAAACAGGAGTATCGTGTATAAGTGTCTTGAACAGTTTGCCTGTCTTGGCATTCCAGATTTTGACTGCATTTTCGTCGCGTCCGCCTGTTGCAATTTTTGTTGCATCCGGTGAGTAAATCACCGCACACATCCACCTGTGCCCAGTTTTGACTGTCAGGACAGTTTCACCATTCTTGACATCCCTGATTCTTGCCGCCCCGTCCCAGGATCCGCTCAACACCTGATTACCATCTGCACTCCAGCACAATGCACCCACAAGATGGGTATGTTCTGCCCATTTTGCGATAACCTTCCTTGTCTCGACGTTCCATAACTTCACAGTCCCATCGCTGCTTCCACTTGCGACTGTCTCGCCATTGGGAGACAATGCTATGGACCACACTCCTCCGTTATTCCCATCTTGCCAGTCCTCACCTATCTGTGCGCCGCTCTCTATGTCCCATAGTCGGAGTGAGCCATCCAACGAACATGTGATGATGTGTTGTCCGCCATGCAGATGCACAACACCTTGTACCCAGTCGGTATGACCTCGCATAGTTTTGCGTGGCGTGATCGCTGGCGTCTTACTGGTGGAGAAAGACATGGTCTGTGCTCGGTATCTCAACTACGGCAGATTGGGATTATGTATGCGGGACAGGCGGGATCTTCCAATCAGACCAGGTTATTTGGCAGCAGCAATAATTGCTGGTGAGTCCAGGGGCCTATCTTCTGTCTCTTTGTCGCTTGTAAGAAGCATGCCAGCCATTGCTCACGAGACAGCTCACTTACAGGAATCCAGTCCTCACCCACAAGACAAATTTGGGACTGTATATGCAACAGTTGCTGCGGTGCTGTTCGGGAATGTGTGAGAGATTCTTGCTGGTCACTGGTAAGCAGGTGGCAACTAGAAGAGTCTAGAGTATCACTCACGGGAAGCACTTTCTAGACGAACCCAGTGCTCAATCACCAGTGATCACAGGGCGTTTGGTTACGAGTTGAGGAAGCTGGACACACATTCATTCAGGCTGCCTTTTAAGGTGTATCCCACGCGTCATCCTCGTGTTTGCTTCACAGCTTATTGATGTGTAGATCAAGCGCTCAGGTGTGCAACCGGTGTTATGTCCGTCTTCCGATACGTAAGGATGATGTTCAGGTTCATGGTGCCGCACTCCCTCTCCACTCTGCACGTCTATTCTGTCCTATGTTTGAACTCGATGCCGTCAACATTTCAGGACCGACTGGCTCATAACATGAAGAAACGACGCCTACCCCCGGAAATAGTTCAATTCACGGTAAGGATGCTATCAGGACGACGAACGCAACTAAAATTCAACGACTCGATCTCGGAATGGATACAAGTACGCAACGGAATAGGACAGGGAGACCCACTATCTATGATTGCTTTTTAATATATAACGCTGACCTTATTGATATAGCCAACCCCCGCAACAAGGAAACAGCACTAGCCTTTGTAGATGACACGGTGTACATATCTGTAGGACCATCATTTGAAGATACCCACAACACGCTCAAAGACATGATGGAAAGACCGGATGGAGCGCTCCAATGGTCAAGAGATCATAACTCAAGGTTTGAAGTAAATAAATTTGCACTAATTGATTTCACCCACAGCAAGACACGCACCCACCCCTTGATTGTCATACAAAACACCACCATACGTCCAACTGAGCATCATCGATTCCTTGGCCTAATAGTTGATCAAGAACTGACCTGGAAACATCACACAGGACATGCTATAGCTAAAGGCACAGAGTATGTACTTCAGCTATGTTGACTATCGAGGCCTGCCAATGGGATATCGGCAAAACTCATGTGACAATTATACCTCACCTGTGGCTGTACTGAAATTCACCTATGGAGCAAATGTCTGGTTCAAACTGATCTATCGCAATGAGACAATAAAGGAACAACAAGGTTCAATAGGTATAGCAAAGTGTCTAGCTACAGTCCAAAGAATAGCTGCGCTAAGCATCACTGGGACAATGAGAACTACAGCCACAGATCACCTAGACAACCATGCCAACCTCCTACTGGTCTCTCTCCTCCTTCAGAAAGTATGTCACTGAGCTGCCCTTCACTTCACTACCCTTCCACAGTGACACCCAATATATGCACCCTTGCAACACGTCATCAGATACCAAAACACAACCCGTCATTGATCATCACTCCACAACCTCATAGCCACCTACCAAATTCTTCCCAAGGACATTGAAACACTTAACCATATCAGCAGATCAGACAAACAATGACCAAATGTCTATCGCACTCACATAACAAGAAAGGAGAAGGAAGCTATAAAGGAGCAGAAAGAACTGATGGACGAAGTCCAGGTCTTCACAGATGGCTCAGGTCATAATGGAAAGATAGGAGCAGCTGCAGTCCTACTGTGAGAAGGGCAAGTGCCAAGAATACTGAGGTATCACCTAGGCTCAGATCGCAAACACACAGTATATGAGGCAGAAGTCGTAGGCCTAACACTTGCAGCAAAGCTCATAGCCATGGAAAGGAACATGACATATCCGGCATCGATATTCATTGACAATCAAGCAGCTATTCAATCTGGTGAGAGTCAGTACATGAAACCGGGCGGATACTTAGTAGAGCATTTCTGCAACCTCACAGCGCAACTAGCTAAGCAAAGAGACAACAGAGGACTCAACTTTGACCTCACGATAAGATGGATCCCAGGACACAAGGGAGTAGAGGGAAATGAAATAGCAGACGAAGCAGCAAAGAAGGCAGTGGAAGGAATGAGAAAGTCAAGTCCAAGAAAATGACTACCATCATTCCTCCAAGTCAACAAGCTACCAGACAGTGTTTCAGCCCTGAAACAATGGCACCAATCAGACCTAAACATAAGATGGGCAGAAAAATGGAAGAAATCACCTCGATACACCCACTCATCAGCCATCGACCCCAGCATGCCATCCAACAAGTTCATCAAGCTAGTCGCCAACCTCCCAAGATGCCAGACCAGCATCTTCACCCAAATATAAACCCACCACTCCCCTCTCAACCAGCACCTCCATCATATAGGAAAAAGTGTCTCACCTCATTGTCCATTCTGTCCAGAGATAATGGAAACTGTTCCTCACTTCCTATTTGACTGCCATCAGTACACAAGAGAACGTCACGTACTATCCAACGCTCTACGCCGCAAAGCAAATTCCCTCACCTATCTGCTCACATCAGAAGAGGCAATCAGTCCACTAATGCAATATATTAACAGCACAGGAAGGTTCAAGACTACATTCGGTGAGATTTCGGACTCGTAAAAACTGTAAATGATTCAAGCATGCACATAACAGACAGAACATACAAGAACAAATGTAAAACACTCAACACTCCGAGACAGGAGGGAAAGACTAGCGCAGGATGCTTAGTCACTGTAGAAGAAGAGAAGAAGCAGAAGGAGAACCAAGTTGGCCAGGGACCCCAGGATCAAAACCGCGACAACACCAACACGCATACAATGCCAACCAATACTCCCAACCTACTACTACATACCACTACATCATTCCCTCTGTACAAAATCAGTGTCGGCCTTTGCCCGACAACATGCTGACGGAGTACGCGTACACCCACTCAACACCAAGATAGATTATTACACTACATACGATAGATAAGTGGGAGTAAGCCCCCCGCGCATAGGGCTATGTCCAACATAGGGTCTACGACCCTAAAGGACAATAAATTGGATTTAAAAATAAAAATAAAAAAACATTTCAGGATATATGCAGGCAGTGCAGCATGTTAATAACCTTGGTCCCTAGAATGGAGTTGTTGTTTACCAAGGAAGTACTTCATTGTCACTACTTCGCAAATACCACCTCGGGACGAAGTCATTTCGCTTCATTGCGAAAGCCGACAGTTCATTGTATTACAGCAGCTTCATCTTCGTCTCCCAGTCTATAAATTCTGACCCTCGCTCTATTCCGAAGGATATCTCATCGTTATGTCAATTCGGCTGCGATTGCATATAGACTTATTACAATTTCAGTATGACCCTGACGTCTGGAATGAATCAATAATGTCTACGAGATGCCTTTGATTTCGTGTGTGGTGTGTGGTATGTTCATTCATTGTCTCCTGGTTACACATAGAAGAGCTTAATCATGACGTGACTACAGTGATACACGACAGTTGAACGAAAGTCAGCCGTCGGAAGTGGATCAACTTGAATCTACGCATCATTACATATCAGCGATAGCATTCTACCAGCGTCTGGTCAGCCGATCCTTTTTGACTGGGTACGAGAGGGTATGACAAGCTGATGGGTGAGTGATCATGCCAATAGTACACATTAGTGAGATCTGATGTGAGATGGAGGGTTGTTGGAGCTGCGCGAGCTTGATCAAGGGTGGTCCCCCGAACGCCTTATCTATATCCCTAGATCCCAAACCTCTACCCTGGATAGGTGCTTATGGACATTCGGTATCGGGTCCCGGGGCCTTCTGGGGCACGCTGCACAATCGAAGTTCAAAATAGTCCAGGATGGTAGCAACATATAGTTAAATCTCCGTTCACCGCAATCAATTCAACTATCGTCCAATCAATATGTACGGGCAAGCAACTGGTCAGCTGCCAGATTCGCCCCAACACGTGTTCAAGCTTTCAAGCCCTTATCAATTCGTCATGATCTTAAAAGCAGGACGGAGCACACGCTATTGGCATTGGTGATTTCCTTGCTATGCTCCCTCATTTGTTCCTATCAGAACGTCCCACTGACCTATTCGACAGCCTACATGATACATGACCCCAATATCGCCACTCACGAGTGTCAATGTGATATACAATTCTCTCTCACGTTGTTCGGACCGTGCAGTTGTAACTCATGATGCATCCTATGCCCTTCTACGAGATCCTGTTTTCATGGAACACTCCGGGTGGAAAGACCAGAATGCGATGATGTTTTATCTGCTTTCTACCATCTTCAGGAACGCTCGAGGCGCCCACGACTATCCTGTGGCATATTGGCACGTTGCGTATCATTTATACGAGGAGAACCTGCACTGCAACTGCAAACCAGTAGCACTGGTATTCAAACACTGTTGCTGGTTCGCTGATACAGTGCGGAGACTCAGATGGTCTGATAATGCTTTTCCCGGTAGGTGAAGAATCGTGTGGTGACCACGATGCGTGCTTTTGTTGCCCTCCGATCCCAGTGGGACGATCAGAGCAGAGCGGTGATATCTCTCTTCCAATTTCCCATTTTGCTTTTACTACGCATATACTTCCATCCGTAAGCACGTCCCTTGTGCAACAGTGTCCCACCAAAGCTTATTCTTATCAGCTAGGTACTACGATACGATTGCATGTCCGCTATGTATGTGTCGTTATTTCGTATCCATGCAAATGACGGATAGTCGTCAATCACGCAGGATGGGCCACATTAACGGCGGGTGAACTCCTGCACCCACCAAGACGTCCAGGTGAGGATATAGTATGCCAAATCGCAAGCAAGGCACTCAAGGTAGACACGGGAAGGAGCAGAGTTCGAGACGAAGCTGAAGCCTTGAATTCTGGACATCGTTGCTACCTGTGGTCTGCCTATCTTATATCAGCCCGTTGTCTTCCTTCGTTCATGAAGGATACTAGTGTTTGTGTGTTGGAATCTCACAAGATTCCCTGTTGTGTGCACTGGACCTTCATATTTCAGAGACGTATAAAGCAGATAGTCTCCTGCTGCGATAACGTACTGTTTGCTTAATAAAACAATCGAATCGAAATTTTATGGTGGTTCAGTTCGCGTTGCAAGACCAGCTCATAACCAATGCGCAGTAACAAGACACCATCGTCTAACAGGATGCGCATCGCAGCGAATTCAGAAAATATGAAGTTCCCAGAGGTGACAGCAGCAGCGATGTACCTTCATCGAACAGCAAAAGCATGTCACAACGATTTAGAGTTGAAAAAAAAAAGTTCCAGTACTGTGCCGTCCGTAATCCACGAATCTTTAGCAAAGTTTGCATAGAGAAGTAAAACGGCCGGTCGTAGCACAAACAGCAGATCAATGCGCCGCACAAAGGTCGCACGGCAACACTCTGACACAGACACGTCATGCCACCTATGCATTCCAGGTAGATGACGGCGGGAAATCAGAACGGACCGGCGAGCGTGTCATTTGCAATCCTACCAGTCGGGGGCAACATACAAGGAATGCAGTTGTGATTAGGATGGGTGTGCACGTGCAGTTAGGCGCAAGGAACGATCAGATCTAAGTTAAGATGCACAAACTTGCTGCCAGGGGTACCTGAGGAATGGATGCTGGTGGGGCGACCGGTAGACGAGAGGTTCCTCGTGCAGCATCAGTATTTGCAGTCATGACACCTTTCTAGCAACAACTTGCCAGAAGGACAATCAAGGTTGAGGAGGTCGCAAAAAGTGAATGCATCCATAACTGGATGACATGGCATTAATGAATTAGAAAATGACCTCGGTAAAGAGAAAATAGTGTACAAAAGAACTAGATACATTTATAAGATAGTTGTACACATGCTGCGTTAATGACCATCGGCATGTGGGGGAGACGTACAACAAAGGAAAAGCACAAGGCGAACCCGCGATAGAAGGGGTCGTGACTGCATGTTTGCAGCATTTGGTGGAGTAGGGCTAGTCGCAGGAGCAGGAGGTGCCACGGACGTCGAGGCGGCAGCAGACTGAGTCTGCGACAATGATGCCTCAGGCTGGGCTGGGCCTTGTGGCTGGCATTGCTGTTGCTGCTGCTGTGTTGGTTTTGTATTGCCATTGGTGTGCTGAGGAGATACACAGCAAAGAAAAAGCACGACATGAGCCCACCATGGGACGGGTCGCGACTGTGCAAGCGTTGCAGTACCGTTAGATTGAGTGTGTGGATGAGGTCGCGGCTGCGGAGCAACATACAATGCCTGTATGAAAATCATCAGGCACCAGAAATGGACACACTTGAGAAGGCCATACCTCCCTGTCCCGCACTGCAGCCACTTCGACAACACGAGGACGCCTTGGACATTGCGAGAGTTCAATTTCTTCATTGGTGAGGTTGAGAGCGGAAGAGCGAGGACAGGAGACCAATGAGCACATCCGGACGTGAAACTGAAGGCGTTGTGGGGTGAGGTTCGATTTCTCCGATGGTGTTGAGTGGAGAGTGTGGCCAATGTGAGGACAAGCTAGCGGGGAGCGCATGTAAATCTAACCGTGAAGGAGTGGAGGGTTGCTGAAGTTCGTTTGATGGATCATTTTCAGATGGAGAGTGGTGAATGAGTGAGGACAGGCGAGCGAAAATCACACAAGGATGTAACCCCGGTCCCCGAAGGCGTTGAGGGTTGCGGAAGTTCGGTGGAGGGTGCGTTCTGAATATTATGTCATCACACTAATCAACGTCACGGTTTCAACTTGAACTCGGCCCTAACGTCCGACCAGCAGGAATCCACTTTTGACTGAGAAGCTGGTAGTAGGTGAGCGATTATCCACATCAATAGTCCTAGTGATATTGATGCAAGATAGAAGAGATGGAAGGTTGATCATGACGGAGGTGCGCGAGCTCAATCGAGGATGGTACCCTCGAATGCTTACTGAAATTCGTAGATTATGAAACCCTGCGCTGGCTGGGTACCTATCAACATGTGGCATCGCTCCCGGTGTTCTTCTGAGGCAGGCCGCATAATCGATGGCAGTCGATGGTTAAGAATGGCCGTGATGTGCCGGGATATTGGGTAAACTGTCTACCCTCCTACTGCCGTTCACCCAGTAACCGGGAACTTCGGTTCTAGCTACACTATCCCAATCAGCCATGTCCAGATCGGTTGACCGGTCGGTGCTGATCGGCTGCCAGCTTTTCCTCAACACGTGTTGAAGCTTTATCAAATTTCCGTGACCTTAAAGGCAAGCACGAGCAAACCATTTTGGCATTAGCGATTTCCTCACCATGCTGTTTCGTCCATTCATATCAGACCTTCCTGCTAACCTCCCTATATATTATTCCACAGCCTACATTCGGGACTCGTGGTCATCACGCGATGTGTAACATTACATTTCGATCTAGGACAGGCGAGAGGTTGTTATATATCGCCATATTCACCTCGTCAGATCGAATACGAGATGTTCATGTCACATCTTGGTCAGTGAAGCAATTGCTCTTCTCCCAGGCTGGAGGGTCTGCGAACCGCGCTGTTCCAACTTATGATGCGCCTGCATATTTTTCCACGGGATACTGTTCTCTTAGAACACTCGAGACGACAAAAGTCAGTGGTGCGATGCTGTTCCATTAACTTTCCTCCATCTTCGGATCCTTCGGCGCTCGAGGTCCCCATGACCGACCAGTGGCCGCTATATCAACATGCCCCCACGAATCATTTATACGAATCTGCAAACCAATAGCATTGGTTTTCAACCACTGCTGTTGGTTCGCTGATCCGGTGCATGGACTGGGAAGTTTTGGTTACTTTTTCTTCCTGGCAGGTGAAGAATCGCGCCAACATCATGATACGTGCTTTCTAAACAAGATGCCAATATCACTCTCTCACTTGGCTTCTGATTACGCATCTGTTTTCCATTTGCAAGGTGTGCCCCACCAACGCTCGTGCTTATATCATTCTACAAGATATTACTACTCGTAGAATAGCTTGATCTCCGGGAACTTGAGCCAGACGGTCTGGAAGGGTGAACCCTTGAAGGTGAGACAATATGTCAAGCAGAACTCCTGAGACGGGTAACATGCCTTGTTTTCATCGTATTTGGAGACCATGATTTACTCTGCATGATGCTAGGAATATTATAGAAGATAATGGGTTTGAGCCCTGGCATCGACATTGTTTCCATAGATGATCCGCGTAGGGTAGCACGAGGTTGGGTTTTGCCAGCACTTGATGTAAAGGCAAAGCTCTTAGTTATGGAAAGCTGTCTGCCCCTCCGAATGCGGATTACAGTATCGGACGTTCATGTTATCAAGCGGCAGTACTGGCTTACAGTTTGAGCTTTATGTGAGTTGCCAATATTTTACTCAAACGAAGGCTTACTAAGCGAGCGGACGTGTAACTGAGACACGTTTTGAAATCGATACACATGTCTCTCGTCTCGCTTTCATCTCGTTTGCATTTAGTCGTCTTGTGCGACCCTCATGTACAGCCCGCGAAATATCATTTCGTTCTTTCAAACGCGTTCACTCGCAGACCACGCCAAAGTGCTTCATTCGATCGACTGCGTTTGTGTTAGTTATACATTCTTGTTCGCCTGATTAGACTTTTGTGAGCAGAACCAAAAACGCTCGATTTTTTTCCGGTGGTCCAGCTTGTGTCGGAAGACCACCTCATGACAATGAGTCTGACCAGTCTATGGGATTTCTCCAGCACTACATCATCCACAGTCCACGCGTCTTCACAGACAGCGGATATGAATGTCTGGGTAGCACGCCGTGCAAAGGTCCTATGGTCCTATAGCCACCCTCTTGCATAGACATATCATGCCACCGCCCATGCCCCTGGGCAGATCATATAGCAGGACGCCGCGAGACCAACGTACTGCTAGCCGGACAACATGCATGCATGTCATACAGAAAATGCGGTTGGGAGGATGTGCACGTGCACTGGTTAGGGGCAGGGCACGATCAGGTTGGAGTCAAGATGCACGGACTTCTACCAGGTGCCCGAGGAATGGATGCTGATGGGATGAGTAGTAGAATGCCCTTCGTATAGTACCAGGATCTGTAGCCAGGATTCGCACGTTTCTCGCGACTTCTCAGGAGTACAATCGAGGCAGCTTCACGATACTAGGAGACAAAAAGAACTAGCTGCAAAGGATGAAATGATAATCCACATGCATGCATATTTTTTTTAATGGCACGTCATTGCTTTTCCACCATCTAATGCTGTTTTTCTCATTCCATAGCCGCTTACCGTCCAGTGAGTGCCGTCATTTCACCATTTTTTATGGAGTCGTACTTTGAGGTGTTGTTGAATACTGATGGCCGTTCAAATGTTACACCGAGTCGCATTCAGTTTGAATTACGGTGTGTTCGTGATGTTGAAAACTTTGCTGGCTTCATTTGACCGTACGTGTATCGATCCAAATCTACGCGCTTGCTTGCCCCCTTTTTCGATGGCCATCGCTTACCATCCAGTGAGTTCTGTCGTTTCACCATTTTTTGTACAGTTGTATGTGGTCGGACGCTGATGGGCCCCCATATATTTCACCAAATGCAAGTTAAAGAGCATTCTTGTCTTCTCTGCCGAATTTCAGGTAAAAAAAATTGTCACATTACCGCATGATCACTTCGACCGTGACAACCTACTAGTACGCGTTTCCCCTGTTCTGCGAAGTTTAAGGACCACCACAATGTCGATCTCCTACCAAGAGATTGATTCTCACCAAGTCCTGGACTCAATCATATTATTCAGCAAGCAGTCCATACGCGCTCATTCCCCAGTGAATTGAAATCGTGGTCTTTTCTTGATCTGTTTCGTGGATTTAAAGAGGTTCATTGTCGGGGTGTATTGAGCCAGTGTTGAGCGTTCGATTGAATTATGGAATGAAGATCTGGACGGAGAATGGGCTGTGCAGAAAAACAAACCATTATCACCGTGATGTGAAGAAAGAGATACGAGTACAGAAGAACTAAAAAATAGTTGTGTACCTATATTAATGATTATCGGCGTGCGGGGGAGATGCACAGCAAAGAAACAGCACGAAGCGAGCTCGCAATGGAAGAGGTCGTGACTGCACGGTCGCTGCACCTGATGCGGTAGTAGTAGGAGCAGGAGCAGGAGCAGGAGGGGTCGTGGATGTCGAGGGGGCAGCAGGCTGAATCTGCGACGATGATACCTGACCCTGGGCTTGACCTTGTGGTTGGCCTTGCTGTTGTGCACCTCCATTGGCATGTTGAGGAGATGCGCAGCAGAGAAAAAGCACGAAATGAGCCAACAATCGGACGGGTAGTGGATGCGCATATCTTGGATGTGGTGGAGCAGGATCAGCAGTACATGGAGCAGGCTGTGTCGTGGACGAACTCTGGGCGTGCGATTGGGTTTGCTGCTGTGTTTTTTGTGGTGGCGTCGGAGCAGTAAATATGACCTGGATAAAAATTATTAAACTACGCCGATTGTGATCGAGGAGAGACATACCTCCCTGTCACGGACTGCAGCAACTTTGACGATACGAGGACCACGAGAGAAGATGGACCGCCTTGGGCGTTGCTGGAGTTCGGTCGCATCATTGACATTCCGGTGAGAGCGGTGGAAAGGCGACCAAAGGCGACCAAAGAGCGCGCTCGCGCTCCCCAAAGAGGGTGCGAGATTACGGGGACGGCGGGAAGAGGAACGGTGATAGTTACCGTACGTTCGGGAGGGCTGAGATCAAGAGGTCAGAACAGGAACCAATTAAAAACGCTGATGACACACATAAGCACCACCTGTCACGGCATTGAAAAAGTCTGGCGAAAGGTCATCATCTTCTGCCTGCGTAGCATCCGCCTACATAGAAAATCAAGGTTGTAACCACTGGGAAGGTTGAGAAACAAATTACGTACGTCCATTAATGATTCTTGAGCTGTAGCCTGCGAGTGGGAGATCAGCATAGTTTTGACTGAGGAATCATGTAATTTACCTTAGATAAAGGTTGGAGGAGGTCTTCAAGGCCAGTTTCTTTGAGGATGGCATGAATGTCCCATGTGTACGCGTTTTTGTTTTCGCAACCAGTGACTAACAGTTTTCCATCAGCAGAAAGGGCTGCACACCACAATGCATCTTCGTGCTGGAAGGGTGGTTCGATTGGGAGGTTGGTGTCGAGATTCCATAGACGCGCCGTTTTGCCATATGATGCACTTACAAGTAGGCGTTCATTTTGAGACAAGGTGATGGCATTGATATGGGTTGTGTGACCCTCCAGGATAGCGACCTCCTCCCAAGTGGTTGTGTCAAATATCCTAATGGGGCCGTATGAACCGGAGATAAGTTTCTTTCCATCCAACGTCCATACCAAGCTCCAAACAGGATGATTGTGTTCGAGCGTGCTCAACAGTTCGGCTGGCATGGTATTCCAGATTTTGACCGCATCCTCGTTGCGTCTGCCCATTGCAATTTTTGTTGCATCGGGCGAGTATATCACCGTGTTCACCCACTGGTGCCCGGTTTCGATTGTCAGGACAGTTTTGCCGTTCTCAACATCCCAGGTTCTTGCCGTCCCATCCCAGGATCCGCTCGCTACTCGACTGCCATCTGCACTCCAGCACAATGCACCCACAAGATCGGTATGTCCTATCCATTTCGCGACGACCTCTCTCGTCTCGACGTTCCACAACCTCACTTTTCTGTCATCACATCCACTTGCAACTGTCTTGCCATTTGGAGACAATGCCATGGACCGCACTCCTGCGCTGTCCTCTTCATCTTTCCAGTCCTCTTCCACCTGTGTGCCGCTCTCCAAGTCCCATAGTCGGAGTGAGCCGTCCGTCGAACATGTGATGATGTGACATCCACCGTGCAGATATACAATATCATTTACCCAGTCGGTATGACCTTTCATTGTCTGACGTGGCATGATCGCTGGCGTCTTGCTGGTAGAGGAAGACATGATCGGCGCTCGGTATTTCAACTATGGCAGATTGGGGACTATGTATGCGAGAGAGGCGGGATCCGGCAACAGCAATAATTCCTGGTGGGTCCAGGAACCTGTTTTTTTCACTTTAATTCTTGTCAGAGCACACAAGCCACTGCTAACAAGACAGCCTTACAGGATCCAATCCTCACCCAGAAGCTTACTTCGGGACTGTCTATGGAGGAGGTGCTGCGCCGTTATTTGAGAAATCAAAATTTGCAAGAGATCTTTGTGGGTATCCGAAGTTGCTGGTAAGCGTGTCGTCAGTTGTATCCTGCAGAAAAACCTAGAGTATCACTTACGAGCGAGACCAGCGATCAGACTCCCAGGGTGTCTGGTTGGTAGTTGAGGAAGTTGGACACCCGTTTGTTCAAGCGTTTTGCAAGGTGCGTCCCATGCGTCATCCTCGTGTTCGCTCCACAGCTTATTGCTGTGTAGATCAAGCGCTCGCGTCTGGCCGGTGCTATGTCCATCTTCCTATATGTCAGGACTATGTTTGATAGTTATAGCTAACATTCGACGGGGTGCTGCACTCCCTACCTACTGCACGTTTCATCTCGTCTACCTTCGAATTTGATGACATCGACTCTCTTAACACGTCTGCAGGTTATGGAACAGCGCCTATTTCTAGGGTGGACTTTCATTTTCCAATGAGGTACGTGTTCATATCGAACAGCCAATAGAATGTATCATGAGTGTTGCCACCATACTCCCCTCTCAAATGCACATCCTTCTCCGTCAGATGTCGTATCGCATGACCTGAGTATCGACACGGTCTTTGAGGGACGTCAATGTGATCCATCGAATCTACCATCATATCAACTTAAACTTGTCTTGCGAAAATGGTATCCCATGGACAGGTGCCGCGAGTCCAGGAGTTTTGTTTGGAAGGTCATTTCATAGGTATGCATCAATCCTCCAATCCTAGGTCAAATGAGACGATGACGGTGGCACTTATGCCATGCAGGCATCAACACGAATTTCTACAAATTCATGAACGAGCCTCAAACACAACAAGTACGCTTCAGCGTTTTTGGAAGAAAAAGATCAAGTCCAAATCGCATGGACAACAAGACCGTATGTATCACATTGCTTGGTATAGCAGTACACGTAACAGGAGCAGGAGGTGTCGTGGGCATCGATATAGCAGCAGACCAAGTTTCGAATGATGCCTGGACGTGAGCTTGACCTTGTGAATGGCCTTGCTGTTACTGTTGTGTTTGTTTCGCAGGTGGAAGAGATGCACAGCAGAGAAAAAGTATGTCTTGGTCACTGGTATGATAGTACCAGCAGGCTGAGTGTATGGACGTTCTCATTCCAGTTGCGAAGCAACAGCTAATAGCTGCAGAACAATCACTGAGCCGCAGTGATTGGAAGCGCACGGGAAGAAAACCATACCTTTTGTCCCGTGCTGCAGTTAACTCTAGCAACATAAGGACCAAGAGGAGAAAAATAGTTCACCTTGGCTGTCGCTGGAGCTCCATTGCTTCATTGGTGTTAGGGTGAGAGCGACAAGCAAGTGACGAAAGGCGGCCGAGGATAATTGGACTCAGACCCCCCGAAGAAGGTGCATGAGTACGGTATGCGCGATTCTTCCTGGTGTTCTTCTGAGGCACATTGCAGAATCTACGACAGTTGATGGTTTAGAATGGTCGTGATGTGCCAGGACGCTGGGACCACTCCCACTACCACTCACCCAGAAAGGAACTTCGCTTTTGAGTACATCCTTCCGATCAGCCATGTGCAGACCGGTCGACCGGTTGGTGCTGGTCAGCTGTCAGCTCTCCCTCAACATGTGTTATAAAGACCTTATCAACTTGCCGTAACCTTAAAAGTAAAGATCGAGCAGGCACATTATGACATTAGCAATGCCCTCCCCGCACTCTTTCGTTCATTCATGTCAGAGCTTCCTGCTGAACTCCCCTACCTGTTGTTCCATAGTCTACATGGCAGATGAGCCCGACGCCGCGACTCGTGGCTATTACCCAATATATAGCACTCTCCATCCCAGTATCAAAGGATAGTTTGTGATATATATCACCATATTCACTCAGTCATATCCATCGAACACAAGTTTCTCGTATCATATTTCGGTCAATGAACCAATTGCTCTTCGGACTGCAGTTCAAGCTCACATGCATTCTCGTAGAAGGAGAAGGTTGGTGGTACGATGCTGTTCCATCAACTTTCCTCCGTCCACAGGACATTCAGCGTCCTAGGTATCTATGGCCGTCATATGGCTGTTATATCAGCATACACCCATGTATCATCTATATGAGAACTCACACTATGTAAACCAGAAATACTGAACATGATTCAGCTGACTAGTTCGCATAGTGTGAAGACTCGTAATTTTGTATCGCCCTTTCTCGCCTGGTGAAGAGAGGTGCAAGAATACGATACATACTTTCATTACCGCAGTCACGGTATCTGCGATAACTTTTTGGGGTTTTATTGCCTGCTTCGTCTACGTCGATATCATGCGACAGACTGGATTTTCTTATGAGAATCAAGGCTCACAAACCTGGTGTTCGATCGACAGCGATCAGCGGGGTCGATTTCATAAGAAATATTGCCCACATGCTGCAACGTTAATGACCAAAGGCATGCGAGGGAGATACATAGCAGAGAAAAGCATGAAGCGGGCCCGTAGTGAAAGGGCCCATGACCATCCGGTTGCTGCACCTAGCGTGGGACTAGTAACGCGATGATGGTGCCTGAGCCTGTACTTGGCCTTGGGATTAGTCTTGCTGGTACTGCTGTGTTAGTTTCGCCAGTGGATGAGAGGTACATGAAAAAGTACAACACGAGCCCACCATGAGATAGGTTGTGACTGTGCAGGCGTTGCACCTAGTGTGGCAGTACTAACAGGTTAAGTGTGAACGTTCTCATTCCGGCCGCGAAACAACAGCCAATACAAGGACATCATTGAACCACAGTGATCGGAACGCACACGAGAAAAACATACATATTTTGTCCAAGCTGCAGCTACTCCAACAACATGAGGACCATGAAGACAAAAGATACTTGGCCTTAGGGTGTAACTGGAGTTCGGTTGCCTAGTCGGTGTTAGAGTGAGAGAGACAAAAAAGGAAGGGAAGGCGATCGAGGATGGTAACTAGATGGCCCGAAGAGGGTGTGCGAGCACGGCGATAGTGATGTTCAGCAGAACGATGATGAATACCGTGCGTAGCTGAGGACTGAGTACAGAGGTGAGAACAAGAGACATTCAAAAACGCTAATGGCTCACATGGACACCGTCTCGCGCGCCATCGAAGAGGCCTGGTGGTAGTCAATGTGCTTCCCTGAGCTTGACTGGACGTTGCGCTATGGAATCACTCTCATGTTGATGTTGAAAAGTTCGAAAAGTTCAAGAAATGGCACGTCACATACATTTATTATTTCATGAACGAGTTTCTAACTGGGAACAGTAGGTCTTCGAGCCCAGCTTCATTTAGGATGGCATGGATGTCCCAAATTTTGGTCGCTGCAACTTTGTTGCAACCAATGGCATTCAAACTAGTACCAGGTGCGCGGGTAATCGGCAAACACCGAGAACGGGCTCAGGTGACAGGACTTGTGCAGTTGTATCGCGTCAACATGCCACTGGCCAGTATCGCCGCAATCGAGTCAAATATCTAGTTGTTTCGATTAATTAGTCGATTATGGTCATGAAAGGCTCTACCGTCACCGCTTTCTCAGCGCTTACTGCTCTCTGCTGCATCCCCCTTCGACATCGCGTAACTTGTTCTATCGAGTATGTTTACCACGGAGAACCTCATCCTCCGCGGATTCCAAGATAATGATCTAGGGGAAATTCTTGCTCTGCGGAACGACCCCCTCGTCCAACGCACCCAGACATTCTCAGCTATTGCGCCTGCACCTTCCTCAAAGTACAAGGAGTATATGAAGACTTTTGCCGAGGGCTCAGCACTCTGGTTTTCTTTGGTACACAAGGAGTCCTTGAATTTTATCGGTTTCTGTTGCATCAATTTATTGGAGGCGAAGAACCGGGATGCACGCTTGGGTATAACCATTGCCTCTGAGTTCTGGGGGAAGGGATATGGAACGGAAGCCACGCGCTTCACTGTAAACCATGCGTTCAGATATTTCGGATTGCAGCGCATCTCTTTGGATGTTACAGAAGGCAATGCCAGAGCACGGGCGGTTTATGCCAAACTGTGAGTAACTAATAAATTTATGATGCGGGCAGGTTTTGACTTTTTTCCTCAGAGGTTTTAAGGTGGAAGGAATAAAACGACGGGGAAATTGGGTAGATGGACATTGGGAAGATATTATCTATATGGGAGTTCTGGATGATGAATGGACGGAGATGTATCCTGAGCACTGAATGAGGATTATGCGGGCCTGTTTGGACTTGCGAGATCTGTCATGGGTTTGGAGGAGGCCCTTGCAATTGGTCGATATCGATTATTATGGCCAGGCCATCAATTATACGACATCAGAAGCCTAGATACGGCTTACATAAGGCATCGCCTATATCATATATGTCTCACGATCGCCGTCGTGCGCCCAGCCTCTTTATCGGGGCGAGATACCCCTATGACGTCGTTCCCGTATATAAACGCTCTCTCTCGACACATCAATCTCACTACCCCCTTTCTCCTGACATCGAACTACAACCATGGATACTGCAGCTAGTCAACTCCATGCTGAAGTCAATCGACTTCAGCACGAGCTTCAAACCTTGAAAGTACAATACCATGCCGAAGACGATGAGCTCATCACCGTCTCTGAGTACATTTTGAAGAGATTGGAACAGCTCAACGTGAAGGTATGCGTCCCCTTAATCATATTCATGGAATACAACGCCCATTTCTTGCCCACAGTCCATTTTCGGAGTACCGGGGGATTTCAACATGCGTATGGTTTCTTTAATCATCGACAACTTATGTATACTGACGATCTTGTGTAGCTTTCCTGGTAAATTATTGCGCATATGAACAGCGCAAGCACTGATATTCCACACTCCAATCCTTAGGACTACATTGAAGACCATCCCACAATCGAATGGATCGGAACCTGGTAATCAGTTCATCATGTTGGCTACACGCTATCTTACACCATTATAGCAACGAGTTGAACGCAGCTTACGCAGCTGATGGATATGCCCGCGTCAAGGAGCACAGCATAGGCGTAGTTGTAACAACGTATGTTCAGTAGTCGATAAGCATTATCTACCAGTGACCTCAACAATTTACAGGTTCGGCGTTGGCGAATTGAGTGCCATCAACGGAGTTGCAGGCGGTAATTATTGCTCGTGATTTTTGCTCGTGATTACTCACAGATCAACCAGCGTTCTCTGAAATGGTCCCTGTTCTTCATATCGTCGGAGTGCCTAGCACTACGCAGTTGAAAAACAAGCCCATGCTCCACCACACACTTGGCAATGGAAAGTATGTATTTCTCCTCCTCTTTGTCAATCTAGTATCTCACCTTCACCAGATTCGACGTATATACAAAAGCTGCGGAAAATGTCACCATTGCTCAGGCTATACTTATGAATAAAGCACAAGCTGCAGTCGAAATCGATCGAATCCTCACCGAGTGCATTACTAATGTAAGTCCTGATTGCCCGCCTCCACCCATTCAAGTAGTGAATGTCCCGCAGGCTCGTCCCGTTTACCTCACTATTCCGATGGACCTCACCTCCGAAAAAATCTCTGCGAAGCGCTTGAAGGTCGAGCTTTCACGAGCCCCTCCTCCTAATGACCCAAATGTCGAGAGCTATGTTCTCGACGAGATTATGGAGCTCGTGGACGATGCTAAACAAGACGTCGTTGTCCTCGTCGATGCTTGCGCTATTCGTCACGACTTGCGCCAGGAAGTCGACGACCTTCTCGTGAAAACACGCTTTCCTGTATACGCAGCACCAATGGGCAAGACGGCAGTGAGCGAGGAGCATGAACGATACGGCGGTGTGAGTTTTTACCCCTGTTTTTCGCTCAAGACCGTTCTGACGCTTCTATAGATTTACATCGGTTCAGTCACGGATCCGTCCATCAAGGAGAGGGTCGAAAACGCAAACCTTATCCTCTCAATTGGCGCATTGAAGTCAGATTTTAATACTGGAATGTTCACGTACCATATTCCTGCAACGCACACTATCGAGGTAATTTTCCATGACACCCCAGTTTTCTACGCTTAGGTGATTTTTGCAGCTACACTCCGACCATACACTTGTTCGCCACGCAAAATTCCCGGGTATAGGAATGAAGTCGCTTCTCCCGAAGCTCACGGAGAGGCTGAGTAAATATCAGGAGGGCGCATCACGAATCCCTGTTCCGCACTATAAGCTAGATGTTCCAAAGGAAAGTGACGACAAGATTTCGCATGCCTATTTCTGGCCTCGGGTGGGCAAATTCTTCCGGAAGCAGGATATCATCGTTGCTGAGACTGGTGAGTCGAAACTCATCTATTCTCCTTCAAAATGTAGAGCGAACCATACATCTAGGCACTTCAAACTTTGGAGTTTTGGACGTTCCCATGCCCGACAAGTCCGTTTTCGTCAGCCAAATCTTGTATGGAAGCATTGGATGGGCAACCGGTAAATATTGTGAAGTTTCTCTACTGGACCTGCATCTGACGGAAACGGCCGTAGCTTGTACACTCGGTGCGGCGCTCGCGGGCCGCGACAAATGTCTTGGGCGCACCATATTATTCACTGGTGATGGTAGCATGTGCGTAGTTCGTCCATTGTGCTTGAATTTTACTTAAATATCTTGTGTGGCAGGCAACTGACTGTGCAAGAGATTTCGACCATGACCCGTCACAAGTTGACGCCAATAATCTTCGTGCTGAATAACAAGGGCTACAACATCGAGAGGCACTTGCACGGCCTAGATAGGTGAGTGGTCACTGATAAGACAGACCACTTTACATGACAGCTCACGAACTACTGCAGGAAGTACAACGACATTGCAGACTGGTAAGATACTTGTTGCTCTCTTAATTTGTGTTTTGCTTAAACATTCCCTCAGGAAATGGACTTCGCTCCTCACTACTCTCGGTGATATGGAGGGCAAGATGTCAAAGTCGTACATGGTCCGCAGCAAGTCAGAGCTCAACAAGCTTCTCGACGATGACGAATTCGCCAATGCGGGGAAGATACAGTTGGTCGAAGTAATCATGGACAAGTACGACACACCCCGTGCGTTGCAAGCTGCCGCAGACTTGACTGCGAAGATGGCGGCGGGGCAAGTCTGAATCATTAACCAAATGTTTTTCGTGCATTCGAAATGTATAACTACTGTAGTATTACAACAAATTCGACTCCGTTTTGTGCCATTGATGATCGTGTTGTGACTAAAAATGTGAGGAAAATGCGAACAGATTCTACACCTGGGGTTCGGACCGAAAGGGGTGTTCCTCATCCGGTCCGTACATTTCAACCTGACACGTGACTGACGCGTTCCAGGCAATTGGCGCGTCAACCACCAGCGACCACTCTAATCCGAATCAACTTATCGTTCACAATCCGAATCGACCCACTGTCCACAATATTAGTATTGTGCTGCTTCAATACCCACGTTAGATTCAGCCATAAAACCCTCATTTAATTTCACTGTCGGTCACTCGTCACTTCAACCCTGCTACCAACAATACCTCTATAACTTGAGACCAGTGGTTAGCCGGTATAATGGCACACAACTCAGATACTATTCCTCGCAGAATGGGCAACTACTGGCTGCAAGACCGACTTGGGTCAGGCTATTCGGGTACGTACTGAGCCCACTCAACACTGTGAATCCTCACCTAGACCATATCATCCCAGGCTCTATCTTCAAGGCATGTCATATTCACGATGGCACTCTCGTTGCGCTCAAAGTACAAGACGTCGACCACGAGTGCCCAACAAATCGCTATGAGCAAGCCATCTACCCTCTACTGCAAGGAGGAGAGGGTATGCCTCGGTTATGGGCAAGCGGTATAGAGGGAAAATGGCATTATCTGGTTATAAGTCTCCTCGGAAAGAGTCTGGAGAGTATCTACCGACAAAATTTACAATGGGGGAACCAGAGGATGGATCTGCGCAGTGTATGCTCTATTGCGATCCAGGTGGTGAGTTTGCTCGCTGGTTTCTGATCGATGGTATAATTTTGACATCGATCGAATGTGCAGATCGCACGCTTGCAGATCATGCATAACCGCGAAGTTTTGCATCGCGATATACAACTTGGGAATTGTGCTATCGGGTTGACACCTGAAGAGGAAACCATCTATATGATCGACTTCGGGTTTTCCAAACGCTATATCGATCCATACACCCGGCGGCATATTCCAGACTCAAAGCAAAAGAGAGATTTTTTGGGCAACTACTGGTTTACGTCTGTCAACGTGCATTGTAAAGGCAAAGGTCAGTATCCGAGGTTTATTTATGTGTAGCGACTACTTATTAAAACTCTCGCAGTACCATCTAGGCGAGATGATCTCGAGGCCGCTGCATTGATGTTCATACATCTCCTTACGCCTGGAGGACTCTCGTGGACACGGAATGGTGTACCGAAAACCGACGCGGCGCACGATCGCATCAAGCGAGCGAAAAAGAGTGCTTGTCCCGAAGACCTGTGCAAGGGATTGCCTTCTGAGTTCGAAGAGTTCCTGCGGTATTGCAGACGGCTGAAGTTCTTTGACTGTCCTGATTACGACCACTGGAAGGACGAGTTCCAGGAGCTTGCACAGGACAGTGGCTTCACCGACATCGAGCGCTTTATCTGGCCACCACCGCCAGCTCCCAAGGTACGAGGGTTTGTCAGTGCGCCTGAGTTTGTGTTTATTCATTTTTTTCTTCAGGTTCAACCTCAAGTCTCACGGCCTGTTCCTGCACGGCCCACGATTGATGCAGATGAGATGGAGAACGTCCTGAATGACTTGGCTAAGCTCCAGCTCAACCCGCCCCGTCCAATACTTGGGGACCAAACTAATGTCCCTGCCCCTGCGCGAAAAGATACCGCCAAAAAGCCTAGCCAAATCATATTCGTAAGCGACAGCTCCGAGGATGATAGATTGAAGCCAAATGGCCAACCCCTTCCACCCCGCACTCCCGTACGAACGAAGAAAGCCAGTCAGCTGCAGAAACTCAAGCTTTCGGTCCTTGATTCGACGGATAACGCTGCTCTTGCAGTCGCCGTGGAAGAGTTCACGAAATTCCTGCAACTGGGCTCAAGGACGCTCACCAAAGAAGGATTCGCCTTCCTGGATGCACTATACAAACAGCTCGCAGATCCTTCGATATTCGTACACCCGCTTCGGACTTTACGAAGTGCTAATCGAGAGGACAACCAAGCCCCTCAACCAGCGTGCGTGAAATTGGGCGTAGTTGCAAGGCTTCGTCGAGAAGTGGGGACTGCATCGAGTAATAGGGTGCTTGCGAATCTCGTGGCTGACTTTGGTGCCATTACCAACAAGAGTAGTGGCAGGACTATCACCAAGGACGGATTCGCGTTTTTGGAGGGTCTAGCTGCGAGACTACAGGCGTTAAATTAGAGTTCTGGAAGGGAGTACTTGCTTTTACCAGGCCTCTTTCATTAGTGGGATTGAAGTGTTCTAGTGGATTGTTGTGCCTCACGCGCACGGCCTTGTTGCCTGAATCTCACACTCATGTCTTGGGTATCGACAAGATATATATACATACATAGTAATTTGCTCCTGCCCCAATATCGCAACATGTCAATATGATTTCCGATATATCATGAATGAGGCTTAAACACTTGCGTCCTTACCATGAGCAGCGTGCATGGTTCATTGCAATAAAAAGTAGTGTGTTTTCCGACAAGTTGGTTAGTGAGATGTAACTCAACCACGTGTGCCCTCGGTTATCACCGGAGCAATTCTTTTACCCCAATAAATAGACTCGAACACTCTACTTCGTCTGGTTTCCTTTGTCTCTTTCTCCCTTCCTTTTTTTCCGTAGAAGCTCGGATTAGACAGGAGTCTGCTACAGCGATTTCAATCATGTCAGACGGATCAGAGAAAGGCGTTACGACCGTAAGGCAGAATGTCTGCGTTATACCCGACCTCACGATCAAGGACCTGTTGAGCGCTATTCCGTGAGTCTGCACGCGTTTTCAAACGCATCCCGAGGCCAGATACTTATTACTGTCGGTTTTTTCAGCGCTCACTGCTTCAAGCGTTCAGCGTTGCGGTCATCATTATATATGTAGGTTAATACTTGCACAAGATAGCTGGCTCTGACGCGTTTCATGATGATTAGTGTTTACGACCTAGTGGTGATCTCGGGTATCTACAAAACCGCAACTTATCTAGACACTCTCATCTCCCCCGAATACATTTCCCTCCCTCATCCCTTGCTCTATCCCGCTACGCGGTTGTCTCTCTGGGCAGGGTACACCTTCTGGACGGGTCTCTTTGCCACTGGCCTTTGGGTCATTGCTCACGAGTGCGGCCACCAAGCATTTTCCGAGTCTAAGTTGGTCAACAACAGCGTTGGCTGGGTACTGCATTCCGCGTGCGGCCTTAAATTTTATTCTATCCCATCACGTGACTGACAGTACCTTAATTATCTAGGCTTGGTGTACCATACCATTCGTGGAGGATCACACATGCGAAACATCATGCTTCAACTGGTCATATGACTCAGGATCAGGTCTTTGTCCCCAAGACACGTTCGCAACTTGGCTTGCCCGCATTCGACCCGACAAAGGAGGATATTCTTGGTTCGAGTGTTTCGGATGAAGTGATGAAGGAGCTGAAGGAAGCGCTGGGTGACTCCCCTATTGGCGCGACAATTGGCGCTGCTACCTATTTGGTTAGGCAAATTGGATGAGATCTGCGCGATTACGACTAACGGTGTTTTTAGCTTGGCGGCTGGCCTGCGTACCTTATCCGCAATGCATCTGGTCAGAAGCGTTACCCCAAAGGCACCAACCGTGAGTAACGATTCGTTGAAAAGAAAATAATTTAATGATTGATTTTGTAGATTTCAACCCTGATGCTGTGATGTTCGCACCTCACCAGCGCGAGTCAATCATTCTGTCTGACATCGGAATCGTGCTGTGGCTCGCTGGTATCACCGGCGCTATCTATACATACGGGTTCTGGAACGTGTTCCGTCTCTACTTGATGCCTTACCTCTGGGTCAACCACTGGCTTGTCCTCATCACGTTCCTCCAACATACCGACCCGCTTCTTCCCTCACTACCGTGCCTCTGAGTTCACTTTCCCTCGTGGTGCTTTAGCTACCTTGGACCGCAAGCTTCTTGGTGGCTGTGGCTCAATTATGGGTTGGATCGGTGGTCATGCTACCCATGGTATCTCTGAGACCCACGTCCTTCATCACGTCTCCAGCAAGATCCCTCACTACAACGCTTGGGAAGCTTCTGATGCTCTTCGTAAGCGCCTTGAGCAAGCAGGTATTCAGCTTGAGGGTGCTCCGGGTGGATGGGGGGAAGTCTACAGGGTTTTCAAGGAGTGCAAGGTCAGTATACTTCTACTTCAGTCCGGTATATATTCTGAGACATCGTTTAGTTCGTCGAGGATGAAGGTAACATTCTTTTCTACAAGAACTCCTCTGGTCTCGCTGCCACTCGCCCTGCGTTCACTGACGGTAGCGCTAGTGACTCTGGTATTGAGATTGACAAGATCTAAAAGTGTTAGAGATACCGATAGATCGCCCGCTTGGCTATTTCCTATATTATGATCCATAACATAGATGGTGTCATGTCGTTGGGGGGGGGGGGGGGGGGGGGGGGGGTTGGCGGATTATTATTAGAGTCCTACGATTATGATAATTCTAATGGACGACAAAATGAGTGAATTTGCTGACCACACTCATGGAGGTTGAGTGTCATTCTGCGCCGTGCGGTACATCTGAGAACTTGTCGATGTTTCGACCGCTACTGGGCGAGAGGACTTGGATTGACACCATCTTATTTAGTGGGTGGATGGGTTGCGTGTTGTGACTGGATGTGAAGGTGAGTCGATGATACGAAGCTCAGGTCTGATAAAAGTTCCGCATGCGTGAATAGGACGAATCCGTTCGGGGCAAGATCTGATGATGGCCATTAATCGTCATCATTCATGGACTGCTGAATCTCTTTCTTCCACAAATCTGAGAAGTCGTTGATATCCCGACCGTTACTCAGCGCGAGAGCTTCGACTGGCAACATGTTGTGTTGGTGAGCTGGTGCGTTACGCGATGCGACCGGATGTAAAGGTGAGTCGATGATACGGAGTTCGGGTGCGCTCAACCCATGCGTGAAGACTGACGAGAGTTCTTCGTACGTGAATAGGAGGGGATCCGTCCGGGGTGCGTATGGGTTGAAGTCTAGGACATGCCCCCGAGACAGATCACGCGTCATCAATACATCAAAGATGTCTTTATAAGAGCGATGAGTGCACGAAGTACGACAAAGGCAATGTGACACATACAATCTTGCTGCCCATGCCATTTAGACTTGATCTTTTCCTTCCAGAAACGCTGAAGCGTCTCTGCGATCTTGTTTTGTGTTTGGGACTCGTTCATGAAGTCGTAGAAATTTGTATCGCGCTTGTGATATCCCTGCACGAGCGTAGTCGTGACTTGCCGGAGCAAGAATTGGAAAACAGGACGTACCTATGAAACAGCCTTCACGGACGAAACACCTGAACTCGCGGCTCCTATCTATAGGATACCATTTCCGCAAGACAAGCTCAAGTTGATACGATGGTGGATTCGAGGGATCGTATTGACATCCCTCAAATACCGTATCTATACTCAGATCGTGCGATACAAAGTCCGAGGATTTTAATAGAATGTAGACGTCCGATGGAGATGTGCATTTGAGAGGCGAGGATGGTGGTAGCACCCATGATGCGTCCTGTCAACTGTTTGATGTGAACAAGGATTTATATACAACGGGCTTACTTTTGGTGAAGAAAAATTGAGCTTGGGGAAGATCGCGCCGTATTCTTTGATAACTTGTCTTATCCGCTCATCTAGATTGGGGAACGAGAAGGATCGTCCGACTGCGGTGTCATCCTCATCCTCATCCTCATCCTCATCCTCCTCCTCCTCCTCCTCCTCCTCCTCCTCCTCCTCCTCGTCTTCTTCTTGATCCGAAAGAGAGCTTTCTGCGGGACTGACAGTGGGAAGTGAGTACGATTGAGACAGATGGTATAGTTAGTCAACCAACGGGTTTTCCGAGCCTTCTGGTACGAAAATGCCATCCGAGTTGAGGTATTCCTTGAATGGTTGATCCAAGGGACGGATGACAGTGCTTTTGATGCTGATGGAGGAAAATAATGGATACCATGATGAAAATTGGAAGGAAAGTAGATAGTCTGGTGTCTGCACAGGAAAGATGTGATGCGGTGACATGCCAGTTGTATGTGATAAGTACAGGTACTTGAACCTGAATTCGATCGAGAGAGCTATATGTCAAGAGGCTACAGACAAGTGTTACTCTTCAACGAAAAGGATGAACAATATCGCTAGCAGTTATGGCACTACGTAGCGATTGATCACTTAGTAGCTACTTCAAGACTCGTTGGATATCTCAGGATGATCAGCTTCAAGACTGCACGCGACTTAGTTAAAAGAAACAACGATTCTTCATCTGTCGACAGCGTGCCAGCGAATACTCAGCTGGTCACCTCTCCTGTCACTCAGGGTACCGGTGAGCCTTGGTTTCTGGAATGCGGTTGTCTTCAACATACTTGACATATAGGGATGGAGTAACTACATGAACTCTGAAACGTGCTGGTATAATTAATAGATGAACGGTTCCACTGCGAACAGAAACGAGAATGTAAGAGACCATGCACGTAGTCTGACAGTAGCACTCACAATCACAATCATCATCGGGATTGAAATGTTCCACTGGCATGCGAGGGTCTAAACGGCCAACGCCGTGATCTTGTAAAATATTTGCGCGGGCATGAGAATCAACCCATCCGCCAAGGTTGGTGTCTTCATCGACATAGCACCCAATGGGTGGATGGAATTCTCCTCTTCTGCGAACAGAGTGCTCGATGACGCGTTTCACCAACAATACACCGTATTCCTCTTCAGCTTCGTTCGGTTCAATATCCTTCAATGCTGTAAAGTCGCTCCCGATGAGGATGCGTGCGGGTAATTGCTGCTTGCCGCTCTTATTCTCCGCAGGAGGGAAATAGTATACCGCTCGGTTAATTGCACTGTGCGGAAGAAAGAATGGCTTCCGAGGCGTCCACACAGGCTGTAGATCTTCCTCAGCCTTCTCTTCTGTTGTACTGAACAACGGAATGCGGTAAACTCGCAGCGACTTTTCGCTGCAACTGAAGTAGAGATCCTTTGAAGTCCAAGTCAACGTGAATGGCATTTTTGATACGTGCAGCCGTGTGGTTTGGCCCAACGCTAGCTTCATGCGATGGATCTGCTGAGGGGGTGACCTGGAAGTCTTTCTCCGAGAGAGATGGTACGTGCACACGAGGACAGCTAGATTGATAGGAGGCAGGGGTTCTGAATCCTTCTTCAATTTTGGAGCCTTCCCCTGTGCTTCAAGGGTGGCAATATGCAAAAATTCACCACATTCAGAAAAATGGATTTTCATGAAGACATGACCCGCTGATATCGGCTATTAGCATTGATTGCTCCAACTTTTATCGGACTTACTGTGGGGGGTTGATGGCTGCAGCCGCCGGGTGAAGTACGTTTTTGCCAAGTAATCCACAAACAAGACATCACCATCGGCAAGTGGCCAGACGACCAGGGACTTCGTGGGGTGGAAGACAGGCGGCGAAGCAAACAATCTACACTTGATTGGCCGCCTCAGGTAGAAGAGACGAGTGCACGATTGAGTGTCAAACACAGTAATGGTTTCTCGAGCCTTTCGCTTCTCTGCGTGTTTCCTCGAGAGTCCCTCCCAGTCATGTTGTTCCTCATCGCAAAAGAGATTATTGTCGAACACTTCAGATGGGATAGCATCGTCTTCATCAGAACTACTTTCTAAATCCTCTTCGTGATCAGAAATGTCATCGCAGTCCTCGGTATCAATGTCAACACCGAAGCCGCTGATATCAAAGGAAGGACAGCTCTCGTTGTCGGTGTCGGTGTCCTCACTGCCAAAGTGATTGGCCCATGGAGGGAGTATATCGTCTTCTAATTCAAAATTAGCGGAGGAATCAGTGCTGCCTTCACTTGTGCTTTCGTTGCCCGAATCTTCCGACTCAGTACCGCCTTCGGACTCGTCTTCTGAATCCGATGCGGTCTCTATGGAACTGTCTTCATCTTCTGGGTCCTCGTCAAGTTCATCCCCTTCTGAATCTGATGCGATCAATATGGAACTGTCTTCATCTTCTGGGTCCTCGCCAAGTTCATCCCCTTCCGAATCTGTTGCGATCACTATGGAACTGTCTTCACCTTCTGAATCCTCATCAAGTTCATCCCCTTCTACCCGTGGATCTTCATCGGCACCTGTATCTAGGTCGTCGTCTTCATCACCCGCCTCGTCTGCTCTGTTCCGAGTCACTTTGAGATCTCCTTTGGAAATCTTCGCCCGAGAAGTGAGAACGAGGAACTGACGGTGACATGCAAATTCCTCGATGTAGATGGAGCGCAGATCGCACAGAAAGTATTGCCCAGGAATGGCGACAAATGTGCCATTATCGGCTCGCCTGTACAGCTGGGTGCCAATCCGAAGGGTTTGACAATCTGGCCCAAAAGCAGCTGGCGCAGCCTTGCCTGTCTGTAAGGCAGGGTTGGTTACGGACTTCGCATACAAGTCCCAGTTGCAACTACTGGTAGTAAGTTGTATAGTCTGCTTCTTCTGGAGCTTTGGAGGATGCTCGTTAGATAGAATCCAGCTCTCACAAGAGCATTTGAGGACCGATGTTCTGTTGACACGAGCTTCTGGCTTTGATACCCTAGAGGTTGACTTCAGCGATCAAATACTAGAAAATTGTATTCACTGACTGTATCCGTAATGTCATGACTTTGTCTCCTGCCTCATTGACCGCATCGAAAACATACTGAGCTCCATCAGAATTAACATCCGTTTGGAAAGCAAAACTTGTGCATCTGCCTTTCAATCGAGACAGGAAATTGTTCGGACCGAGAGCTCCGAACCATATGCGATCCAATTGTCCGACGTACGGCAATATTTCGCATGTCTTTTCCCCGCCACACTGCTTACAGCTGAGGAAATATATCCACTCGTGCAACAATTGGCGGTAGTCTGTCCAAAGTCTTTGACCAGGACCAGTTCGAGCTCGCGCAAACCACGACGGGAACACCCGCCGAACGTATGTGTTGAAGCCATTGCCCTCGTCGGGACGGGAGAAGAACGAAAATTGCGCCTCTACCCATAGGCTCTGGACCTGCATGCAGGTCCTAAAGTTAGGAGAAGTGATGAAGGACTCAACACTACCAATTTCCGTGATAGTGACATCGTCAAGGTGCTTGTCCCAGTACTTGGCTGCGTACACAAGCAAAGGGTGACGATCCACCGGGTCTTCCGTCACGTCGAGCCACCTTCCCTCCCGTCTGACTAGTAGGCCGGAATATCGAGATTGGCCCAGGTAACGCAAACAAGCGCGAGCCGGCCACTCGGCACTAATATGAAGATCTGAGGAATTGTCGCACAGGATATTCGGATGGCCCACAAGGAAATCGCGCAGGGTAGAATGTAAGATACGACAGGTATACTGCTCCTCAGTGCTAGAATCATCTGTCCTATTGGTGTTGATGAATTCGATGAAGGGTTGGACTATGGTACGGATGCTGTTGATATTCGGCTTGGCCTTTTGCTGGAGTTCTTTGTGGGGCCCACTCTCTAAGCACCATACAGCTTCGGTAAGTTCTTCCAATCGCAAAGGACGTCGGGCAAAAATAACAAGTGCAAAAACTTTGCTGCACAGTTGTATGTTCAGTATTGCAAGCATTTGGTGGAGCAAATGACCAACATACCAGGCTAGCGGGCGGTAGAGCTTCTCCATACGCTCGAAAAATCTGCAATAATACTCTGCCAGAGTCTCTGGAAGCTCTTTTAGATGTTCTTCCATCCTGGCGGTCGACCAACACTCTCCGAGGGCGTCTATCATGAGCTTTGCCCAAATAAAACTACACTCGGCACGACTTTTCAGCGTCTCCAAGATATGAGCTTGGTCGGATGGATTTGACCACTGAAGCTTGGAAACCTCTTCTGATAAGTACAAAGCAAGATCGCTTCTCGTGTAGCCATCAATATCGAGGCTACAGCACCCCTGGAGTTCCTTGCTGATGCGGTCCCGGCGCTGGCTACTACACCAGACACGAACTCTGGTAGGAGAGTCGTCCACGAGCTTGGCGAGAAAACGAAGCACTAATACAGCATCATCCCACGAACTCTTTGTCGTTGTCTCTTCATCCAGACCGTCGAGAAAGAAGTACATCCTCGAATATCCCTTAATTAATGCCTTGATGACGTTTTGAACCTTTCAAGGAGAGATTCGGGTGTGCGCATGATTTTTTGTAATTCATCTGGAATTTTCTGCAGGCGCTGGCGGTATTGGAAGAGAAGCTGTGTTGCGAGAATGGATAATGTCTTCTCTGGAGAAAGATGCTGTGCAAAGTCATAAAAGTGAAAAATCACTACTTCTGATTCTGAGCTTTTGGCCAGGAATTCAATGGCGCTCGAACACAGGGTCGATTTCCCGGATCCAGGCGGACCATGGACCCACAAGATCGGTGATGATGGGGGATTGTTCTGCCATTGGAGAAATTCATCATGGGAAAATAGCCATTGGCAGGTGATTTGGCTACGGCCACGTAAGTTCTTCTCTTGCCGTGCGAAACACTGATCGTTCAAGGATTTTGATGACAGCCAATCCAAGACTGTGTCCAGTTTGCGTGTTTCATCCAACTCCCGCTGAAACCGGCGGTGATCTTCTGCCCTGATCCTCTCTTCTTCCGCCTCCCGCCGGGCCACTTTATTTGCGTGACAGTCCTCCCCAGACTCTTGGCAATGAAGTAGACTGGCGCATGCTTTTATCTTCACAGCGTCCTCACGCATGTCACTTATGATGCCTCCCAATTTCTTTGTGCTAAAAGGTGTCCCGAGCTTTGGTCCTAAGCCTACTGTTAGATCAAGCTCGGTTGTCATCGCAAACTTTGATCTGACCTGACTTTGTGCATTCCTTATCGACTCTATACCAGAAGCGGATGACATTGATGTAAGCATTGCACAGTGTTCGCTGCATTTTTTTGTTTTCTTGGTACAGGTCACCATAGCCGGCAATATCCTCTAGATGATCACCAAGAGAGGCCAACTCGGAGTGGATGGTTTCAAAGAGTCTCGCGCATTGATCAAGGCTCTGAAAAGAAGTAAAGTTGGGCAATGAGTGTCATTGAAATTTGTGTTCAACTAGGAATTAGCACTTGCATTGATAGCGACTTGGAGACAGCCCCAGACGATGGATGCGATCGGATTCAAGGTGGCTAAAACAAGATGGTCAACATCCAAGAAGGCATTTACGACAAGCACTGAATTGACTTAATGCATTCACGATACCAGTGAAACCTGATAAGGCATTCATGAATGGGAGCAGATACGCGCGAACCACCTTCCGGGATTGTTTCTGGTAATCCCGACTCTCCACCTCTGTGATAGCTTCGTTTATGGCTGCAGCAGGATCACGCCATTCTGAAGCAAACTTGGAGCATTTTTCGATGAATTGGAACTTTTTGGTCTGAGACGAGTTTATGCTTGCGCGATATGCCTCCCAGGCCTGTTCAAAGGGAGTTTTTCCTTGAGACAGAAACATTTAGTTGGCATATTAACAAATCAAATTTGAGCGCGCACTCTAAGGACTGTAATAGGGGAGTTGTCTAGTCTGGCTGATGCATAGTGTTGAGTGGATGCAACCGTTTTACTCGTAGCAAGCTTGGCAGCTAATTAAGTATGTTTGCAGGCGGCAGAGTCCTTCAGTCAGAGGCGCTTGGGTGACATAAGTATCAACAGCCTTGAGGCTATAGTACTGTGGCATCCTGAGAAGGTTCTCTCTAGAAGAAGTATTCAAATCTGCAGATGGTGTTTGAACCTGTAGTATCTGGAGTTAATATTGTGCATACATGACGCGAGGCAGGCCTCCTGGAACGTTCCCAATGGAAGTACAAACAATTAATAACAATAGATACGAGATGTCGGAGATGCTTCCACTACACAGCCTAGAAATGATATGGAAATTCGCCACATGTAGCGGGGCGATGTCATCGTCTACCAGTATGGTTGAAACGTTGGAAGGGCTATGTAGTCCCCCACAGATTCTATAGCTAGTTCCGGAACGGTCTGGATGGTTTGATCAGCAAATTCAGATGAGCGCTCAATTAAGGCTCCATCATGGTTGTCGCCTGCTAGGTCAAGTGTGCATAGTGATACATCGGGCCTGGCTGTGAAGGGCTCGGGCCTGGAAGGAATTCAGGCCAGGCCCTTCTGGAGGGCTTAGGTCTGGCTTGGGTGTAAAAATGTGTAAACAATTTTATTATGATACTACCCTAATAAATCGGAAACTCATTCCTCCGCATCTGATTACTAGTCCCTAGTTGCTCAAAGCTTCCTCTTGCTGCATGTTTCCCATTGACTACTCCCAAACCAGTCAGACATGAAACTTAATTGATGAGATGCAGTCTGCGATAATGTGGGGTAGACTCAACAGAACGGACATCCAACCGTGTACGTGTTGAATTGTGTCCAGTAAGTAGCGGGTAATCACATAGTCAAGTGTCCAAATGTAGAGATATTTCTATAGGGCCTACCAGTATTGGTGGCGTCCAATCAATGACGTGTAGTCACATCTGGCCAGCTTGTGCAGTCTTAAGCAAGAAGAGATATGCAAGAATGACAATTGAGATGTGCACAACTGAGATTAAATCTGATCAGCACTGTTCATAAATATCCTGTATGGCCTGAAAAATCCCACAGGATACAACGAAGGCAAACTTACTGTAATGCACGGCACTTTGCATGCCAGCCGGGACGCCAACCCGCAAATCTGATTTGTGCTCAGATGTCAGATAAGAGTTGTGGTGTTCCCGAGCCTTGTTCCAGTCCTGCATAGAATCAAGCACTGTGCGGATGTGTTTCACAGAAAGCGACGTATTCGAATGCAACGAGAGGGAAAGAGCAGTTCCTACGGTGTTCTTGATCTATGATCCCGTTGGCATCATCACTTCAACTAGGGGAAATACAAGAAAGTGACGATCAACATACCTGACGGCCGTTGAGTATTTCCTGGGCCAAGGCATCAATTTCAGCCTCGCTGATCATAGACTGGCAGGCATCCGATGTCTTATCGATGAACGTCTTCCAGATCTGTCTGCGCGAGACACGAGACAGCGATGGGTAGTGCACCGTGAAGTGGATTCGACCTATTTTGCGATTGATTGAGGAACACAACTACAGCAAAGTGAAAAAAAAACATACTCTCGAATGCAGCATCACACTGTGAAACTAGGTTGGTCGTCAAAAACATGATTCCCTGATAGTATTCCAGCTGTCGTAGAAAAATAGACACCAGGGCATTCCGCTGCACATCAGTCTCCCTCCTCTGTGACAGGAAAACATCTGCTTCATCGAGAAGGACGACTGCTTTCCAACGCTGTGCAAGTTCCAGAATCTGAGTCATAGCGCCGTCTACATCCTCCGAGCTAGACCCCAATTCGCCTGCCGAAACACAATACAAGGGACGCTTTGTTACCTGACCGAAGGTAGTGAGGGTAGATAAAATCATGAGTTATGTCGAGAATTACCTCTGCCGCTGCTTCCGCTGTAAGTGTCTTCCCACATCCAGGTGGACCTGCAAGCAATCCGACAAGGCCTTTTCCTTTTCCTCGCACGAAGTCATCAAAGGTTGACACACGTGATGCATGCTGCTCCACTAATGCATGAATCAGTTCCTTGTGTCTGTTGTCCAGGACCAGACGATCGAAAGGCTCTAATGACCAGGACACGTCCCGCAGGTGGTCAAGAGCGAATCCACCTGAGATACATGGTAAGTTTGTTGTATAAATGTGCGGAACCAAGCGGGAAAATTATCGTACCCCACTGCTTTGTTCCGAAGCAAAAGCCTATAACAACAGGAGTGCAGATTATATATTGCTCTTCCTCGAGTTCCGCTCGCTTCAATGGGGTAGAAACTGGGAGATTGAGACTAGAGCCAGGCTTAAACATACGAAATGCGCCAGGATCGATCATGACACGCCCGTATGCCTATATTGATTTGTTATAGGCCATACTATTAGCAGGATGAGTTATTACTGCTCACCCTGTACTTTCGAAGGTCCTTACGGTCGTCCGTGGGATGGTCGTCGACACAGGCAGCCATCCCAGAAATCTCACCATAAGTCTGGCATTGCAAGCTTGCAAATCTCCGACCTCGTTTGGTGGCAAGTTCGCAAATGTCACGTCCATTCGAGTGATAGAAGAGAGGAAAAGCAGACAGGCTTTGTATCTTCCGCTCTCCTTCGAATGACGGGATTAGAAGCTTTTGGTTAGCAATTCCAAAATGCTCGCCATCGTCAGTAATAATATGACAATGGATTGCAGCGAAGATTCCTTCATTTGTCTCCATGATCTTAAAGCGCGTGACTCGGAGAATGTAGTCCTGCTCAGTGAACTCGTGGCGACTGAAGACTAGGGTGCCATGACGGAATAATGTCCAAAGTAAATCGAATGTGATGGACTCGTGTCTTGTCAATGACTGAAAGTCGGCGAAGGTGGTTTTGTGTTCCTCCTGGATAAAGTGAAGGGCCACTTCGATCTCAGAAATTAGGGGAGGGTTTGGCGTGCCTTTTGACCTTTCCAGATCCAATCGTTCTTTAAGCTCGTTGAAAGAGAAAAAAAGCAGCTTCTGGTCACACTGAAATATGTAATGAGAATTGCATTGTGATGCCAAAATACTTAATGTTCAACTTACGACAGGGGAACTTCGCAAGAGATCTAGACCCTCCACACCTTGGTGTATCTCCATGAGCACCTCGCAAAGTTCTTGACTTCGGATGTCAATTTCGGTCTTCGTGTGTCGGCCCTTGCTGTCCATGACTCGTCGGACGACAATAACTGGTTTCTTTTGATCCAGTCTCCTGAGGTGCTTTGACTGTTTGGTCGTGTTCGTCTTTTTGTAGACGGTTGTTGAAAATCGTCTGGAAGAGAGCGCTATCAAGTTCAAACACTGAACATTCCATTCCGGAGATGCTCACGGATCGAAACTGTAATGAAGATTGATATAAAGAACCGGGACGATATGGAAGAACTCACTACTGGTCATAACGAGCAACTCGCGCCTCCAAGGGGAGCGTTGTTGTTCCTTCACCAGGATTTTTCTCAGTACTAGGCATGATGGAAAATTTTGAGAACAACGTAGTGTGCCTTTAGCTTTATGTATGGTGAGTAGCACAGGTACAAAACCACATGTTGAGCACCTGTACACTGCACAGCATCTTGCGGCGTCACGTCAGTTGAAATGCAGTAAGTTCATACCGGCTGCATAGCCGCAGGGTCTTCAAAGTAAGCAAGATGGAACGGGGCAAGAACAAGCGCCGAAAGGGTTCAAACCTGTTCAAACTTCATAATCGGGCGCTGCGCGCCATAAGGTTTAACGTTTAGGTACGAGTCCTGGGTGAACTCAGACTTACTTTTAAAATTGAGCACCCCTACAATGTGTAACAGCCTCATCGATAGTTTTCATCCTGCCACAAGGTAAGCATGGCTTACGCAGCACAACGCAGACTGGATACCGCGCGTCATTTATCCTTATTTGTTCTAATGCTTACTTATACTAGATGCAAAACTGTATTCAATCACATATGCTTCTACACGTTTACTCTCGTCTGCAATCTCGAACTAAACAACTCAGGCTCGTGACCAGCTTGTATACTGCTACGGATGTTCAACAAGACGCGTGGTCTGCAGTGAAGTTCATCCTCCCGTCTCATGTCCAAGGTCTTTGGAAGTATTGATATCCTGAACAATCCATACCGGTTCTTCACGCGCTCAGTCACCCTGATACTGCCCCACGGGTCTTCCCGCTTCCTCAAAGATATCGATGAACCAGTGTCAATCGAGTTCTTTGATGGATTCTTTGTATTCTGTCGATTGCGGAGTGAGTCCCTCTCGCATATCATGAGCATCGTTTCTGAGCGCAAGAAGATCGTCTAGATCGTTGTCGTCAAATGCATGCAAAACTAGGCATTCTGTTGTGAACATGACTACGGGTCAGGCATTAATGCATCACCCTCAAACGTACGAGTATCATAAGTCTCTGATATCTGACCCCCGGTTTGTAATCATAACGAGCTCGGAGCCCTTTGCCTTGACTTACACGACAGTCCCAGCTTTTATTGTGACTGCCTTATGTAGGGCGAGTCCTGTCAAGTCTTGCAAGATTTATTGACTAGTGAGGGGCCATTCCATTCTGTTTCTCATAACTGCGAGGACCTCTATCGTAATGCTGAACCCTGTGACTTGTCCTGGATGTTGCAGTCTCCACCGCCAGGACAAGTCCACAGGGTCCGATATTCAACATTGCAATATACTTGCATTCACGATATAAACTTTCGCTATCACTGGTCTTTATATATCAGGCTCATTGCCACCCACAACGAAGATGGTACGTCGTGTTTGCTTGTGATGAAAGATCAAATTGATTTATGAGGTTGCTGGTCAGCCCATCAGACGAATCACGATGCTTTTCGGCGTGTGATAACGAGGTTCAGAAAATTTTGATTGCTTGGGAAGTCTAAAAATGTAACTATATAGCAGGGCATTGTTGCGCTGATCAGAAGTGGCGAATGATTATACTTTGTAGCATCTATTCCTTGGGTACCCCTAGTAGCAAGTTTGTGCATTCTAATTTGTACCCGATCGTTGTGCTCAACTGCACGTGCACACCCCTCCCAATCACAACTGCATTTCTTGTATGTTGCCTCCGACTGAGTAGGATTGCAGTGACGTGCTCCTCGACTCGTTCGATCTCGATGTTTGAATATGTGCATGAATTTTGCGCGCTATTGATGTGGCCCATCCTGCGAGTTAAAAGGAGAGTCGCTGTGAATCAATCATTTGCATAGATACGAAGTAATGACACATACATAGCAGGTATGCGAATGTCAGATTGTGACATGCATCATGAGTGTCTATCATAAGAGTGTCTCATTGATGAGGTACTGTCGCATAGGTGACGTACTTATGGATGGAGGCAGATGTGTAGTAAAGGCTGCATGAAAGAGTGAAAGAAACAAATCACCACTCTACTTTGGTCGTCCTACTGGAGCAACAAAAGCACGCATGGTGATGTCGGCATGATTCTCCACCTACTGGTAAAAGCATCATCAGAACATCTGAGTCTCCGCACTGTATCAGCGAACCAGCAACAATGATCAAATACCAGTGCTACTGGTATGCAGTTACAGTGCGAGTTCTCCTCGTATAAATGATACACAGTGTGTCAATTTGGCGCCCACAAGATGGTTATAGATGCCTCAAGCGCACCAGAAGATGGTGAAAAGTACAGCATCGCACTACTGATCCTTTCCATTTAGAGTGTTCTACGAGAACAGGATCTCATGGAAACTTGTATGGGATGCATCATGAGTTAGAGCTGCACGATCCAAAGAGCGATTATTCCACTGACCTAAATGTGATACGAGCATCTTGTGTACAATGAATTAAGAACCATCATCGTTTGAAACAACGCGCGAGAGTATTGTATACTGCGTGATGCGAGTCACGATGTCGGGGTCATGCGTGATGTAGGCTGTGGAATAGGTCGGTGGGATGCTCTGACATGAACAGACAAAGGAGCATAGCCGGGGGATCACTGATGCTCGGTCTGCTTTTAAGGTCAAGACAAATTGATAAGGGCTTAAACACGTGTTGGGACAAATATAGCAGCTGATCGGTCGACCGGTTGCTCACCCGTACATGTTGATTGAAACGACAGTTGAGTTCATTGTAACCATGTACCAAAATGCGAAGTTCCTTACTGGGTGAGCAGCGCACGGAAGTTCAACTATCTCGCCACCATCCTGGACCATTTTGAACTTCGATTGTGCAACGCGCCCCAGAAGCCCCCCGGATTCGACAGCAGATGTCCATAAGCACGTATGCAGCGGTAGATGTTTGGCATCTATGGATATAGATAAGACGTTCGGGGGATCACCCTTGATCAAGCTCGTGCACCTCCATCAACCCTCCATCTCGCATCAGATTTCACTGATATGTACTATTGGCGTGATCACTCATCTATCAGCGTATCCAGTCAAAAGGGGTCTTGCTGACTAGGTACTGGTAGAAAGGTGTCGTTGAGATCCGAACGTCCGGGGTATGCTACTGAATAGCGATTATGAGTGCACTGCACACGAGACACAGGTACGCATTCCATATTCTGTAATGAGGTTGATTCAGCAGCCATCTTGATCGGTGCAAGTCAAGGGAGTCCGCATCTGGAATGATGCTTTGACTCAATATGACCCATTTCCGACGACCGATTTTCGTTCAACTGTCGTGCATCACTGTAGCAGCGTCATGATCAAACTCTTCAATGTGTAACCAGGAGACAACGGACATACCACATGTCACAAACAAAATCAAAGGTATGTCGCGGACCTTATTGATTTATTCCAGACGTCATCATCATACTGAAGTCGCAACGGGTCTATATGCAATCACAGCTGAATTAATGTAACGATAGGATATCATTTGGGATAGAACGAGGTTCAAAATTTACGGACTGGGACGTGAAAATGAAGCGGCTGCAATACAGCGAACTGTCGACTATCGCAATAAAGCGAAGCGACTTCGTCCTAAGGTGGTATTTGCGAAGTAGTGATACTCACCATGACTGCCTTTGGAACCAACTCCGCCCCGGGTGCTGATACTATATCCTGTAGACTGGAAGAAACGTGCGGAGTAGAGGGAGTGCAGCACCATTAACCTGAACGTAGTTCTTACGTATAGGAAGATGGACACAGTACCGGACGCAGATCTGAGCGCTCGATCTACACAGCAATAAGCTGTGAAGCGAACACGAGGATGACGCATGGGACCCACCTCTTGAACGAACGAGTGTCCAACTTCCTCGACTCCCAACCAGACGCCCTCTGATCACCGGGGATTGAGTACTAGGTTCGTCTAGACAGTGCTTCACGTAAGTGATACTCTAGGCTCTTCTGTAGGTTTAAACTCACCACTTGCTTACCAGCGACTTATAAGAACCTCTTGTACATTCTCGAACAACAGCGTAGTAGCTGCTGCATATACAGTCCCGAAGTTGTTTTCTAGGTAAGGGCTGGATTCCTGTAAGTGGACTGTCTCATTAGCCATGGCTGGTGTGCTTCTGACAAGTGATTTACAGACAGAGGATAGGCCCCTGAACTCACCAGGAATTATCACCATTGCCGGATAACACAGTTTGATTCCAAGATCCCAGCAGAAATCATCGTCCCCGTTCTGCCGTAGTTGAGACTCCGAGGGCCGATCATGTCTTCCTCCTCTGGTGAGATGTCAGAGGTAATGCCTCGCCGGATGATGCAAGGTCATACTGACTGGGTACATGGTGTTGTACATCTGCACGGCGGATGTCACATCATCACATGTTCGGCAGACGGCTCACCCCGACTATTGGACATAGAGAACGGTAGGCTCGATACTAACCTGGCTTGTATAACCACGGACAAGTCGAGTGGCGTAGCCAGGCTGGTCGATCTCGGAGAGATTTGGCAGGCGAAGCACGGAGTTTGAAAATGTGCAAGTGCCGGTTATGCCGGTCGAAGTAATAGTGCCACATAGTTACAGTTAACTTTCATTCGCGCACTGCATAGAGTACCGCATCTTTCTCGATTTGCGCTGCAGCACTAAAATTGAAATAGGATCCCACAAATGATACCATTTGCTCCATATTATCCACCACCACTGCAGTATGCTCTGCCGTCTGAATCTTTAGCATGGACAGTGGACCCTCGCAGCCTCGACACAGGAAAAAATTCTCTCTTTGCTGAAAATGCTCTGGCATGCAGATGACAGCTACGGACCTCCTGGTGTATACCATCTCAGACAAACCTAGCATGGCCACTTGGAGGGATGGATTTTTCCGAAGTAATGCACCCGCACAGTTTCAGCTCGGAGGATCACATTTCTTCCTGCCAGTAAAGATACGAGAGCCTTGGGTTGAAATAACTTCGGATGTTTGGTGCCTTTCGAGACGAAATAAAGGTGCGCGAAGGTTTCGAGTACTTGCTGGAACTGTATGGTTGAAAACGTGTTTGTAAAGTCCGTTGGAAGGTTGTCGAGAGCATTCAAAGCAGATATGGACATGAGCAATACGGAATCAATGTTAAAACTCATGATTTGGGCCGGTCATAACATAGAGATGTAGCAATATAGTAGTGTCTATATGATATGATGGACGACGACACGGCGTTGGCACAAACGGCACCTGCAATTTTCAAACTCCGTGCTTCGCCTGCCAAATTTCTCCGAGATCGACCAGTCTGACTATGTCAAGATTTCCCACTCTCAAAGGACGTACGTCAGACTGGTCACGAGTCTAAGAGAATGGCACACAGATAGGCGAGGACTGGTGAGATGAGAATGACACAGAGGTGTGGTCCATGGCATTGTCTTCAAACGGCAAGACAGTCGCAAGTGGATGCTATGATGGGAAAGTGAAGTTACGTCATGTGGACAGGACACACCCGTATTGTGTGTGCATTGTGTTGGAGTAAAAACGGCAATCAAGTGATGAGCGGATTGTTGGATGGGACGGCACTGAGAGTCTGGGATATCAAGCTATATCAAGAGTGGCACAATGGCACTGTCCTGACAATCAAAACTGGGCACAAGTGGGTGCAGTGATATACTCGCCCAGTGCAACAAAAATTGTGATGGGTGGACACAATGAGAATACAGTCAAAATCTGGGGTGGGATGGCACTTGAACCTGTACCACGACCATGGAGGGTTTTTCCCATGCTATATGCAGGCAGGTTGAGTGACTCTCGCTCACAGCAACCCACTGGCCTCAAATATACAAACCTTCCATATGAAAAAGACCTCTTGAACAGACTAAGAATCACCCATGTATATGCACCTGATCCCACCCCTGAAACCAATGAATGTCAAAAACCCAAAAGCCCCCACCCCAACTCAACATCAACAAAAAACATCGACACCCAACACCTCTTCCAACTAAAAACAAGACAAAAATGATAAAAACAACCATGAAACATGTACAACCATAACTCCCAACACCATATATCCCTCGCAAAATGAATCACACCTGAAAAAAAACCATCAGAGATATCAAGTGACACCTAGGTGAACACCTGAAAATACCCCATCAGACTGCATGTAAATTAATGCATGTAAAAATGACTAACATTCATACTGACAAAACTAAACAACCACCAGAATATGTGTACATACCCACTAACCCAACAAGTGAGACAAGCGACACTATGCCCCCTCCCCCAACCTGTAACCGAAGCAATGCCTGAACCCCTAACACCTCACTGACCTCCCCACAACCACATTATTCATGAAAACTAACCATATAGGAAGACACACCTCACAATCCCTGACCAAAACAATACAACCATGCGATACTATGTGAGATAACACTATCCCCATACTGGAAACTAAACAAGGTATATAAACCTCACTGAATCAACACAAATCCCCAACCTCACTGCAGGATATGAAGGACCTCTCAAGTGTTAAAACTGCCAACATCAATGCTCATCCCTCTCCAATGGGAACACACCAACCCCTCTCCAGACCTCCCCGCACAGGTTCACAATTCTACCCACCCAATGTCTTACAAGACGAAGGGGACTGCACAGATGACAACACCTCTACCCCCACCACCCCCTCACCTAAACCTCATACCACCATCTCCCAATTGCCCCCCTCTGAATCTGAAGAGAACACAACTACTCCAACACTCAACTCTCTCATCTTTGAGAAGGACACAATGGTTGAGATGCCCCTTGACACCCTCCACTCATCACCTGCGCAGACTCCTGCACCTGCAGATGATGATGAAATGACAGACCTGATCATTTCCAGCCCACCCCCTACCAAACCTGCTGTATCTACACAGGACTTGGAAGAAGATCTACTCTGAGCTCACCTGGTGGTCACCAAAACTAATCGGTCCATCATTAAGTCTAATGGCACCAACTCCCTCACTGTCATTCCTCAGTTCACCCCTGTCCAAATTGGTGGCTTCCCACACATCCACCTTGCCCATGCAGCCCAACTCTTTGACTACCAAGCAGCCAAGGTCATCATGGCCTGGCTCAAAGTCCCTCACCCGAAAATCTTGGTGAGAGTCTTCGACCATGACGGGAAGAACCCCTCTGTCAAAGGTCCCATTCTTGTAGAACGACTGCAAAAAGCTGTCTTGAACATTGCCCACTTTGTCCATCAAGATGACCAGGATGTGAAGGTGTCACCACCCTGCCCTGATGCCAGCAAAGAAGATGCAGACTTCCCCCTCAGCTTCCTAGTATACAACATCTCTGACGAAACCAAGTCACTCATCCTTAACCAGCACGTTTGGTCCTCACCTGAAATCTCTTTCACTGCGCATCTCTTCAGAGTGAACTCTCCCCCCCTACTCCTCTTCTGCCTGCACAGTTTCTCCACCACAGATACTGCTACAGTCAAGACCACCATCCATGAAGTCTGGTCAGAAGATGTTACCAGATGGGACATCTGTGACATCATGTCCGAAAGCGACATCCCCAAAGAATGTATCCATGCTGCCGTGTGGGACTTCATCAACACCCTATGGGTAGAGCACCTTGATTTTAAGGTTAGTGGAGGCATCCTTCTCCCACGCTACAACATTTTTGCAGTTAGCCCCACCAATAACCCCACAGTATGGACAAAACTCAGAGCATATCTCCACTCTCTCACCTATCCCTCTGAACTCGAGGGAAGTGGTACAGCAGTCAACTTTATGCTGTGCACCCTCTGCCACTCGATTGCCCACCCCCACGGGCTCTGCCCATTCCCAAATGTTCCACTCTGGAACGGGCCCAAGCATAGTACCAACTTGAGACCCAACTTAATGAACCAGAAAGGGAAAGGCAAAGGAAGGAGGTACCCAGGCAATGGTCTCCCTAACTAGCTTCTGCACATACTTACTTCCACAATACCTGACATATCATAGTCTATGTACCCCGCATCCTGTAGTACCCATACCTGAATAAACCCCCCTCCCCAGAACATCTTACTCCTGCGATGTGCACCTGTTCCTGACAACGGCAACAACTCGCAAACTTGAATCTACAGGGCTAGATTCATGCACTCCCAGCCCTCGGCCCAAATTTACTGATTGCAGTAGCAAGACAGGAAAGCCAAGGGTGCCCTGATGGTGCAAGCCAAAAACAGAGGCCTATTTAGGCCAAGGATTAGCCGTGCTGAGGAGCTCAAGTGACCACAAAAAGACTTAGTGAGTACAGGACTCACCTCGTTTAAGTAGCGTGAACATCTATCCACCATGACTGCCTGGGATATGACAGTCCTCATCTCCTTAACAGTCATATAGAAGACGCAGTAAATCGACTACTCAGCAATCTCAAAACATAAATTCACTCTTCGGTTCATTTCCCGGCCTTGGTTCAAGCCTCCTGAGCAGTGGAGGGGGAAGCCCTCAAGCCGCTGGGGCCATCCCAGATGATGCTATGCAGGAGAATGGAGGTGGACTCCCCCACTCTCAAATGCCACACCAGGCAACATTACAATGAGACACCCCTTGCACATCACCAAACAAAAAGAAAACAAGAGCTAACATTCTACTAGCTACCCTAAACATGAAGGGCTGCGCTTCTACACTACTAGGAAACAATAACGAGATATCAAAATGGTCACCTCTCCACCACATCATGAGAGAGAAAAATTGGAATCTTATGCGTCCAAGAAACCCACCTGCTACCTGAACATGAGGCACAGATTGAATCATTGTACTCAAAAAGAATAAAAGTATTGAACTCACAAGACCCTTTCCATCCAGGCAACTCCACAGGAATCGCCTTTGTTATCAACAAAGAAATACTCAACATAGATGACCTAGAAACATATGAGATCATACCAGGGAGAGCCTCAGTACTAAGAATAAGGTGGCATAATGAAACATACCTGACAATAGCCAACATCTACGCCCCAAATAACCATGTGCAACACCCTGATTTCTGGAATGCAATAATAAGACTGTGGCAAGAAAGAAACATACCAAAACCTGACTTCCTTATGGGAGATCAACATAATGGAAGATGCCATAGACTGTGCCCCCACCTGCCTCGACAATGAGCAGGCAATTGAGGCGCTCCAAAACTTAAGATTCCAACTGAATATACAAGACTCCTGGTGAATTAATAATCCAACAATGAGAGAATTCATGTTCTATAGCAATAACAACTCACATTTGTGCCTTGACTGCATCTACTCAGCACCAGCCCATGAACTAAGTATCTACGGGTGGGAATCGAGCACATCAGCAATACCAATGGATCACTGAATGATCCTGGTAAGATATGCACCAATGAATACCCCATTCATGGGGAAAGGCCAATGGTTGTGGCCAATCAGCCTACTAAATGACACGAAGCTATTAACAAAGATTAGCAACATAGGAAAACAAACACAACAAGAAATCATCAACCTACAGCAACACCAGTCAGAGTCAGAGAACCCACAATGAAGTTGGGAAGACTTCAAGTCGAGAATAAGACACAGTGCAAAAATCACTGCAAAAGAACATTTATACAAAATAAGACAATGAGTGAGACAACTCAAAGATGACCTATGCAAAACAACAGAGAACAATGACCTAGACACAAACGAATCAATGCGCCGACAAAAAGCATGGATCGAAAGCGAAATCACGCACCTTGAGAACAAAAGGTTCAAAAACAAACAACAATGAGGCCAGGCAAAGTGGGCAGCCAAGGGCAAAACAATAAGTAAATATTGGTCTAAATTAAACAGCAGTAAGAAGCTGCACGACATCATACACAGACTAAGAATACCTAATCAAAACTGTCTGGCCTTGAGATCTGACCACATGGCAGAAATTGCCCATGACTATCACGAAAATCTGCAAAAAGATAACATGTCAAAACAAGATGAAGTCATAAGATTGATAGAAATAAGAAACACACTAAGTGAAATACCCCAGATGCAGACACTACAAAATGAGAATTCACCACTGCACAACCCGCTGAAAGAGAATCACATCCTCAAAGCACTATATGCCTCAAAGGCAGGCAGCGCAGCCAGCATTGATGGGATACCTTACGAAGTCTGGAAAAGCCTACATGAGAAACATGTAGACAATTAGAAAAATGATGTCCCAAGCTTTAATATAATAAAAACTATTACCATAGTAATCAATGATATACAAAAACACGGAGTGGACGACCAGATGGACTTCTTGCTGGGCTGGATGTGCCCGATTTACAAGAAAAAGGACAGGACTGAGATAGTGAACTATTGCCCAATCACCCTACTGAACACTGATTATAAAATTCTAATGAAAGCGCTGGCAATGCAGCTAGCAAAAGAAATACACTCACTGATCCATGCAGACCAGAGTGGCTTCATACCACGAAGGTCCATCTTTGACCCCATCTGCTTAGCGCAACTCATGATAGACTATGCAGACATCACCAAGGAAAACAGAGTCCTGATTGCACTAGATCAGGAGAAGGTGTATGACAGAATAAAACATGACTACTTACTAGTGTCACTCAAATCCTTCAACCTCCCACAAACCTTCATCAAAACAGTCAAAGTGCTGTACTCCAACACATACACAAAGGTCACCATAAATAGCATCATGAGTACACCCTTCAAAGTCATGAGAGGAGTGCAACAAGGCAACCCCCTCTCGTGCCTCCTCTTCGACCTTGCTATAGAACCCCTAGCATGCACTCTTAGACACTCGAACAAACTAGCAGGATATAATATACCAGGACTCACTGATAAGATCATCATCAACTTATATGCAGATGACACAACAATTTTCTTGAGCAAAACAGACAAATACAGCAACCTGAAGGAAATCCTGTTGAGATGGTGCACCGCATCTGGTGTGAAGTTCAACCTAGAAAAAACAGAAATTATCCCTATAGGATCAAAGACCTACTGAGACCACATACTCCAAACTAGAATACTACACCCTCTTGACCCTCCTCTAGACAATAACATAAGAATCACACCTGATGGACATCCTATTAGATTGCTAGGAGCATGGATAGGCAACAAAACGAATGACTTAACTCCCTGGGAACCAATACTGAATAACATTAATATGGCCTTCAAAAGATGGAAAAATGGCCACCCCACACTTGATGGGAAAAGACTGATAGTACAAATGATGGCAGGAGGAATGATGCAATTCCTTGCGAAAGTGCAGGGCATGCCTAAAAGCATCAAGTCAGCATTAATAAAAATGATAAGAAACTTTATATGGAATGACGCACGTATCTCACCAATAAACCTGGAACAAATGTACAAAACAAAAGAAGAAGGTGGCATAAATCTGCTAGATATAAAATTGAGAAACAAAGCCATAGAAATAGTAAGGGTGAAATCTTACCTAGATCTATCCAAATCCAGACCAACCTGGGCTCTGCTGATGGACCTAATATTAAACAGCATCAGACCACAAACCAATGACAATGAAACTGAAAATACAAACCTCCTACTAACGTTGTGGTCCCCCCCAACAAAAGGCAACAAAGTAAGCTCCCTACCATGAGCAGCACAAACGCTCTTAAAAACTGCTAGAAAACACAACATTAGTTTTGCGCCAATAAAGATCTCAAAAGACATGAAAAAGAAACTACCAGCATGGAACCACATAGGAACCCCTACTAATGCATACCATAAAACAAAAACCAAGTGCCTAAATGAAACGTACACATTAACAAACGTAAAGGATCTCATTAAGATACACAAAAGACTCACCCACATCAACAATGAAGACCAACATTACCTGCAGAAAGACTGCCCCTGCCCAGCATGCCGAAAAGACCGCAGAATAGGTTGCAAAGACCCCCACAAGTGTGCTCAGACCACAAATGAAATTCTCTTTAAAATTGCCCTGAAATTCAACACAAAAACCAAACCTAAAAAGGACGGACTGACACTCACCCAACGAAGGCTAGAGAAAAACCATCAAGCCCACAAGAACAGACAAGGAGAGATCCTCTTTGACCCAACCACCACCATCCGCTCCAACCTCACAGATGGTTTCAGAATCTTCGTGGACCCAGAACATATCTCCCCCACTCCAGCACACAGACTAAGAGCACCAGCGAGAGGCCTAAATCTATTACAAGACCATATTACAATTTTCACCAATGGCTCATGTATCAACAACAGGAAAGAAAACTCACAAAGTGGAGGCAGCATCTGGCTCAGAGAGAACCACCCAAAAAACCTTGCCTTCAGAATCCCAGGGAACAAACACTCTAACCAAATAGCCAAATTATCAGCAATCTTTCTGGCACTACAAAGAACAGAGCCATACATACCTATAACATTCATCACCGACTCCAGATATGCCATCAACTGCCTCACAAAACACCTACCAACCTGAGAAGACACCAGCTGGATAGGAGTAGCAAATAGCAAGTTCATAAAAGCAACTGTGTATCAACTGAGGAAAAGATCAGCCCAAATGTCATTTGAATGGATAAAAGGCCACAATGGCCAAAATGGAAACAAACAAGCAGATAAACTAGTGAAAGAGGGAGCAAACAAACCCTCAGCAGATGAACTAGACTTGCACATCCCAGATGACTTCAACCTACAAGGAGCAAAACTTTCAGCAATCACACAAGCCCTAGCATATAAAGGTATACAAGAACACATACCATTTGCCCCAAGAAGAAAAACCACAAGCAATCTAGATGTCACATGATTCACCATACAAGAACTGACTGGACAACTTGAAACCGACACTTCCATATGGACAGGATGCAGACATGAAGACCTGTCAAAGAAAATAAGACAATTCATATATAAAGCCATGCACGGCACACATAGAATAGGCGAATACTGGACAAACATACCAACTTATGAGCACAGAGCACAATGCACCCACTGCAACACCAACAATGAATCCATGGAACATATCCTAATGGACTGCCCACAAAACGCTAACTCCCTGATCTGGTCCCTGGCCAGATCCACATGGCCCACAAAACATGGAGCTTGGCCCAGGATAAGCCTCGGAACAATACTAGGATGCAGAAACATTAGCCTAACACAACCACAACCAGACAATGAGCAACTACAAGATGTACCGGAAAACCGTCAAAACAAACAGTCCAAGAAAGGCACATCACGGCTACTGAGAATACTTATCTCTGAATCAGCGCACCTCATCTGGGTGCTGAGATGCGAGAAAACGATAAGCAGCACTGACTGTTCCCCGCAAACAATTACAAAGCGTTGGACGTCAATAATCAACAAACGATTACAAATCGATAGACTTACAGCAAGGAAAATTAATCGAACCCAAATATTCCAAAACTTAGTCACAGCGACCTGGACTGACATAATCACGTCCACAGACCCCCTACCCAAGAACTGGGCCATCGCCCTCGAGGTTTTAGTGGGTATCAAGCAACCCAGGCCCTCTCCGAACGAGGCCCCCAGGTAGCCCAGAGCCCCACACACCCCGCATAACGGGAGTGCGTAAGTGCATTTTTCCTCGGACCGAAGCTTCAAGCTCCGCTATAGCGCGTATCTGTAGAACTAGATTTACTCGGTTGCTACAAATATATATCGCTCGTCCAAAATCTGGGGTGCAAAGACGGGCGAGCTGCTTAACACCGTGACGCTCACACACCGTGATCAAGTTTGGAGCTTGGCCCGGAATGGAAAAAAAAAACTTATCTCTGGTTCATATGGCCTCATCAGGATATTCGACACAGCCACCTGGCAATGCCTCCTTGAAAGTGCATCACTCGATCTCACAGCACGTCTATGGAACCTCGACACGAACTTCCAAGTCGGACCACCTCTCAGGCAAGAAAATCCCGCGCGCTGTGCAGCCTTTTCCTTTGATGGAAAAGAGTTAGTTACTGGTTGCGAAAACAGTAACGCGTATATATGGAACATCCATGCCATCCTCGAAGAAGCTGGCCTCGAAGACCTCCAATGTTTACCTGATATAAAGCTTATGGTTCTTCAGTCAAAACTACGCCAATCTCCCCTTCACATATCACAGCTCAGGAGTCATTAATGGATGTACGTGATTTGTTTCTCAGCCTTCCCAATGGTTACAACCTTGATAATTTGTGTAGGCGGATGCTACGCAAGCCGAAGACGATGAACCTTCGCCAGGCTTTTTCAGCGACGTGATAGATGGTCCTTATGTGCGTCATCAGCGTTTTTAAATGACTCCTGTTCTGACCTCTTGGTCTCAGTCCTCCAGAACATACGGTAATTATTACCGTTCCTCTGCCCGCCGTCCCCGCCTTCTTGTACCCTCTTTTGAGACTGCAAATACGCTCTTTGACCGCCTTTTATCGCCTTTCCGCTGTTCTCACCACACTGGCACAGATGATGCAACCGAACTCCAGCAACGCCCAAGGCGGTCCATCTTCTCTCGTGATCCTCGTATCGTTGGGGTTGCCGCAGTCAAGGACAGAGAGGTATGTATTTCTTCGCATGCATTTCCCATCATCGTGGTTTAATGATTGGTGTCCAGGTCATATTTACTGCTCCGCCGCCGCCACGAAGAACACAGCAGCGAACCCAGTCGCAAGGCCAAGGATCGTTCACTATCCCCCCTGTTCCAGGTAATAATCCTACTACACCACGTCCAAGACATCCGCATCCACTACCTGTCCGGCTGTTGGCTCATCTCGTACTTTTTCTCTGCTGCGCATCCCCTCAACATGCCAATGGAAATGGACGACCAACACAACAGCAGCCAGGCCAACCACAAGGTCAATCCCAGGCCCGGACGTCACCATCGCGGACGCAGCTTGTCGTCCCTGCGACACCTGGTGCTCTTGATAGTACTCATACTACCGCGACAGGCGCAATAAGCGTGTAGTCACGGCCCCTTCTATTGCAGACTCGTTTCGTTCCCCTTTCTCTCCTGTGTATCTCCCCCGTATGCATATGGGCATCAACATCATAGCATATAGACACTTATCTTATCTTGGTTCTTTTTTGATCAATGTTTACACCAAGAGTATACGTATCTGATGCCACAACACCCTTAACCTCAGGTCGGTTTTAACGCTATGCCGTGAAGCCTTGATCTCAATGCCAAGCAGTCACTGGAAATATATCTATATCCTGGCTGCAGATGACAATAAGCTAATAAGCAACGTCGAGACTCGATGAAGAGAAAACAAAGTAGCCCGTAGAAGCCCTCCTCTAGCGAGTCAGGGACTCAGGTATTCTTTTCAAGTTCTCCGTCTGAACACCAGGGGAAGGCGGGTTGGTCTAAACAGCCATCAACATTTCATCTTACTAGAGTAAAAGTTCAACGTACGCCAGAGTGAGTATACTTCGTGCGTCAAGTACTCTAGCCTTGCGCTGCTCATATGTTTCGCCAACAAATTGCGGCTCGTCCTTGATCGAAATGATATATCGTGAAATTAAAATAGTGAGAACAGCTGCTCCCTCGGCTTCCGCAAACCTGAATGAATTCAAATGGGTGACCAAGAATAATGAAAACAGGCTCACTTTCTTCCTACACACCCTCTATAACCTATTGGTATGGGCATCTTCAAGCTCGTTCCGAGAAAGATGTTAAGATACTTACCACCACTGAAGGCAAAGAATGCATCTCGGTTCCAGTCACCCAAGAATCGTTCGGGTTTAAACGTGAATGGATCTTCCCAGTACTTAGCTGCAATCATGCGCCAGGTTAGTATTGCGTCTCTTTGCATCTAGCAAGTATCTTACGATTATAGTGAAGCCCAGGCACGTCCAGTGTGAGATCCAACCCTTTAGGCACAACGACTGTTTTCAATGTCCCATTCGCATCTGTGAGAGTGAAGGTCGTATCTTCTGCACTTGTCTTTGGCACAATGCAAACCTGCACCTGAAGTTAACAAGACCGCTTAGAGACATTCGCTCCACCAACATACAGGGGGGAACATTCGCAGTGCTTCGTTGAACACGCTGCCACGATGTCAGCCCGTAACACTTTCAATTTAGAGGCAAACTGACGCAGAAGAGTAGGCTAATGACAGCATATCATCATAAGTCTGTCAAAAACATCGTGAGCCTGGCTGTACAGCTGTCTGTAATTCAAGGGGTCCGTACAGGAATTCTTCCGTCAGGCAGTACGCGTTTGATGTGTTGGTACATTTCTTCTTGCTTATCAGGATGTAAAGCCAATAGTGCGAACGCAAAAGAAAGTGCATGGGCTGTCGTCTGTGAGTTGTCAGCGCGAGGCAAAAGTGTGGAAGGGATGTAGTACCTCGTGTCCCGCAACCAAGAATATGAAGATATTGCCTGTCGGACAATGTTGCCATGTTCTGCTAAATAGTTTGAAATTGTAGCTTACCGATTAATTCGCTATCACTTAGCTTTACTTCACTCTTTGACAAATTGTCACCGTCATTTGCTGACAACAAACTAGATAATAGGTCGTTATTATCTTCGTACTGGGATCCACGTCGTTCATGAATCATCTCCTTAAGGTATTGCTACAAAAGATAGTCATTAAATATGTCAAGTGGTCAGCCACAATTATGGTACATACATGCAATTCATCGAAGGCAAGCCTTGCACGCCTGAAACGTTTAGTAAGTCCCATGGCCCATCTAGGTACTAATAATTTAATGGTGAGGTCCTGTGTCACTGTGCGGAGAGCATCTTTGAGGGTCAGCTGATGTCCAAGTGTGACTACAGTATCCTCTTTCCAAGATATAGGACGACCAAAACCTATAGTGAGTTCTCTATACCGACAGCTTCTTATTGATAATGCTGATCATGCTCACCTGCAGCCCCGATCACGAACAGAGCGATCTAGTGATCCGAATGAAATTAAAGAAGTGCAGAAGTGGCATCAAGAGCTCTTACTGGAAAAGTCAAATCTACAGAGTGATCGACAACCACTTCTTCTTGTCCAGCCCACATTGTATCAAAAAGATCAAGCATGATCTGTATCGTTGCATCCCAGACCAGTCTATTATTCCTCTTCAAGTTGTAAGTTAGGACAGCTCCATTATACGCATGGACATCAGTTACTCACTTCTGAAAACGCAGGTGCAACAATCTTGCGGTAACGCTTCCACTCGTTGCCTTCGGAAACAATGATATTTTCACCAAAGAATGTTAATATGGTGTATTTGCCAAGAGGTTTTGGGAAGCGTTCTCCACGAGACCAAACAATGTCCTTGAAACGATTAGTCAATTTGTCAGGCTTTCAAGGTCGAAACAGGCGGACATACTTTAATCACATTGACGTCCGCTATCAACAATGATCCCACTGCTTTCGGCCACCATGCCGCCTGAAACCATTGGCTTCTGATGCACCACGGTATTACAAGCAACTTACAGTGGAAATTATATCGAGGCCCTTCTCCGCGAAGGCTTGAGAAATTTACGTTGACCATGGAAAATGAACCAACACGAAAAACATTCAACGTACGGCCATGCTTCGACAGCCAAGAATGATCATGACCTAAGGTCAACAAGGGGATCGGGGGAAACAAGTTTCCGAGCACAGTTGAGGAACCAAGAATTGTTCTGTATCCTGGAAGATGACTATGCAGAATAATTAGTTCTATGTAAGCAATTCAATAAAGCTGGCTAACTCACTGAATGCTTGCCAATAGTCGACGGAAATCCACGAAGAGCTGCAATGCGTGTAGTGCAGCTACCGAACCCACCAATATTGAAAGGGTCTCCAACGACAGACCAGTGACAATCATGCTTGCAGGGGGTTGGAAATGGAGATGTAGTGAGCACACAACGGGCTATTCCGCTCACTTGCAGCTCCATCATATACACAGGATGCTCAACCAATTTCAAATCCTGTTATTTTTGGACTATCGTTATTATCGCGGGTAAATCGCTGGGCAGCTCAGACCATACTCTCTTCCGACGGATGACAAGCATCATTGTGGAAGTCTGAATAGATCCTGTGATATATCAAGGCAAGTTGAGAACTGCAGGCACTTGGGCAAATGCCGCCGGGACATATGGATCAATTCTGTCGACAGGTGTGTGTGCCAGGATCAAGAGTTCGAGTGACCCATAAAAGGACAGTAGGTTTTCTGCTGGCTGAACTCGTGGCTACTGTCTATAGGATACCATTTCCGCAATACAAGCTCTAGTTGATACGATGATGGATTCGAGGATCGCATTGACGTCTCTCAAAGACCGTGTCGATGCTCCGGTCGTGCGAAACGAAACACGAAGGTTTCAATGAGATGTAAATGTCTGATGGAGATGTGCATTTGACAGGGAAGGATGATGGTAACACCAACCATACATCCTTCAACTGCTCGATGTGAACGGGGACTTCTTTAGAAAACAAACAAGTCCATCCTGGAGATAGGCGCTGCCCCATAACCTGCAAACGTGCTGGAAGAGTTGATGACATCGAGTTCAAAACAAACCAGATGAGACGTGCAGAGTGGGTAGAGAGTGCAGCACCTTGTGGAATGTGTGTCACAACCATCGATGCAGTCCTTACGTATAGGAGGATGCACATAGCAGCGGTCGCAGACTTGAGCGCTGAGGCGTTTGATCTACACAGCAATAAGCTGTGAAATTAACACGAGGATGACGCATGGGACGCACCTTAAAGACGCTTGAACGAACGGGTGCTCAACTTCCTCGACTACCAACCAGACACCCTCCAAGTCTGATCGCTGGTGATTGAGGGTTCGTTTAAACGGTGCTGCTCGTAAGTGATACTCTAGGCTTTTTTGCAGGATTCAGCTGACAACATGTTTACCAGCAACTTCAGATACTCGCAAAGATCTCTTGCACATTCTAATTTCTCAAATAACGGCGTAGAACCTCCTCCATAGACAGTCCCGGAGTTAGCTTCTGGGTGGGGACTATATCCTGTAAGTGGGCTGTCTTGTTAAAAATGGCTTATGTACCCTGACAAGAATCAAAGGTAAAGAAGATAGGCCCCCAGACTCACCAGCAATCGTGTCGCTTCCGGATAACCCAGTCTGATTCGCAGACTCCTTTCGCATACATAGTCCCCAATCTGCCGTAGTTGAGACACTGAACTCTGATCATGTCATCTTCCACCAGTGAGATGCCAGCGATCACGCCACATCTAACGTTTCGAGGCCATACTAATAAAGTACACGGTGTCGTCCACCTGCCTGGCGGACGACGGATCATTACATGTTCGTTGGACGGCTCACTCCGACTATGGGACTTAGAGAGCGGTACACAGATAGGTGAGGACTGGCGAGATGATGATAACGCAGGAGAGTGGTCCATAGCATTGTCTCCAAATGGCAAGACAATTGCAAGTGTAAGTAACGACAGGAAAGTGAAGTTATGGGACGTCGAGACGAGGAAGGTTATCACCAAATGGGCAGGACACACCGATCTTGTGGGTGCATTGTGCTGGAGTGCGGATGGTAATCAGGTGCTGAGCGGATCCTGGGATGGAACGGCAAGAGTCTGGAATGTCGAGAGTGACAAACCTATCATGACGATCAAAACCGGGCATGAGTGGGTAAACGCGGTGATTTACTCACCTGATACAACAAAAATCGCAACGGGCGGATGGGACGAAAATGCAGTCAAAATCTGGGATGCAAAGACGGGCGAGTTGTTCAAGAGGCTCGAACACCATAATCAAGTTTGGAGCTTGACTTGGACCTCAGACGAAAAGAAACTTATCACAGGTTCATATGGCCTGATTAGGATATTCGACACAGCCACTTGGAAGCAGATCGCTGTCCTTGAGGGTCATACATCCCTTGTCTACAGCATCACCCTGTCTGGGAATGAACGCCTCCTTGCAAGTGCATCTGCCGATAAAACAGGGCGTCTATGGAATCTTGACACCAACCTTCCAGTCGGACCGCCCCTCCAGCACAAGGATAAATTGGAGTGCGCAACCCTTTCCCCTGATGGAAAGGTGTTGATCACTGGCTGCCACAACAAAAACGCGTACACATGGGACATTCATGCTATCCTCAAAGAAGCTGGGCTCGAAGATCTCCTTGAACCTTTATCTGATGTAAATTTCACGGTTCTTCAGTCAAACCTATGCTAATCTCCCCCTCGCAGGTTGCAGCTCGAGAGTCGTTAATGGACGTACGTGATTTACTTTTCAACCTTCCCAATGGTTATAACCTTGATATTTTATGCAGGTGGATGCTACGCAGGCTGAGGATGATGAACTTTCGCCAGGCTTTTTCAACGACGTGACGTATGGTGCTCAGGTGTGTCATCAGCGTTTTTAATTGGTCCCTGTTCTGACCTCTTGATCTCAGCCCTCCAGAATGCATGGTAACTATCATCGTTCCTCTGCCTTCCATTCCCGCCCTCTCCCATCTTCTTTGGGAAGTGCGAGTGCGCTCCTTGGTCGCCTCTGGTTGCCTTTCCGCCACTCTTACCGCAAGACTGGTGATGCAACCGAACTCCAGCAACGCCCAAGGCGGTCCTTTATCCCTCGTGGTCCTTGTATCGTCGAAGTCGCTGCAGTCAAAGACAGAGAGGTATACATTTCTTTGCGTGCATTTCCAATCACCGTGGTTTAATGATTTCTGTCCAGGTTATATTTACCGCTCCACCGCCGCCACAAAAAACACAACAGCAAACCCAATCACACACCCAGGGGTCGTCTACGACACAGCCCGCTCCAGATACTAATCCTATTACATCACGTCCAAGACATCCCTATTCGCTGCCCGTCCGGTTGTTGGCTCACCTCGTGCTTTTTCTCTGCTGCGCATCTCAACACGCCGACGCCAATACGCAATCAACACAACAGCAGCAAGGCCAACCGCAAGATCAATCCCATTCTCAGGCGTCTTCATCACAACCTCAGCCTGCCGCCCCCTCGACATCCGCAACACCTATTGCTCTTGATACTCGTAGTACCACTCCAGTCGGGGCAAGCGTGTAGCCATGGGTCCATTGCAGATTAGTCTCGTTCTTTTTTTCTGTTGTGCATCTCCTCACATGCAGATGATTAATACTACAGCATATGGACAGTTATCTCCTCTTTGCATCTGGTTCGTTTGTAATTATTATCGTCTCACTGTTCATGCAGAGTGTCTATTTCAGTTCACAACCTCCTCAATCTCGCCTTAGCTTCAACACTATGCCGTGAAGCCTTGATTTTTATCTCAAGCAGTCGCTAGAAACTGTCCTGGCCGCAAATTATGTTGCTGCATGTCTTGTTCACTACTCTTCCCGTGTATATCTATCCCTCAGGTACCTGATGGCAAGTATGTACATCCTGCCTTGGACTTGACCGATCGCACAACTGTACATGTGCACTCTCCCATCCGCATCCACAGAACTGATACACACTCAAGCTCCTGGTTAGTCTTCCAGGTGACGTTGTAGAATTGAGCCTCTGACGAGCAAGACGTTTCCATTCAATGATGAAAGGTCCGGTGGCCAAGGCCAAATATAAATTGCAGAGAAGAAAGATGGAACCCAAAAACTACACGACATACTGTCTGGACACATTTACGAGATTGCTCGTGAGATTGGGAATCTGAGAAACAAGCGATAGGCGCTGGCGCAAACTCGTGTTCTTGATGTGTGCTAATTGGACGCTGGACCACTCTAATCCACGCAAGAGATTGAGAAAGAGCTGATCGTATTATTGGGAAATGAACGTGTGTAGGACTGCTTGCTAGACTTGGTATTCTTTGACGGGAGGCCATCTTGGCCTTCGAAAGGGAGTTGAGCAAGCACGTAGATCGTCACGGTCGATATCGTTATGGGGTGATGTGACAAGTTTTCACCTGCATTCGGCAGAGAAACTGGACACGATATATGCTATTCAACCTGGACTCAGTGTAATACTTGAATGGCCATCAGTATTCAACAACGCCTCAAAGTACAGTTCCACAAAAAAGGTGAAACAACAGCACTGGTACTCACTGGATGTACTTGGTAGTAAACAATAAAGCCCTGGGTGACGACATGCTGTACAGCATGCAAGCATCCGGAAATGTTAGCACTGGAGTTCGAACATGGGCTGGAAGAAATATGCGGAGTGAAGAAAAAGTGATGCACGAGTTGTTGAATGCTTGTTATAGATATCAATGTAGTTCGTCCAATGATAAAAGGCCCGGTGACCGAGGTCAAATGTAAATCGCAAACGATTGGGCAACAACAAATCATTTGATATGTTGACGTGATGTCTGATAATTGACGCAATAGGAAACGGAATATAAGATCGTTTCGTGAAATTGGGCTAGACACGATCTGAGAAACGAGCGATAAACGTCGGCGCAGACCTGTGTGCTTGACATGTACCCTAATTGGGCCGCTGGACCTCTGTAATCCGCTAAAGAGATCGAGAAAGTGTTGATCATGATTTTAATTCACTGGGAAATGAGCTGCTTGCGAAAGTCGGACTTGGTGATGAGTATTCTCTGATGGGAGGTCATTTTGGCCTTCGAAAGAGGGTTAAGCAAGCACGTAGATTGTCGTGGTCGATGCGCTGATGTGATACGTTTTCACTTAAATTCGGCAGAGAAACCGGACAAACTATTTGCTATTCAACCTGGACTCAGTGTAACATTTGAACCGTTATCAGCGTCCAGTCACGCCTCAAAGTACAAAAAAGCGGTGAAATGACAGCACTCACTGGATGGTAGGCGACCATAGAATTAGTGGAACAGTGTTAGGTGGTAGGGAAAGCAGTGAAGTGCCATATTTTTAAAGATATGCATGCATCATACCGTATCGTCATAATATCCATGGTGACCACGCGCAGAGCATGCGACAATGCAGGATTAGCAAGTGGAGGTGGATATCAGTTTACTCTTCTTCCTCCTCTTCCTCCTCCTCTTCGCCTTCCTCCTCTTCATCCTCCTCCTCCTTGGCAGCCTCGACGACAGCAGTTGCAATACGGTCCAAATCCCGCTGGCCGTCTTGGCTTATCCGTCGTCCACCATTGTCGGTCTGCTCCAAGACACCGATCTTCTCTAGCGATTGACAGACTTTTCTTTGGACGGAGGCAGAGGAGTCGGCGTGGTGTGATGGGCGGTTGCCGCGTCTGTTGCGGCCACCATGGAGTTTTGTCAACGCACCAATACCGACGTCTTTACGGAGGTAGATGTGTCGTGCAACAGCAGCTGATGATGATCGCTCTTTAAATTTGTTCCCTGATCAAGGGTACTGAACGCAACGCACCTGCACGGACGTAGTACCAGTCTGGATCATAAGGTGCGAGTTCCTTGAAAGACCCGGTTTTAACAATGTCGACCCATGTAGGGACCTCAAGCTTCCCCGACCGCTTAAGATGGGAAGCATATGCAACAATGAAAGCCTCGGCGCTGCAAGTGACATCCACGCTTAATTCATGGGTCGATTTGATATAAGTTAATGGCATACCTAATATCTCTCACTCCTGGCATATTGGATAGTGGGAAAGACGACCGTGAATAACCTTGAGGAAAGTAACGCGGAACGTTTCGCGCGACGGTTGGCGGTTTGTGTACGACTCTGGGAATTAGAGTTCAGTACTGAGTTCAAATTCAGCCACCGCTGTGCAGTTTTGAGATTAGTCAGCAAGTCTGCTGCATTCGCGTCTACGATGAGAAACACTCGAATCAACTTTCAGCTAGACTCGACACATTGATCATGATGGATGATGGTCGATATCGATAGAAGGTCGACAGAAGATTGAAGATTGAGCAGCTCGCTATCCAACGACATGATTTGCCATTATTTTCATCGCAGAAGATGATCAATGTAGGCGTGTCGCTCGCAAATCGAATATTTCTGCACACATTTGGGTGCACGTTGCGTTCAAGTGCAGGCAAGGATATTTGAGCCTCATCTGATCTGACTGGCAGGTTTTTACACGCGCCTCATCGACTACCACGACTTCAAGCTTCTGCTTATGTAAACTGGATATATCGTGCGGTTTCTCATCTGATGCTGTGCACTCACGGTACCATGATCATATCCACTGTTAACAAGGATACTCACAGTTTCCCTCCTTTTCCATCCTTGCCTCCAGAATTACTCATCGAGATCTTTTCAACTTGCAGCCTCACAGGTGACTGGCACATCCCCCTCACGCTATCCAAAGTCTGCTGTTTATGGAGAGACTTGATCATATCGTCACCCTGCATATGGCAGATGATCGTCATACTAGACTCAAGGCGCACTATGTCCTCCATCCGTACTCAGGCAGAGCTATGGATCGCTCGCTCTTCGCCTCTTCCATTCAATGTAGTCCTCAAGCTAACAGATTTCGAGCGACTGCTACCCATCGTGTCGTGCTTCCTCCCTAATCTCGCCCGTTGGATGCGCTGCACTATCACTTATGATGGAAGAACTATCGATACATCCTTATCGGACCTCACCCTGTCCTCGCCTCGTCACATACCACATCATCTCGATATTATTCTTAAGACTCCCTTCGAGGACGTGGCAGGCGATGATGGAGATGATATCATATTTTTCCCCTACGGAAGCACGACATACCGTCACATATCCATGAAAGTAGCAACAACCAAACTGCCCTATGCAGAAATGGTCAACCCCTTAGTATTCACATCACTCGACATCTCAGAGACGGCATTCGAATACTCCGTCCGATCACCAGACCTCCTTCGTTTTCTTGCCCATTGCCCGAACTTGGAGCATTTATACTTTCACGGTTTGTCCAATGATGAAGGCACTCTTGACGCGTCACCCCCTGCTATCGCCCTTCCGCGATTACACACGCTCCTCCTAAACGAGATTTGCAATCAGCGTAGCATCCTCTCGCATCTCTATCTCCCTGCATTGCGAGAGCTTTATCTGCATCACATGAACGTAGAATACCAACCCGAGCCATACCACGTCCCTGAAGAAGGTGATAGCGATGACGAGGCCAATGACTTTTCCCAGTCCCCACACAGCGACCTCCACACTGGCATGGGTATCCGCAAACTCTTGTCGCGCTCACGTCCCCCGCTCGAGATCCTAGACATGGATTTATCAGATATGCGTACCAAAGACTTCCGCTGGGTCTTTGATAAGCTGCCCGACCTGAAACAGTTCTCTATCGTTGGGTCTGATATGTCGGATTCGGTGGTTGCGCTGTTCGTGCCTTTTGCTGTTGAAAATGGAGATGGGCAGGACGGGGGGCAGATGAGTGTGCGACTGCCCAAGCTATCTGTTCTCAAGATGTACAGCTGTCAACAGCTCTCGGGGGATGCGCTGGTGAAAGCCTTGAGCGCACGTGTCCACTACACAGATCATGCAACGCCAGATGCTACGCTAGCGACGGTGGTCATTTCAAGCTGCAATAACTTTACTGCGAGTCATGCTCAAGAGTTGTCCTGGGATTTGCACGATCGTCTGCATGTGTCGTAATGCTGTCATTGATTGGGAATAACATTGTTAGGGATTTTTTAAGGACACACCCTCTCGATGCACATAGATGTATTTATAATGTATTTGCTCTGTTCTGTATTACTAGTACTTAAGTTACGAGTATCGGAATGAGTTTCGACCTTTCCTTGGTCGAAGCAATGATATAGAATGAACCACTGACAATATTAAGATTTCTTCTGTTATGGTCTAACTTGGGGAGGCTAGTCGAACCAGGCACAAAGGGCACCCCGCCCTAGTCATGTGGCCAGCGTCTCGTTCCTATATCACTGTAAGTATGAACATACGTCTCGACAAAGCACCTCACCTAACAGGAAAGACAATATGCTGTCTCTCCGCCGACTCCCTCAACAGACGTCGGACATCCGCAACGTTCTCGTAGTTGGCCCTCCACACATTATCTCCATCGCGCTCACCCCAATGGAAAGTATGAAATGTATCCACCTCGTATCCCTCCTTCCACTTCTGCCTCACAAAAGACGCATTGTACGGCGGCTGATATATCCACCACTGTCATCCCAATCAGTCGGCACACACATTACAAAAAGTAAAAGCACGCCAAGTCTCACATGGTCCACAAAGAGAATCGGCTCATGGGGAGGCGCGACCAAGTGCAGCGTTGTAGGCGTAGCAATCTCAAGGAAGCAAGTCGTTTCAAGGAACAGGCCCAATACTTCCGTGAATATCCTGCGGTGCCGCCCTGGGATGTACATCGTATCTGCAGAGCCTCCGATAAGGCGCGTTTCACCATTGGTGAATGCAGCAAGGCGTTCTCTCAAGTGCACGGGTACTTTCTGGAAAGCTTCCATGCAAACTCCGACTCCCACATGTGGATCGCTATAGATGTGCGATAGCTATCAGATAAGCGCAGGGAAACACCTTGTAAATCAACTCACCCCCACCTGCAATAGGTAATCAGAAATATCAATGAGAGTTTATCAGAATATCACGTACCACCAGTCGGGTCCCCATCCCCTCCAGGTTTCCGTGAGATTGATGGACGTATCCGGGGATACGTTGACAGGAGGAGCATGCAAGCCAAGGCTGAGGTTATTATCCTGTGCAGGGTTAAAAACAGGCAGGCCCCATGGCGAATGGTACCAAAAAAGTTTTTGGTCAAACTTTTCCAATCGCGGAATATTCAGCAGCGTGTCAAACGGCACCCATAGGTAGCCATCATAACAGTCTTGCTCCTGGAGAGCAGTGTACAGCATATGATGAGCCATCTATGTGACTGATAAGTACCAGGCATGTGAATGAAAATGCTTGGAGTACACACGCGCCCTGCCATCTTATAATATGATGGATCAGTTAAATCCTCATCAGAGTGGTAGGAGTCTACAAAGACATCGTAGGAGTGATCAAAGCCAGAGTCCTCGCGAGAAGCGGGTCCAATATAGAGAATCTAGCATCAGGTATGTGAACCTGTTCAGAAGACTTGGTCGCGCAGCACTCACATTTGGAAAATAATCAGAGTATACTTCTCGGTGGTAATCTAGGTTGGCACCGTAACGAGCGTGGCTGAAGAAGACTACTAGCAGGATGTTATCGAAGCGGTTATAATTTTCCAGTGTATTCCTAAGCGAATGAGACGATAAAGGCCGGCGGCGACAAGCGCCTAGCTTGGACTCCCAGGTGAAGCCCCACTGCGGGCTTGAGGCGCGTGGGGTCCACACGTTCTCATGGGTCATTGCGAATGATACAAGAAGCATATATCCAACCAATACCACCGCAAATACGACCGGGTACCGACTCGGAGGCTAGGTTTTTTATATCAGCTCAAGAGTAAGTCTTCTATGGAGTTGGCTTACCCGAACCATGCATTCAGATCCAACATCTTCCTCCGTGGTCTGTTTTATGCTGGAGACATATACGCCCGCTGCTATTAATGCGAAAAGACATCCTGTGAGTACACCTGGCTCGCTGAGGAAACCTGCAGTTAGCGAGAAGAGGACAACGGTCGAGGCGAATATGGTCATGATGCTTTCTAGAATGACATCGTAATCTACTGGCCTAAGCACGAGACACACGTGCGACACAAAATACTCACAGTATATGACATAGAGTGCCGAGATGTCTCGACCGGCCTCCGATAGACATGACAGAGCCAGTGCGATCAGATCCGCGTGCGATCTAAAACTATGACTTCCAGTACTAAGGAAGGCTACGCTGAAAATATAGAGCGATAAATGGGCAAGACAGCCGACAGTGAAGATGAGCAGGTTGATAGCATCGAAAAATGACGGATGGTGTGATTTGTAGACCTGTGTGTACAGCGGGCTCTACCCTGAACTTTAGTCCAAGTGTGAGATTTTATGACTTACTATATCAACCAGGGTGTCAGAAAACGAGATGCTGAGCGCAGAGGCAAGTAACGAGAGATCTGGCAAGTCACTCGAGTGGCTAATGAGACCGCTCTGAATAAAATTAGAGTGGTTCGACTGCTGGCAGTAGTTGCCCTACCCGAACGATGAATACCCCACAAAACTAAGTCTTATCAGCATTCAGGAAGCTCGCAATCTAACCAGTTTCCTGGAATTGTATACCTGTAGAAGAGCAGCATACCACAGTTGTGGAGTGTATGTTCTGCAAAAGAACACACGCAGCACAAATAGCGAACCGAGACTCGCCGCGGGGATTACAAGGTATGGCGCGAGTGGATCGGTGAATTCTCTGCTTTTATAAATCTATGAGAAATATGAAGTAGTTGTTTCCCTGGGATGAAAGAAGCGGCGGACATACCACATAGGCCCGAATCGCGCACAGCGTGGAAATGACAAGAATGGACAAACTCGAGCGCCCGCTACTAAGGCTCGACCAGTCAGGCCTTAACCGAGGATATATTTGTGCCAGCTCATTGAGCCGGATCCTGGGAGTAAAGGATTCGTGACTGCCCTCAAGTGGGATATTAATATTGCTCAAAAGCTGATCTTCGTTGTCATGTCGGCCAGGATCGAGCGAATCGTAGCGGAAGTATTTTTGTCTCGCAGAGTATAAACCAAATGCAACGAATAGTTTAATAGCTTCGGTAAAAGCGAGACGGATGTGGATGTCGACAGGAGTTTCCGACTTGTGATCAACCAGAATTTCGGATGAGACCCAGAGAACGAAGAACCCAATCTAGTAACGATCATCGATGAGCTGGGTGGTGCTGAGCATGATCTTAGATGTCAGTGACTGACTGGAAGAAGAGCTTTATTCTGCAAAAAATTGTAGTGAAAAGAAAAGAAATGCATCGGCGGCAAGCGAGGAAGGACCAGCATGGTCTGTGCTTTGGGTTCGGTTCTGCCACCTGGTGTGCGCTGTTACAATAATTGGAATTATGCCTGATGCCGAGGGAGTGTAATGCTAATAGACCAGAAAGAAAAATAACGTGTGGTAGTGCCAGCGAGTTCAAAAGGTGGTTTGAACTTGAACTTGACTGGAGTAATCACGGTCCATCGCAACTCTAATACACAGTCAGACCCGCAAGAGCGCAATCTACGCCAACCTCCACCAAATTGTAAGCTATGAAACTGTGACACTCGGCTATTCATGATGAAGTTCATGAGATTGGCTAAAGATGGGCATGGGCGTTTATTAGAAAATACTTCGGTTGCAACACAGTGACTAGACCTTACTGCAGACAAGTGACAAGTACTGCTGAAAGACAAGACATTTTTTCTAAGTCAAATAGTGTACATTTCGATATCTATGCAATTGAGAATAAAAATAGCTCGTAACATGTGATAATGAACAGTAAAACCAATACACAACGCGCACCACATCATTGGCCGTTGACGATATCGATGCCACCGGCATCATTAAGCTTCAGTTCCTTCACGCCGTTAGCCAGAAACTCCAAGCCTTTGGATTTTCGGGAAACCAACTCTCGGCGAGCGCGAACACCTTCACGCAAACGCTCAAGGGCGGGGACGGTCATATCCCAGGACAGACAAGCATCAGTGACTGACTGGCCATATTTGAGGCCAGCAGGACCACTCGACGGTACATCTTGCCGTCCCTCGACGAGATTAGATTCGAGCATGACACCCATGATGAACGCCGACGTGTCCTGACTCTCCAGTTGTTGCGCCTGAATGAACAGTAAATAAAAATAGATAAAAAAAAGTTGGGAAATGCTCACGATATCTTCTACAACCTCTATCTGCCTACGATGTTGTTTTTGGCTGTTTCCGTGACTGCAATCAATCTGAATTTGGACCATGTCAACGATGGTGGGATCCTGGGTATAACACCTGAAAATTACCATGATTTTGCAAGGAAGACCAGCTTTGGAAAGCTTCTCGCCACAGTCACGGACGTATTCTGCGGCATAATTAGGGCCTTTAGAGCCACCACGCAAGATTACATGTGTGTCTGGGTTTCCCTACCAAAAATTACTCGCTGCCGAGGCGTTAAAAGGGTTAAGTTGCCGTACCTCGGTTTCGATGATACTACTAAGGCCTTCTTTGCCCACACTGAGGAAGACATGGCCACTCCGAGCGGCACGCGATGCATCTATCGCAATGCTAACGGATCCATCGGTCGAATTCTTGAATCCAGTAGGCATCGACAGTGCAGAGGTTAGCTCTCGGTGCACTTGAGATTCCGTGGTGCGGGCACCAATAGCTCCCCAGGATACTAAATCGGCGGTGTACTGAGGCGAAATTGTATCGAGGAACTCGCAGCCAGCAGGCACGCCAAGTTTAGCAATATCCAAAAGGAGAGTGCGCGCGATGCGCAGACCCTTGTTGATTTGGAAACTACCATTCATATCGCTATTTTCTCATTATTAACACTCATTGGTCGTAAAAAATCGGAAACACTTACGGATCGTTAATCAAACCTTTCCATCCGACAGTCGTCCGAGGTTTTTCAAAATACACGCGCATAACTATGTGCAAGTCGTCCTTAGCCACGTCTGCATAGGCTTTGAGCAGTTTGGCGTACTCGATGGCCGCACCCACGTCGTGAACCGAGCAGGGACTAATGACTACAAGTCAGTCAAGGCTCAACTGCGCATAAATAATTCATACCCAACCACCACCATCAGCCGGTCATCATCGCCCTTGAGTACGTTTTCGGTTGCCCGACGTCCCTCGATGACGGTGTTCGCAGCAAGAAAAGTCCTGCATGCACGTTAGAATATCATCACCAAAAAATAAAAGTACGCACAAAGGGAGGTCTTCTTGCAGGATTTGAGGTGGAATCAATGGACGCGTCGCTTTGACGCGACGATTTTCAAGACGTTGAAGTGCTTCTTTGAAAGAAAGAGCCATTGAGAGATCCACTTGAAAAGAAGGTGAATAGGTATCTGTTGAAGATGACCGAGGATGCAGAGCCTACCGTTCTCTGGCATTGAATTATATAGGTTTTTGGATGACATTGATAAGTGCGATGTACGGAATCAATACCACTCGTCAGGATATCTTGTGAGAATTGCGATAAGCTTGAATGAGAGAATTCCTCCTTGGATGGTGAATGGGGGTCTGATGAAGAGATCTTGGTCGAGTCATCATGATCTCTGCTGCAAGGTTGATTCAGCACCAAAAAAGTAAATTCACACCGATATTTGCACGTGTCATCCATTTACACTTTCATAGCATTCCTCGGAAAAGTTTACTTCGTTCAACCAACCATCTGCGTAGACACGGTCCAACGTTCTTGTCTCATTCATCTTTTCCACCACCTCTAGTCATGGATTTCTCACAGCTTAACTCTGCTGAACAGGCCCATATGACCAAAATTATCGAAAAAAAACAGGTATTGGTTCGTCATGTGCACCTCAGCAGAGTCTGAATATTATACTACCCCAGATGCAAGACTTCCTACGTCTATACTCGGGCCTCGTGGAAAGATGCTTTAGCTCATGCTGTAATGACTTCACGAGCAAAGCATTGTCTTCGAAAGAAGTGATAGCCTTTCATACCTATCTTCACACAGTTCGAGTTTAACCTTTGAGCAGGAGCAATGCGTTATGAATTGCGCAGACAAATTTTTGAAGCACTCCGAGCGGGTGGGGCAGCGGTTTGCGGAGTTGAATGCAGGTACGCTTCATCTTTGTCCAAGTCCGAATATACTTTAAATCCGTCTTCAGAGGCCATGGGTCCCAAGCCATGAGAACGAAACCATGCAATTTAATTCGTATGCTATGTCGATGCTATCAAGGTGCTATCCTAATCCCATCTTTTTATGTTTGATTAGCATGGCGGCTTTGTCGCAATCGCCTCCAAAATTCAACGTTGCTTGTTTGTTTATCATAAACGAACCTACTGACTTTGACCTGTGGCGTTTGCTCACGACGACACTCCCAACTGCTATCTATGTCTCCATAAGGCACTTTGTGGTTTCCTCGGCATTTTGTTTATCGTTTCGTCTAGATGTTGCGTTACTTCTTGTTATTTGCGTCAACACGATGATAAGCGTTGTGAGAACGTTATTTCAGTCTCTCGTGCACACACCCCAAACCCTCGGCACGGTTTCTGTCCTGTAGAACCACTCCCATAATCTGACGGAATTCCTCGCATTAAGCCTACTCCCGCATCGCTGTATCATTCATGTCGACCTTCATTGGGTTCCTTCCTGTTGGCGCATCGTTTGACCCTTCATGCCCTCGTGTTGGACGTTCCATTGGACATTCGTAGCCCGGTGAATAATTTGTCTTGCACTGTGGGTATATTATGATGAGTCGACTTGGCAGGAACTGTGCAAATGAGTGCACGGGGAACATATCAACTGGCCGAGCCAATATGCACCAGCCTCCTATTCCAGTTACGACTATCTGATTAAGGTATCAGATCATTCCAGATGCATGTGACTATGGACAGGAACTCATCTACGTGGAAGCAATTCGTGTCGAGGCCATGTGCGCGTCACTCGGTCCCCTTGACTTTACTGACGTGTTCTTAAACAATACGCTTGGCGCTATGATTGCGATTTCAGGTCACAATTCAATATGGCGTCCTCCTGCTTTTTCCACGGTATTGTTAGAATTCAGAATGCATCTTCCTATAGATTCTTTTGATGCCTATTCTGGAAAATGGACAGATTTGTGCGCAAGGTCTCACTCCGACGCGATGTACTCGACCTTCGCACAGACGCATTTGCACATGATCAACTGTACACAGCTCTCTCCCGAGTGCGGAATCGTCACGATATCCGGACTCGGACGTTGTTGTCAACGACGAATGAGGCAAAAGACACACCAAATGTCATCCACTCTTCGCTATGAATATGAATAATGCTTCTCTATCCGCAGGCGAGTAGATTTCTTGGTGTTATTATTATGATACATATGTTGAGCGCCGCTCATATGGTATAGTTGAAGTGGGATGCGTCCGGAAAGGACAAGCGTGAAACCCAAAGTTCCCGCAACAAGAGTTGGAGGCAGCGGGCTCTGCTACTCCTGTTGGGCAGTCAGACTATGGGTGTAGGTATCCACAGAATATTAAATAAATAAATAACAGGATCCCTCGGACTCACGAAAAACCACGAGATAAACCAACGCTATTGACATAAAAAGATGCCAGTTTGCAATAGCTACAACGACGAAAGCAAAACTGGAGCAACTAATGTTGTGAAGCAATTCGACCGAGCCATTTACATTATAATGTCCTAAGTCCAGAATGTCTTGTATGTGTCAACTTGAAGAGTCTCGAGGAGTGATATGAAAAGATTCTCACCTAGAGTAGTAGTGCTCGTTGCATCGTCTGAGTTGTGTCTATAATGTCAGTCTATTATGGCACGGCCTGTTTCGAGGAGGTTATTCGTCGTTGCATGGCCTGCAAACACATCCTGCAACTGGCCTTTTCTTGCTTCCTCTCAGTCTTCCATGCCCTCATTTGATGGGTGGCATTGACGGTTCCATGTGAAACCACGAATACAATCTGTGTGATGAGTGCCGGGGAAGAAATATAACGAGACGGCTCGTAAGGATGTTGATCATCATGGACATCCTGAGCGGTCCGTCCTGGCCCGTAACGCTGGGTTTGGTTTCGAACTCCGGTTAGGACCCTAATGGCACTTGGACTGACTGCTGGTCCTACTGCTTATGGAGGGGTAGCGTGGGCTACCAGTTCTATATCAGGGGCTGCTTAAATTTGTTTTACCAACTCGGACCGTGACCACCTCGGAATTCCACTCAGCACCCTTGGCTTGTTAGTCTTCCTTGTGCTCCATCTGATTAATTGCTATGGCGCCTCATCCCCTTATCAATGAACCTGCGCCAGAGTTTTCCGTCCCCGATGCGAACGGACGCATGTTCAAGTTCCCCCCTGAAGAACAGGGGGTGCGAGTGAAGAAGCCTATTGCATTGTTCTTCTACCCCGGGGCAGGTAAGCACTCGCACATTCACATGCTCCGGTCCGAAATATTGTGTTCATTTGTTCGCCGTGCAGGAACGTTCGGTTGCACTCGTGAGGCTTGTCAATTTCGCGATGCATTGGTTGGTATGTACTCTCACATTCTTGTACATGTATGTACTGTGTATTGAGCATGGATATTTGCAGAGAAAGATATCTTCAGGCGGACTGGTGTCCAGGTTATCGGGATAAGTCCCGATCCTGTGCCAAAGCAGAAGCAATTTGCTGAGAGTCAGAACCTTACAGTGAGTTGTCTTGAGCTTTTGAAGTGTTACGATCCAGCTGATTGTTGCATGTGCAGTATCCTGTCTTGAGCGACGAGAAACATATTGCCTACCACGCTTTTCATGTCGGCAAGGGCCTTCTCGGATTCACCGACGCCAGGACAACTTTTGTCATCGACAGTGAAGGCATAATCAGGTAAAGCCATGTATGCCCACTAGGCAGAATTCAATCTAACTGGAAATACGTAGGGATTCGTTATCTGCAACCATGAATTACAACGCCCACGTCGGATTTGTCATTAAGGCCTTGGGTAAACTGGAGTCCCAATCTTCTGTTGAGTCTTTGTCAGAGACCGCCGATGCAGCACGTTCAGATGACCTGTCATCGTCACAAATTCGTAACGAACTGGGTCGGGCTGCATACGCGGTCGGTGCGTGACGACCCCATCTCGTACTCATACTTTCATTGTATTCTGTTGGCTGTGTTTAAGTACCCCTCATATGCATTATGTGCGATAACTCGATAAAGTCCGATGTACCGTGTAATCGATAACATACAGCTGAAATCTAGTGAGACATGCAAAACCTTGCATTTTCCAGCAACTATGGCTAGGCCCAGTTAATGAAGGACATGCCATTAGCAAAATCTGCGGAGGCCATATGTGCACCATCCGGGATCGGCTTGCCTTTTTGGTAAGCACGAACCATGTCTTTAAGTTGTTTTTGCTGCTTGCATGCTGCGATCAGAGTAATTAAGTCGCGCAAAACACGATATCAACTGTGACTCACTGGGCTTATGGGCTTTCCAATGGCTCTTCTGACATTCCTGGGTACAATAAACCACCTGTACTGCTTGTCAGTGGCTGAGTCACGTCCTATTGGCACTCTTACTTCTTTGCATGCGGCACATCGCTTGAACTGCGTAACATTCTGTTCGACAGCACCGCAGTTAACATTCGAACAACTTTTCAGTAGTGCTTTCTTGGCATCCACATCATTGTTTGCCCATTCCCATACCACTGGATCCATCCACAGCTTCTGGGTCAGCCAAAGATAATCCTGAGCCTCTTCGGGACTATTGAATCCACGAGGGTTGTTGTTAAGGCTGCCTGAAAATAATTGGTGAGAACTCAGGACAAGATGCAGTGTTAGGGCCATACGAGGCTTGTCTATTTTTGCTAGAATTTTGGTCAGAATAGTTGGATTGGCATGAGCAGCCAACCGAAGATATTGTCGAGCGACGGAGCAGTCGCCCCACAACCTGAAGCAGGCTAAAGCTGCTGTGTGCAGCATCGATCCATCGCCACGTTTCCGCAGCGCTTGTTCGTGCTCGGATGATAGGCAATCTGAGGTAGGTGTTTGAAATATGGTTCCACCTCGTGGAGGTGTCTGTCGTCGATTATGGGCTAACCACTGTTTTACGAATGACAAGGCATCACCTGGTCGGCCTGCAGATAAGAGCATAGATCCAAGCCATGTTCGTTGTGACATGTTGTCTCCCGGGCACAGACGCAGCATCTCAATCATGGTGTCCCTTCGTTAATCGATGATCTATCAGAACTGACAAAGAACGCACAGGAAAACACATACGAAGATTTACCAAACAGGCCGGCTTCAAAGTAAAGTCGGACTTGAGCCTGTAGGACGCGCATATATGGCCGCGTTTCGAGTATGCTATAGAATTTCCCAACTTCCTTGCTGCCATCATCGAAACAGGTTTCACCCAAACGCTGTTTCATGCCTTCTCTACCTGTCCAGAATAATTGGTTGTTTTCAAAGCTAACAGTTCCATGAGCAGACTCACCCTTGGCCTCCGCATTCTCCAATGCCTTCAGCGCTTCCGGCAGAGGGAAAAGGAAAGCAGCCTGAACGAAAGCATCTAAATTGTTTCCATCCTCCATAGCCTTAAGAAGAAAGGGCAAAGCTTTCGCTGGTTTCCTCCTGCGGCATAAATCTTCGGCTCTATCGAGACTGAAAGAGTCGCAGTTGGTTAGCAATTCATCAGATGCTTGCATGATTCGGGTATCCACACTTGTTCTGCGCTTCTATGCTAACTGTTCCACCGCCAACCCCGAGCTTGCTCTCCATCCCATGTCGTCGATTCATGAAGTGTTGCACAAAGTAGTTGGAGGTAGACAGTGTACCTTGTACCACGTGTCATACATAACCCTAATTGAGCCGAGAAATCTGGACGCGTTCAACGACGTAGCGCGTAAAACGACACATGCTTCTGTATCTCGGCGCAAACTTGAAGGTAGAATGTACAACTCCAAGTAGTACTCTCACATAACCATGTCTTATACCATGCATAATGATCTGATTGCTACCTGCAAGACTTGAAGGTACAAAACAACTCGTGCCGATTAATTGTTCTCAACGCCCACTGGAACAGTCAAACCTCACTGGCAGGCCTCCGGATAGCGCTGGCGGCTCAAGCTCAAGCCGGGTACATCGATTCAAATTATGCAGCAAGAGACCATGTGCTAGGGCACCGCCATCGGCCACTGGTCCAATGTAAATGCTAGCGTGGAGAACACGTCGAAGTAGTTTCCTACCCATCGGACGGTAAGAAAACTCTTTCCTGCAATATTGATGTCGTGACAACAACTTGAAAGGCTTTTCCCCGAAAAATCGACTGGTCAAGACTCTCGAGTACTCAAGACTCAACGCATGAAATTTGAAATTTGATCGTCTCCACATTTCTTTGCGTCTTCTCTCGATCTTCTAGAGCATGTATGCGGTATATCTGATAGGCACTGTACCCAACTCGGACACCGAACTCGCGTACTAACATATCATCTCAAACACAGAGCCTGCCAGCGGCCCGACCCCTCGGCTATACCTACACCCTGGCGGCCTATACTTATTCGCAACACAGCCTTTCATAGAGTACCGTGTCTTAACAGTTTCCTTTGTTTGCAGCTGCATACAAATACAGAAATTCTCTCTCTCTGATACTGGATGCCTGAATCTCACCCGGAAGAAGTCCGGCTGCTCTCTATGATATTCGGCCGTCAGGACCCTCCAGTTGAATGGCCTTCAAATAGGCACGGTTGGAGCGTCAAATAGGCTTTCGGTAACAGGCCGTGAACGGTTATCAGCTGAAAACTTGTCCGGACCCGGTGCCTAGTTTGCTCTCCGAATCTCAGTTGCTGTGGTCACTATCGCTGCTGTTCAGGTCTGTATCCGCTGTCGGTACCGTGAGGTTATTGGTATCATCAAGTGAATTAATGGGTTGTGCAGGAAAGCCTGTCCTGAAGGCCTGGAATAATAGGCAAAAATTGGACGGACATGGTGTGTCTGAAGTGCTGGAGGGTTCTACGAGGCGCTAAATGGGCAAATTTTCGGCAGAACATCATAGAGAGCAGCCAGGGGCCTTTTTGACTCCGGCGACTCAAATGATTGGCGGACAACTCGTATCATGCCAGTCTTTCGCCAATCATATGAGTCGCCGTCATGAGCTAATGCTATCAGAGACTCAGAGGTATGTAAGGTCCGCGGACACGCCCGAGGCTCACGGGCGTCACGTAAATCTGCTCAATATCCAGGCTCGTCTGGTTTGTCTAAGCGACACTTAAACCACAAAGTTCCTGCAGTTCGTCGTGTCACATGTTCACCACTGAACGTCTGATTCTCCGCCCTTATGTCGAGAGTGACCTCGACGACATCCTTCGCCTCTGGAACGACCCAGTCGTCCAGCCCTTTGTTACCAACGATAATGTCACTGTTCTTGGTCCAAAGTTCAAGGAGACACTAAGAACTCAGATGGAGCGGGCAACCTTTGGTGCCATAATCGCGCTCAAGGAGACCGGGGAATTCATGGGCCAGGGACTGGTTGATGTCCAACCCAAGAATCGCGACGGCACATTTGGGATCTGTTTGCTTCCAAAATTTTGGAACAATGGATATGGGACCGAGGCGACAAAGTTCATGATCGACCATTCGTTCAAGTGGTTCGGTTTGAACAGGCTGTCCCTGGGAGTCTTTGCGAATAACGCACGAGCAATTGCTGTCTATGAGAAACTGTGAGTGACATCGTTTCACCTCATGAACCTTTGCAATCACATCTGCGAATGATGTGGTCGATTAATGCCATTATCTCAAATCAGTGGGTTCGTCATAGAGGGCAGGAAGCGCCAGGCAGTGTGGATGGATAATCGATGGGAAGATTCTTTGACAATGGGTATCTTGCGAGACGAATGGGAAAAGCAACACTGAGAGAGAAGTTCGCATGTCAGGGAGCATGTCCAAATCTTATGTTTATCTATTCGTGTTCGCAAATACTCACCACTCATTTACGTCCAATTTCAATCCCAATATATCACCAGTCTAGACCGAACCAAGTCATTCGGCTTGGCAGCAATGTCCACTTCATAAGTCCGTGACTTGGAAAGTCGAAGTTTGTAGGCAGTCACGGTGCACGAAAGATTCACATGCGTCGAAAAGGATCATACTGAGGAGTTGTTCATATCGCAATCAGATGACTGTCAAGACTACCGTGGAGTATAGAACCGACTCGGAACCAAAAAAAAATCATGCCACATCCGTAAAATAATCGGCCAAGCTCTCTTGTACTTCCTTTACTTTCCCAGCTACAGCACTCAAGACATTGTCTTTGCACCATGGCATTCCATCTAGCATTCCCTGCGTAGGTATCTCTCGCTCCACAAGGGCCTTCGTCACACTCTCTGCAAGCATCAATTTTCCCACCACATCCGCATATTGTATAAGCAGAACTTGACGGCCCATATCCAGTGTTGAGCGCCATAGTGCAGCCCAGGCTTGATTACATCGTGCTTGAGCACCCCCTGTGCACCGCGGACTATGTGAGATAACAGGTGGCTCGCTTGGCAGACGTTCCCATAGCCGGCCGAGGGCGTAATGCCCAGAAAGAAGGCGAATGCGCTGTGCTCGCGTTAGTAACGCGTCGTTATCCCAGACTTCCCGGCCTTGAAGCATCATGGCATGATAAGCGAAACCAAGCAGGGTGCGCAAATTAAGCCGTTCTGCAACTCCAACAGCGAGTGCGATGTCCTTCCCAGATGCGAGGAGCCGTTTCCATCGCAGCGTGGCAGCGTCAAGAAGATCCCGTTGCTCACAAAGAGACGCCAACTCCGTAAGTTGCACAAGGCTGGGCCCCTCGACGTCGTCAACTTGAACGCTTGGAGAGTGCGTTGGGCGCGTGTATATAGTCGTAAGGGCACTAAGGGCCCATGCTTCGATCGAGCGGAATTCATACTTGTGCGTAATACGGGCGAGATTGAACAATTGAGACGTATTCGCTTTAGGCGTTAGCGCAAGGGTGAGCTCCGGTGGCCTGCATGTTTTATTTACTGAGTACAAATGTGGCCGGGGAAAGAAGTCGTGCAAACGTACGTACAAGGCGTATAAAGCCCACAGAAGAGCGCGGAACTCCTGTGCTGTATCTCCTTGGAGCCTGATCGGATTGTCGTCGCTTTCACCTTCGGGTCCCGCAGTGACACTCGTACTAGAGCTTGAGCGTAGGTCCGAGTCTAGGGAGAACATACTGTCAAAGGTAGACTTGTCCTTTGTCAGTATCGACCTATGGACCTAAGAATGATGGCTCAGAATTAGTAGGGCACAATTCAATGCACACAGCAACGAACCCTAAAAAGTGTGTTCTCCACGAGCAGAACGGTGTTTCCATCGGGTATATAGTATGCCGGATCGTGATGGGGTATGGAAAGCTGGAGCTGAAGCTTTGGAGTTGTTGGACTGACGTCTCCTGAGTGCATGAAGCTGGTTGTGAGATAAACGTCGGAAGGTAAATGCGCCATCAAGCTATCGGGTGTATCGCAGAGGCTGTTAGGGTTGGTAGGAATGGTGAAAATATCGTTGGGCCGCCGGTGGTGGTCAAGGTCCAAGGGCCAAGGCAGATAAGATTACTTCAACCTTGTTCAAGAAAGGCAACCTCCTGTCAGATTGCACTGTAGTATACGTACACGTGAAGTATTCGGTGGTAGAGTAGACGATGGTCTTAAATAGCATTGTATACCTACAGTGTGATGCGGAAATATATACAAGCTGGACCATCTGGAGGCTTGCCAATAACCCTCTCAGGGCCAACTTGGAGGGAGATTGGCAGAACGAAGCAAAATAGAAAAAATGATATGCAATTGCAGGTCCACAGCTAGGATAGCGAGCGTGTAAAATGCTAAAGGTTCGAGTGCGAGGGAGGAAAGGCAAGCGAAGAGTCTAGAGCGAAGAGTACATGGGAAGGCATAGCGTAGGCGTACATACAAGTCGTTTGGAGAACTGCTTTTGAAGGACGTTTTCATACAAAGACGTGGTGGTGTGTAATGGAAGATGACTACGTTGACGAATACAGTATGCTATGTGTTGAAAATTTGAGAGTCGAGTGAAGAGGTCATGGCGTGGAAACGTCATGACTCAAGGGCTTTAAGTTCTGCAACTAAGCGCTGAGGGATGCAGATTAACATGGGTCCAGGTCAGATAGTCAATGGAGACGTACCTCTGCTTCTTTGGTGAGATATTCCTGATCTATCTCACCACTTTGAGCTTGCTGGCCCAGTTTAATGCCATACTCAAGTAGCTGCTTCATGTAGTAGGGATTAATGACCGTCTCATCTTGTGCTAGCTGGGGCTTCGCTGGCGGGACCTCAGCTGCAGAAAATAAGGTTACCACAAACTTTAGATGGAGTATTTCATCTCTCACGTTCTTTCATCGCCAACCGTTCCTGCTCAAGCAACTGAGGAATCGTTGCTCGCTCTTTCGAATTTCGCATCAAGCAGCTCTTGATGCCCTGAATAACGTCCGCTCTAACAGGTTGTTGTAAATGCTCGAGTTTTTTCCGTTCGCCTGCCTTGTTCACGACAGTGGGTATGCTGCAGTCCGGATACTCAATGACATGAGCTAAGTCCGGGATAGCCTTCATCTTTTGATAAACAGAAAGATGTTGGAACGGCGGGTGACCATAAACCATCTGGTAGAGGATGCACCCAAGAGACCAGACGTCACTGGCTCGTCCAACTTTGAGCCGCCGCATGCCGTCGGGAAGCTCAATGGCTTCGGGGGACATGTAATTAACAGTTCCGATCTAGAGAGAGGAATGTGATTAATAATGCAGGATGTATACCTAAAGCAGGACTTGCCTGATGATCTCGCTGGATGTTAGTAGTATCATTTGCGATGGCATTCGCAATACCGAAATCAATAAGCTTTAGTTGGCCCCTCACAAGAACGAAGTTTGCGGGCTTCAAATCTGAATGGACAATCTTCTCCTCGTGGATGACGTGAACGGCTTGCAGCATCTGCTCGCTCGCTTCAGTAACAGAGATGAATAATAAGGTCGTGTTCTGGCTGACCTGCTGCCAATAATACGATATCCAGACCATATTCATCGGTTCCTTCTGCTGCTCCTGCAGCAACTTTGCCAGATCAACCTCTCCACATTCCATCACAAGCATCAGATGTCCCTTTGTCCCTCCAGGTCCCGCCTTCACCTCACTATCAAACAGCTGAATGATCCGATTGTTTCCCTCAAGTCGCTTGAGCAGCCCGATCTCATTCATGTATCCGCTCATAGTCTCCGCGTCCGTCTTGTCCAGCGACACGCGCTTGATAGCATAGATCTCGTTGTTCGCGTTCATCACGCGATATACGCGAGATGAGCCACCTTTTCCAATCAGATCGAGCCGTGCATACACTTTCTTGTTTACAACAATGTTGTGATTTCGGACGGGAGCAGGCGCAGGCGCGGGTGGAGGGGGCGCCTGCCGCATTCGGGACGCAGTTTTGGCTTCGGGCTCACTATCCGCAGGCTCATCCCCCGCAGCCCAGGTCTTCCCATTCTTCGATTTACCCGAACCGGGAGGCGGCGCTAACGACCCACTCGTAGTTGGTGGCTCGGGTGCTGTGGGATTTCGCCGGTGATACCCTTGTCCATGTCCCTGTAGCTGTGACAACGACACATTTCGTGTGGACGGAGACAGTTTACCTGGGTTTCGATCGACCGCTGTGGGTGAGGATGCGGTGGGCGGGTTATTGAGCGCGAGGGAGCGGACGGTGTCCGAGTCGCGCCGATGGTGCGTCTGGGTGCGCATGTGCGCCTGAGACATGTGTGTCGGGGAGGGTGACTGGCGGGGCTGTGGCTGGGGGAAAGGTTCAGGTGCCTCTTCCGCTGCGCGGCGTGCGTATTCTGCTGCATACTCTGCGATTGTACGGTCAATGGGGAGGCATAAGCAAGCATGGGGACACCAGCGCACCATCTTGCTCAGACGTCACGCGTCTGATGCGCGCTGAATTGAGGCCCAAGCTGGACCCTGGGCGTGGGGCGTACTGTTGTTGATTTTGGCTTGGGAGCAAGCGCGGAGATAGCCGGTCTTCTGTTGCGGAGATGGTGTTAAATACTAGACAGCGGGCCTATAAGGAGTTGGAAACATACCTCCAGAGGCATCACTCAAACTGGCTGAACGGCGAGGTCGCGTGCCACTCGGTACAGTAAGAGGAGCGACTTGGCTGCGGTGTGGAAGCATGCCATTTACGGGTTGTGGTTCATCTGTGTCTACATAAATGGTTTGGATTATGAAACCAGGGAAGAGTAAGAGATACGCACTGAGATCAGTCTCACCGCATGCATAGTCGGGAGCAAACTCGTTCTCACTACCTTCATTCTCATTAATCTTGTCGAACCCACCCGAACCCACACCATACTTGACACCCATACCCATCAATACCCGCCCCGCACGATTGGGCCCAGGCATGATCTGCCGGCCAGGCTGTAGCGGCTGGCGCGCGCCTGTGGATGATCCGTATGCGCGTGTAGGGAGGCCAGAAATTGCCCGTCCGTCGAGTTGACTCACAGAAGCCGAACGAGTGGTTAATCGCGGGGATGTTCGTTTTGGGGCGACGCCATCTGACGACAGGCCGTCTCCATCAGAAATAGTTATTAGATTTTCTTTCTCCTCCTGTACTCGCATATCCCACTCCTCTCGCACCCGCAGCTCCTCCCGTTCATCTAGTGTAAGTGGAGGTTGTTCGCGGTACTCGTCTCGAGGCACACGTTGGGGACGCCCAATTTTTCGACCAGTCCCAGCAAGGCCACTTGACAATGGTGCACGTAATGCTGATTGAGAAGCAGCTGGCGTCAATGTGGCGGGTACGGACGCGACCCGTTGGAATGAACGAGCGGAATTGCCTGTGGCTAATGACTGAGCTCGGTGTTGAGCTGCAAGTGGCAGTGGTTCAACCCCACTCCCGCTTTGAAGTGACGGATAGGCGCTCTCTGACCGCGAGAGAGAGTTCCGTCGCAATGGTAGTGGAGAATTGAGTAATATGGGTGAAGGAGGTTTAGTGTACGCATAGGAAATAGAGGTCCCCTGTGGCGGGGAAGACGAAGAAGGCTTCATAGCACCGTCAAGCAGAGCATCATTTGGTGTTGGGGGGCTCGAATGATTAGACCTTGATAAACCTTTTGATACGCGGACATAATTGCCCGCGGAATCGAGCTCGTAGTCGAATGAGAGTTCGATGATAGATGACTCATCAGATGGCGAAGTTGATGCTCGACGACTTAGAATCTTTGGGTCATCAAACGCTATCATTGGTGGTGTTTGTGGTGGTGAGATACGTTGCTCGCGATGGGCGGGCGATATGGTTGGTGGTGATGTTGAAGATATCATCGATGTCGAGAAAAGCTAGCACGTCGAGGATAGAAAATGAGCACCGACGAGAAGGGCGTCGTCGGCGGCAGTGATGGTGTCGAACTTGAAGAAACGAAGGAATTAGGAAAGTCACACAACTCTTTGTGAAGACTCGAACCATGAACGAACACGAGGCAGATACGCGGTCACGTGCAAAGTGTTAATCAGGTTGTAGACCGTGTTAGTCCATCGTGGACTCCCCGAGTCCCCGTGGTACGCGGGACCTCCATCGTCCTATCCTTGCTCTTTCCAACTTGCCCTCCGAGTCGAAGCACAGGCTTTGTCAATGAATCAATAGTTCACTGTGCTCAGCGCTGAGTCTTGACATGTCTTTTGTCAGCTTCTAATCCGCAGTTCAGTTAGTGAACTGGTACGTCTGGAAGCTCAGCTGACACGGCCCCGCGGAACAGTCATCAAGTTGATAGGCGTCCAACCAAGTATGGGAACTAACACTGGCACTGGCACATCGAGTCAACTCGTAGCAAAAACATGGCGTATTCTTTCTCTTCTCTACCTGTCAAATCTCTGGCTCCCGAATCGTTGACCCAGCACAAAGAGCGCAGTGAAAGGGTTTTCTTCCAGATTATCAACACGAACCTGAAGCGCAAGTCATGTCAAACTGTAGAAGAGCTGAGCATCTCCCCACACGTTGTTGACTTGCTTCACGGGGATGAGGGATTTTGTGGAATTTCCGCGAGTTGGTTTTAGTCACTGTATGCGATGCTTATCAACCCTTCGTGGCTCGGTTCTTCAACACATCTTGCCAGCAACCTGATGTTATTGACGTCCCTCACCTGGCTTCTCTGCCTTCATCGCAATTTCTTGTGCGACCTCGGGTAAGGTACCCAAAGTTTTCGCGAGGTATAGAGGAACATTCTGAAGTACGACAGGCTCTCAGAGTCAGACTGTATGCACCTATCACTTAACATTCAGGGAGTTCTTGAATGTTTTCCGTGGAGATCAAGGCATCGTTCGGAAATCATCGTCATCCCAGCGACTGATGGGCTGTCGAGGATGCAAATGGGATGGAATCTGGAACAAGACGAAGATCGAATGTCATCTCGAGGTGAGTGTCAGCTGAATTAATGATCGGTGAAAGTAGACGCTAAAATTCGCGATTTTAGTCTCAGGGGAGACTGCTCCGCACGCAGTGGTCATGGTCACACACATCTTGTTTCTTCTCTTGTAGTCGCTGTTCGCGCTGGCCGACCATAATATGGAGACTCTCAAGGTCCTTTTCTCGACATCATTGCTCGGCATGTTTACGTACATCGACCGTGATTGATCTAGTCTTGTGGACGCGATCGATAATTGGATAATACCAGAACTGGAACATATCGAACACGTCCGGGATCACCTAGAGGTAAGCACAGTGTACAATTATCCAATGACCATGTACTCAATTAGATGTGTAGCGGCACCTGCATGGGAAGCCTGCCCGTGCAGCTGAGCTGCGTACCGTCGGACCTAGACCGTTGGCCCTCTTTCCAATATCACTATCACCGGATGGGTGAAATCCGTCTGGCCAAATCTGAAGAGTGCGCTCAGCACCAGAAGCGGTTCTTTCTGGTGAGCTGTTCCAAAAGTTAATTTCAATTCCTAACTCATTTTTCGGTATGATGCTCATCTGTAATTACCAGGTAGGGCATGTTCTCCGCCCTCATGTAATACTGCAAACACCAGGATATGGTAGTGGCGAATGCTTGCTGTGGTGTTTGGTATGCGCACGATACGCGTGGTCAAGCCAGGCACATTCGCTCAAATGGAAGGTTGAACTTGCTGTGATTGGTACAAGTCAAGAAAAGGTGCCTGTAGTCGTGTCCGACACCACCGTTCAGGCTTCAGGAGTGGATTATGCACAACCCGAAATCTGAATATCGCAGTATGTCCTAATGTAATCCTTTCCTGTCGACCCAATGAGCGCCTCCAACAGTATTACGAGTCTACAGCCGCATACCACTATTGTGCTTTACACCCTTCAGTTGTTGGCAACGGTTTGTAGCAGGCATTTATACCATGATTCAGCAAATCGCCTATACTAAGCCTTGATCTTGTCATTTTCCACCTGGATTCAGGAATCGGGATACACGACAAGCACAAAAGCATGTATATTATCATAGCATGCATGTTGTTTACGTACCAAACTACTGTGAATTAACATGACCGAGTACGCTGTTCCCTCCAACGCCGATACAGACTCGTCTGTCGAAAACATACTAATGAAATGCCCCAGCAACCATCTAGTGGGACCGTCAACCTCACCATGTGCGAAACCACATGTACAAGCATTAGCATTCCCTCAGTGCAAAGAAAGAAAAAGAGGACAGCCAACGCCATCTACTCCAATCTGCGAATTTAAACTACACTCCATGTCCGTAGGCGAACGGGCTCAAGTGGAGTGCGCAAAGGCATCAATGCGAATTGCTTCCGCGGGATCAAACACTCCATGCTTACAGTATGTAGACACACCCCATGCGAATGGATTGCTTGGACACAATATTTTCCAAAATCATGCCTGAGCATCAGCAAAATGATCACTTATAAGTAATAAAGTATACTTGAACGCATCTATAAACCGGCATGCGAAATGACTATCGGCGCGTCGCGATCTGATCTCCGAGAGCCTTCATGTTGTTCAAGCGTGATTCAAGCAACTGCTCCAAGTACATAATAGCGAGAAGTAGGCAAAAGCCATACAGATGCTTCAGAAAGAGGCGAGTCAGAACAGGATTTGTCGATTTGAGCAGTGCATGGCACGTGAACAGCACGTACAGGCATAGCATCTGGAATCAATCATCCACTTCCTCCCATTCCGATTCTGAACCCTCGTGTTCCTCTTCAATATCTGCCAGTGACTCGTATTCATCGTCACTGGCCTCAAAGAAATCGAATTCCTCCACATTATCCCTCAGCCATTGTAAATCCTGATCGGTGACTTCGTCGTTCTCCTCCATATATACGGCCTTTAGAGGGACACCTGCTTCCTTTCGCTTCTGCACCAACTCGCGTATTTGGTGTCCGGGGACGTCGGCAGTCGATAAAGTGGTAAGTGAAGGGAGACAGACGTGACAAACGTCTCGCTGGCCAGGAACAGAACAAGGGTGATGAAGTAACTGAAAGAACGCAGGAGGGAGGTACATCATCGCTAGGTTGAGCGCTTTAAGGTTGCCAAGCTCTGCGTACATGAGCTCTACACTGCGGTCTGAGCAGGGAAAACTGGATATTTTGAGGGTGTCAAGTCCGCTGAGTAAACTGCGTCTCTTCTCTCCATCCTTTGGTACCACCGGGACTGCGGTCATCACAGGACCAGCAAGTTGGACTGCGAGATCCGTAAAATCCCCGTCGTCCAAATCAAGTGTAAGGCTTTTGAGTGCGGGAAATGCTAGACGGCGGAGCAACCCACTAACATAGGCTGGTAAATGGAATGCCAGGACAAGATGTGTCAGTGAGTGTAACTCGATGACTCCGGTATAGTCGTCGCCATAACATCCTGAACTCCCTTCAGGATACCAGTCATGGGGAGCACCGAGGGGACCAGAGCTGCATAAAGAGAGTGTTTCCAGCTTGGGTGCCCCGCAAAGGATAGCAACGAATTGTTTCCATGATGGTCGTACATCATCTGTATGATAAGCAAGCTCCACGTCCAAGAGATTGGTCCCGCAAGATAACCATCCTTGGCACCAGTCGACATGCACACCCCACAACGCTACGCTCTTGAGGCGCGGAGCAACGCCTCCGAACAACTTGAAATGTTGCACGAGGTCGGGTTGGGCGAAAGCTGTGAGGCTTTCTGCGTCTTCATGGTGGTACAATTGGAGAGCCTCGAGCTGGGGAGCACCTGCTATGGAAGGATCTGAAACTGCAGAAAGGAAAACAAACATGTGCTTGTAACAAGCGACCGCCACTTCGATAGATCCCCAACGTGATATATGTGGAACAAGAAGGGACATGAGATTATCGAGATCGGAAAAGGTCATCGAACGTGGGGACTGACCAAGCTCTGAGTCTTCAGAGCCTGAGGAATCCTCTTCTTCTTCGTCATCTGGAGGTTCGCAGTCTATGCGTATGTCAATAGGGAGGCTCTTGCTACGCCCAAGCAAAATCTGAACTCGTTCAAATGGGGGTGAATCGAGAGGTGATACGTTGATCTCTGTCCAGAGAGACGGCGTGTTAAGGGCTACCATACGCCAATGGTGACAGACATGCGAGATGAGTACCTCAAATGGCGGTACGAGTTCGAAAGTCGCGTCGCTGTCCATCGATAGTTCGGATAAACCATCCTCATCCACATCATCGTTCCTTGTCACTCTGATCCGTTTTGAGTTTGTTGTTTCGCTGTCCTCATCTACTCCGTCTTTTGCGCCCGCTTCCAAATTCCAGTACACCGCCATTGCCTCATCCTCGTCCTCCTCGTCCTCTCCATCCTCAATAGATTGAGCGCCAACCTCGAAAATGAGAGAAAGGAGCTCCGGAGGGATGTCATTCACAGGACAACGTGTGCCCTTGGGTGGAACGAAAGGGTTGTCTTTTGTAAGAACATTGGAGTAGCAGTCCATTCTTTGCACGATGACCGATTAGCTTGCGGCACCTAATTTTGAAGAAGAACCCACTTGACAAATTCCGGTTTGACGTTGGACTACTAGAGAAACGAAAGAAGATGATCAGAAAGATCTGCCCTGATAACTTGATATACCAAATATGGTAAGTCAGCAGAATACGAGTATCGATAATCCTGCTGTGCTTGTCTTACGCGTCCCAACTCAACGTTAACCGTCACTGCTACACACCATTTCGCACTGCAGAATTATTTTTGAATTTACAATGTCTGCTCCAGTCAATGTCTATGTTTATGACCTCAGCAAGGGTCTCGCCGGCCAGCTCTCCTTGCAGCTCACCGGTAAGCAAATAGATGGCGTCTGGTTAGTATCATCTGATATTGACAACAAAGATTCATGTGCTCACTGACAACCATGTGTATAGGCATACATCAGTAGTAGTCTTCGGGAAGGAAATCTTCTATGGACAAGGCATTTGTGAAACTGAGCCGGGTCGATCCCATGTAAGCTGTTGTGTTCGTGGGTTGGTTTTATCACTTTAACATAGTGAGCCATAGCACGGGTCACCCCTAAGGATAATTGATATGGGCAAAACATCTATAGACGAGCAGACGTTTGTCGATTATCTCAGCCAGATAAAGGATCATTACACTGCAGACAAAGTAAGCGTTTGGTCTGACGCGAGGTGCTTGTCCTGCTGACCGAACTCAGTACCATCTGTTAGGTGAGACTGCGGCCAAAGATAGGATCACGACTCACTGATTGACGTTTGAAAAGACTTCAACTGCAACTCATTTACTAACGATTGCCTCGGCTTTTTGACTGGAGGCTCGCTTCCATCATATATCAAGGGTATTGACCCTTAATTGCCTCCTTTGGTTGCATATCATTCTAAAAACACTCTTGCAGATCTATCATCCGATTTTCTTTCGACACCATTTGGTACTGCCTTACGACCAACTATCGATGCCATGTTTAGAGGCAGGGCTTCTACCGGCGTCCTAACCCCTCCCCCAGATATCCCAACCACAACTAATTCACCCAATCCGGCATTGACCTCGTCTCTGCTGCAGGCTGTAGCGGCTGGCGCAACATCCAACAGCTCTGGAGCGCCGTCCTCGTCCAGGAACTACCTTCCGACACCTGCACCAACATCGCCTTCTACACCGATCCAGAGCAATAGCCTTACTACGCCTGTGCACATTGCTACAAATCCATCGTCTTTCCGTAATGTGCTTCATACACACCGGGCTGTGGTTGCTTTCTTCACGAGTGCAACATGTGCGCCTTGCAGGATGATCGAGCCTGTGTTCGAAGACCTTGCAAGAAGCAAAAGCCGAGCCAATGATATCGCGTTTGTTAAGATAGATCTGAGCGTCGGAATGAGCAATGCGGTCGGTGGCGAGTATGGTGTGAGAGTGACACCAACGTTTATCCTATTCTTGGACAAGAATAAGGTGGGAGGGGAACATATGACGTTCTCGCCACAACTGACCCGCTTCCGTAGACACATGAAATGAAGGGTGTCAATGCACCCGAATTGCGCACACAAGTCGACTTACTCCTTTATCAGGCATTCCCTCGTGAGCATATAGTCTTCCTTTCCTTGCGACAGCGAACTGACGCGGTGACGGCATCAGCACACCCACACACTAGGTTGTCCCTTCCCGCGATTGAAGCCACACCCCTTAATGCCATCCTGTCCTCTCAAGTCCCGAATCTCGATATTGTGCTTGCAAAAGTGACGGAGTTCATAGATGCCGCTCCTTCATGGTCTGGCTCCACTACGAAAGAAGCCACGAAGCAAATTCTCGCGAAGAATATAATTCCGTACCTCAAAGCACGAGGGTCTTCATCACCCCCTAACATTTCTTTCGAGCCTTGGAAAGACGCGACGACAAGCCTTGCGACGAATCTTTCTGCAGGTGAATTATTCCCTGTGGCAGATATGTGGCGCGTTGCACTGCTCGAACCAGCCGTGTGCGGTTGGAGTGCAACGAAGCTCGGTTCTGAAAGCCCAATCATCCTCTTGTTATCCAAGGCCGAAGGCGCGCCAAGGAGTTATACCCTCACGCTCTTAAAGATGATTTCAAATGCGTTTGCGAACAAGGTCGTAGCACGAGAGCTTCTTCTTTCATCTCGAAGTAGCATTACAGCGCTAATAGTGGCTGCGTTGATGCGCGACGATGCAGCTGTACGGTTGGCAGCAGCCAGCCTAGCATTTAACATGACCGCACACCTTCAGAGACTGAGGGTAGAGAAGGTGCGGGGGAATGTTGAAGAGGACGATGTGGGTGAGAATGAAGACTGGGATGTTGAAATGACGAGCGCGCTTCTAGAAGTTATAGAACGGGAGAAGGCGAACGAGGAAATTGGTACGCCCTCGATACAATCTAGCCTCATACCAGTTCTTGATCATTGAGTTTTCTGTGACAGTTCACCGTCTGACAGCGTCACTGGCATTGTTGATCCGACTATCTCCGTCCATTGAACAGCTCACTTCCTTGTTAGAGGTTCTGCAAGCCCAGAAAATACTCGAGGATAAGTTGGAGAGAGGCGGATGTGGGGACACGGGAGTAGTGAAGAAGGAGGCCCGCAAGCTAATTGAGGAGGTTGCTAAGAAGCTTTGTCCTTGATCGTGGAGCGTTTTCTCCTCGCTGTACTTAGTGCATTGCTATCGTGTACACGTCTCATCTAAGATTATATATGAATGCCTTGCAGGATCTACATAGTCAGGGACTTTTTGAGGTTGTACATTGGAGTTGAATTAGAATGAGTGCCCACTTCAGCGGGCGGCATTTCGCGCACTTTAGAATATCACGAGCACATGAATAACCGGAAAGCCGACGGAAGTTGCACAAAAATCGACTGCGACAACACCGATGGACCTTGCAATTTCCTTCTGTTCTTCATCTGCTGGATCACTCCTAGACGCAGTTTCAACTGATACCTAATCAATCATTGGACTCCAGAGGCGCTGGCGAACTATCCTCTCTATCTCCACTTCTTATAAGCATCTGAACAGGCAGTGGATACCTGAGGACAAGCATCCTTCCATCCGTTGTCGCTCACACATCTCCCGTCATTCTCAGTCCATGCTGAAGTTCTCAAGCAGATTAGCCCCTCGTTCGTTGCGTTCACCGGTACGTAATTTGCCGGTTAGTCACGCTGATCTGATGTTAATCGCTTCTTCAGCTTGTGTCTCAAATGGCCACCAAGCGCAATTTCAAGTCCTCAGTACCGAAGGAGTCTGATATTCCAGAGGGATATGTTGTTGATCCTACTGCAGGGAACATGTTGCGGTTCCAAGATTCACTCCCTCGGCTCCCCGTTCCGGCGTTGTCTTCAACCGTGCACAAGTACCTTGAGACCATTCGGCCTCTTCTGACGGATGCGGAGTATACCAAGTCTCAGGCTACTGCGCAAGAGTTTCTCAAATCGTCTCAGGCTGCTGAGCTTCAGAAACGCCTAGAAGCCCGTGCCGCAGATCCATCCATTAAGAATTGGCTAGCGGACTGGTGGAATGATGCAGCATACATGGGCTACCGCGATCCTGTCGTGGTATATGTCAGCTACTTCTACGTGCATCTTGATGATCCACGTAGACGTGACCCGGCGAAGAGGGCTGCTAGTCTGATTAAAGCCATGCTGCCCTTCAGAGAGATCACGGAGTCGTCAGTGTCTCGCATGTCTTCGGCCTTGTTTTGTTACTCATGCTAAGACTGAGCAGGAAACAATTGGAACCTGAAAAGGTTCGTGGGATGCCATTGTGCATGGATTCGTACAAATGGCTGTAAGCGTTCATTCCGTAACCCATGGTATCGAATTAAGTCCTCGCAGCTTCCATGCATGTCGATACCCCACTAAGCCATCCGACACTGCCAAGAAGTTTGATCCAAAGGCACATAATCACGTCGTGTTTGTGAGGAAGAACAAGTTTTACGAAGTCCTGCTCACAACCCCTGAAGGACATGAACTAAGTGAGGCTGAGCTAGAAGTGTGCGTGTTGCGCATTAATCACTCTGAATTCATTGAACTTAACGTACCTTTGGAACGTAGGCAAGTGGAACGAGTCATTAAGATGGCAGGGGAGGAGACAGGCGCTCCGGTCGGCGCGCTGACAGCGGAGAACCGAGATATTTGGACTGATGTAAGTACTTGGCGGTTCAGTTCAGCCGCCATTTCAATTCCCTCATCATACCTTTATCCGTTCAGGCACGTTCTGCACTGATCGCAAGTTCACCGGTGAACCAGAAATCTCTCGAGCGGATAGAGTCCTCCGTGATCATCGTCTGCCTTGATGACACCGCGCCCGTGTTGCGCGAAGACATTTCTTGGTCTTGCTGGGTCGGAGACGGCCGGAACCGTTTCTACGACAAGCACCAATGTATGTGGGCATTGGTTCTCACAATTCTCTGGATGTGCTAATGCACTTTACTCATGTCAGTGCTCGTCTTTGATAATGGGCGATCGGGTTTCCTCGGGGAGCATTCGTGCATGGATGGCACACCCACGCTTCGCCTGAATGAATTCATTCTTGCTTCTCTTGCACACAACAAGGTCGATCTTGGTGCGCCTAGGTCTAGCTCGACTGGGGCCAATCTTCCACAGCCCGCAGAGCTGAAGTTTGAGCTTGACGCCACATGCAAGAAATACATTAATGACGCATGCCAACATTTTGACGAGCTCGTGGGTCAGCATGACATGCAGGTGAGTGCAGGGTCCAGTGGGATATATCAAGACTTTAGATAATTAAATTGCCACCGCCCCTAGGTGCTCCACTACGAAGGCTATGGGAAAGACCTTATGAAGAAGTTCAAGGCTTCCCCTGATGCATGGGCTCAGCTTGTGAAACAACTTGCTTTCCACAAGATGTTTAATCGACCTGGTGTGACGTATGAAAGCTGTCAGACGCGCAAATATCAACAAGGCCGTACGGAGGTCATCCGTAGTGCCAGCTCGGAAAGCAAGGAATGGGCCGAAGCCATGCTTAATCCAGAAGAATCTGTAGGTCTTCATGCGGAGATCGCGTAACACTTTCCCATTCCAATTAGAGGCTAAATGACATGCTGTAATTCGCATCTAGGATGAACGCCGCGCCGTGCTCTTCCGCCGTGCCGTCGTGCGCCACCTGCAGTATGCTGCCTGGGCCGCGGATGGGCAAGGGGTGGACCGGCATTTATTCGGTTTAAAGAAGATGGTCCGTGATGGCGAGTCTGTCCCGGACATCTATTCGGACCCAACGTTTTCCAAGACTAACCATTGGGAGTTGTCGACATCTCAACTTTCTTCCAAGTATTTAGATGGGTGGGGATACGGAGAAGGTACGTCTTGTCGTTGAGAGTGTTTTTGCAAATCGAAGTTGATAATTATCACACGCAGTCGTCACGGACGGGTATGGACTCTCGTATTCCATTGATGATCATTACATTCGCTGGACCATCACATCACTTAAGCGGGATACTGCCGAACTAAAGCACTACCTTGCGGAGGCTGCAACAGAGACGAGGTTTATGATGGAGAGAGCTGCTGCTGCTGAACGGCAGGCAAAGTTGTGATCGCGTCATAGGACGTGCGTTATTTAATGGCATAATTTGTTTATGATAGTTTATAATCAGGGATAGATCTCTCGCTTGCGCTACTGTGTGTCCGGGGGATGAGAAGAAGATGTATGAAGATGCATACCTTCCTTTTGTTTCCACATCATGGAGAATCTTGCGTGCGGTCGCAAGGGGATCTCCGAAACCCGATTTCTACGGAACGAAGGAGCTCCTTTTAATCATATTTATTCCCTATGATTTGATCCCTGCGGCACAGCGTGGACAGTGAAATTGAGGGGATACCGCCGCACTTGAACGTTTGAACCCTGGCTCTGCGGAAAGTCCGGCAATAGCAATACCGTCGGTGTCGGCAGCCTATTACATACGCTGCATTAATAGTCTGTTTTAGACAAGGGAGCCCCATGCTCCATCAAGTCTGATTGACTTGTTTTTCACGCGATGTCATCGAGGGGCCGGCTCCGCGTTACTTGAAGACCGAGCAGAGATCTCTAGCGCGTCTCGATAGAGCCTGGGAGTATGACCATTCCAGAAGTGCAAAGTAGCTTTTTTTCCATCAGCATAGCGGCTCATAGTATGCTGCTGTATATCCCACGAGATATCGTCACATCAACGACGGACAGCTTCCCATCGGCTGACCCCATGGAAGATGATGACTTTCCCAGGCAACGAAGGATTTTGCCTAGCGCTGAGGTCCAAGCTCCGCGAGCGCCTGGGGGACCCTGAAACCCAGAAACTCAGGCGGCCGGTTGGTTCCGTGAGCAGCTTTGTTCGAACTGTAAATCATCTCGCTCGTTTCGGCAATTTGTGAACATAGGAACGGGTGCGGCACAAATATTTGCAATGTTCTGGATTCAAACTTTGTACGAATGGAACCTCGCTAAGGTTCATGCACGTTACATCACACTCAATCTCAATCTCACTCACATTTGTTTGAACTGTCCTATGAGTATGCAGAGTCATTGCAGATCACCTTCCCCGTCTTTCGGAGCCTATGTTTGCGGCGGGATGGCTAAATTTTGATGCGAAACTTACGGACTGCGAAGTAACCGTGAGTCCTTTTTTGATCAGGCAGCAAACAGGAAACTCTCTCCCGGAGGAGTAGAATCGTGATAAGAGTACCTTTACTCATCAGGATTATGCCCAATATTGGTATCGCCAACGTGGTTTTTTGGCCATTTCGGGTCGTTTGAAATTTTGCAGCCTTGTATTTGCTGGCAGTTCCTCCGTAGTTTCCTGAGTCCGTATGAATTCAAGTACCCGCAGCTTCATTTTCGACAAGACTAACTGTGACATGCGGTTGGTGGCGTAGACGATTGCTGACAATTTAGAATACTTACCTAGAGCGCATTACGGAGGCATCGTGTCTGTTCGAATCCGCCGGAGAATCAGAGTACTGAAGCCAAGGGACTCAAAGTGGAGTTGAACGGCGAGAACTCAGATGAAGATAGTAAGTCAGGAGACTCGTGGTTCATTGATGCCGTAACCTACAGTCACGGTGCTACATATATCTATCCATTGAAACAATGAGTCCGTTGAACTCGGGGTCTCTTTTAAGCCGCACAAGCTCGTACACAAACGTCGATCTCCAGTACCAGTGATAACATGCTCGCAGACGGTAGCGAGCATAGACAGACACCCACGAGGGGCCTTGCTGATGTGAGCACCGACTCCCGTGCGTCCAAACGGGCTCGCAACGCATTTGATTCGTCTTTGGCCGTGTCTGGGGCCCCTGAAGAATTTGCTCCGACACCCAGGAAAACACATAACAAGAAGCAGCCTCTGTCATGCGCAGAGTGTCGAAGGTGCGTTCCAATCCGTCTGGCCTGAAAGCTTTGACCATAAACATATCCTGAAGATTAAAGCTGAAAGTATGACCATTTTTTCCCTCTGAATTTGCATGGTCTGAAGCTAAATGCACCAGTGCGATCGTATCTTTCCATGTCAATCATGCTCAAAACGAGGCTGTGCTGAAATATGTCCAGATGGTATTTAGCATCACCATGGTTGAGTGTTTAATCTGACCGTGCTTTGTATACAGGTGCTCTAACCTCTGGAAAGGGCAGCAGGTTAGTAAC